GCCCGTGAGGTCACCGCCCACGGTGATGAGGAACTTGACGCTAACAAAGAACCAGCCGTCATTCTTTTCTGCACCTCTTAGGCAGATGGCACTTTCGAACAACTTAGGGACCGAGAAGTGCACACGTCCATTAGCTGAGATAAATTGAGTAAGGAAATTTGTGGTGGCAAGCTCAGAAAGATACCAATGCGATGCTGGAGCATTTCCACCGGGATTATCTCCGACATACGGAGACGGTAGCGGATGGCGTGTTCCATGTCACTGAGCGTGCTTACAACCTCAGCATCTGTTAAGGGAGTGATTGGAATGATAGATTTCTATGGAAAGACATGAGTATAATCCAAGCATACGGAAGATGGAGAAAACCTTGATGGCAGACGGTAGCCGCTGATATGTGCCTGTAGTAAGGACATCCAGCGAGGTGAGTAAGTCATGATTTCGTAGCCTACGACATGGAATGCGTGAGGACGAGCGTGAGGGCGTGTAATGTTCCTGTACCTGGCAGGGTCCAAGCTTTCTTTTGCATACGTCAGGCCTTTCATGACATCTTCGAATTGCTGGTTCTGATTCATGAGGAAAGCAGTGATGTTCTGGAAAATGATATGAAGCACAAAGCATTGATAAAAACGCGTCACTCGCCATGCATTTCTGTACGGTCTCTGCATCCCGCGCCCATTTAGTGATGGCATACAGCTTTACAACTTGTTTCTTAGTCTTCACGACCCAATCGGCGAGTGTGCGTTTTCGAGCACCATCGGACATGTTTGGAAGACTTGATAGAGTTTTTTTCAAAGAATTTGTAGAGTTAACATGTGAGATACTCACGTCTCAGCAAGCTCAGACAACTCAGCATAGATGGCCTGGGCCACTCTAGAAAGAAGGTCGCCCAGCGGAACCTGGCCATCAAGAACTATAGGGAGCTCGTTCTCAAGCTCCTCTATAGAGGGCTCGTGGTAACCGTTCATATCATTAATGATGACTGCCAGTTTGTGAGCTGCAAGTTAGCGCAATAGTCCGTCAGACCGTTGGCGCTGCGAGGTAATGGTTATTGACCAGGAGCCGTCACGTGTGTCGTGACACTCTATGTCAAATATAGTAAGTAATCATTTTTCTTTTTCAAGGTTTACATAACGTGCAGTCACATAATGGTCACACCAAGTAACTGTATTTGGTTACATAATCAGGGAAATTCTAGATTTTTCCTGGAACTTTTTTATTGCAAGCTTTTACCACCTCTCTTTTCTATTCGTCCTTCCTCTCTTCTTTGAAGTTCGTCTTCCTGATTCTAATTCGTTGTTGAAGTAGCTATGCACACGTCTTCCCGTACCCTCCGTCGCGCTGCCGCAAAGGTTAAGCCTACTTTGACCCGCAGTGTACACAAGGAGATCAAGTTCAGTAATGACGGTCGTGCTAGCATCCTCAAGGGTGTCGACGTCCTTGCTAATGCTGTCAGTGTCACCCTCGGTCCAAAAGGTTAGTATCACCCCTTCACTCTCGCGAACCGAATGTGAATTCAAAAAAAAAATCGCGATTTCACAGGCCGCAACGTCATTATTGAGCAGAGCTTTGGTGGCCCAAAAATCACGAAGGGTAAACCCTTTTTCTCTCTATAGATCTACTGTTCTTACCTGAATCACCATCAGACGGAGTAACTGTGGCCAAAAGCATCAGTCTCAAGGACAAGTTCGAGAATCTCGGCGCCCGGTAAGTTCTTTTCGTCCCATTGTCAGCATACCATTCTTACGCGTTCCCGAAACAGGCTCGTGCAGGATGTCGCGCAAAAAACAAACGAAATTGCTGGTGACGGCACTACCACCGCAACCGTCCTCGCTCGTGCTATCTATGCCGAGGGTGTCAAGAATGTTGCGGCAGGGTGCAATCCCATGGATCTTCGTCGCGGTGCTCAATCTGCCGTACAAAAGGTTGTCCAGTTCTTGGAAGCCAATACCAAAACGATCACCACTACAGCTGAGATTGCACAAGTCGCCACTATCTCTGCTAACGGTGATGAGCATATTGGTGGGTTGATTGCGCAAGCAATGGAGAGAGTTGGGAAAGAGGGTGTCATCACCGTAAAAGAGGGCCGGACAACCGAAGATGAGATTGAGGTAACAGAGGGCATGCGCTTTGACCGCGGTTACATCTCCCCGTACTTCATCACCGACGTCAAGACTCAAAAAGTCGAATTCGAAAAGCCCTTCATTCTCCTCTCCGAGAAGAAAATTTCCTTGCTACAGGACATTCTTCCATCCCTCGAAACTGCTGCCTCAGCTCGCAGACCGCTGGTCATCATCGCAGAGGATGTTGATGGCGAAGCCCTCGCAGCTTGTATCCTTAACAAGCTCCGTGGCCAGCTCCAGGTCGCAGCCATTAAAGCACCTGGTTTCGGTGACAACCGTAAGAGCATCCTTGGCGACCTTGCCATCCTCACCGGCGGCTCAGTCTTCACTGATGAACTCGACGTGAAGCTTGAGCACGCAACAGCTGACCTCCTGGGCAGCACCGGCAGCATCACCATTACCAAGGAGGATACCATCGTCCTCAACGGTTCCGGCTCCAAGGATGCTATCTCAGCACGGTGCGAGCAGATTCGTGCAGTCCTGAATGACCCCACTACCTCCGAGTTTGACAAGTCCAAGCTCCAAGAACGTCTTGCGAAACTCTCAGGAGGTGTCGCTGTCATCAAAGTCGGTGGTTCATCTGAGGTCGAAGTCGGAGAGAAGAAAGACCGGTACGATGACGCACTTAACGCAACTCGTGCCGCTGTCGAGGAGGGTATTCTCCCGGGCGGTGGTGTCGCACTGCTCAAGGCTAGCCTTTCGCTCAAGACAGCTGTAGCCGGCGAACCTGCCTCCTCTGACCCCGACATCATCCCAACTGCCAACTTCGACCAGGGCCTCGGCGTCAGCATCATCCGCCGCGCATTGACACAGCCCGCACGCACAATCCTCACCAACGCGGGCGAAGAAGCAAGCGTCATCGTGGGCACGCTTATCAACTCGTCCAACTCCTCCTTCGCATACGGTTACGACGCGGCAAAGGGCGAGTACACTGACATGATCGCACGTGGTATCGTCGACCCGCTCAAGGTCGTACGGACAGCACTCGTAGATGCCGCAGGTGTCGCGAGCTTGCTGACCACGAGCGAATGCTGCGTTGTAGATGGTGAGGAGGACAAACCTGCTGGTGGTATGCCCGGTGGCATGGGAGGTATGGGTGGCATGGGTGGCATGGGCGGGTTTTAAGTAAGGAATGTTAAACCTTACCTGCGACTTTGTGACGCGCGGGGTACAATAATTCCTAAGCGCCGTCAGCACTTGAGTCGTCACTTCATTTATGCTGATTTATTATACTTGCTTTGTTGTTGCACGCCGTTACGCCCCCTTCACCATCATGCACTTCACGTATTTGTATCCCTCATAATTACTTGCATGGAATTCAAACACCACTCAGTCTACATGCTTTTGTGTGATCTTCAGTTTACATGGACGGGATGCTATGTACTAGTTGCACGAACAGTTGTGCTTTAATGGCCTGTCTGACCGAGTTCGCGGGTTCTAGCTGACGGACGCAAAAATCTCTCTCCAAAACCAGCATGATTTGCCAGTGATCTCTCTGTCGCCCACCCTGCTTGCCTCTTGTCAAGTTGTCTTCCCTGCAGATTTATCATCAGCTGCACGCCACATTTACATTATCGCAATCCATACAGAGGTCTTACAGGAAAGCTTGAAGTTACGCAATTGGTCAGTCAATCTTATTCTAGGTTGCATGGGACGCATGCGGAAAACAGAATACCACACCGCCCTTCTCAGCAGTGTAAAGTCGCTACCCAAGTTTCTCTGCCCCGCATGGTTCTCGTACTAGTGGCCAGTTGTGACATCTGCAGGGTCCGCGCTTGCGGCCATCTGGCCAGTTCGTTCTGCCAGAGTCAAGTAACTGGAAGCAGAATAGGCAGTAAGGAAGATGAAACAATGATTGTGATCCGCGCAATCAACGTGGCAGAGCCGTCCGGAAGAACTGCAACAGTTAACTGCAGAAGATAGTTGCAGAGCGGAGGAAGCTAGGCTCACTGCTGGTTATAAACGGTTCAAAGGTGTTCGCCCCGAGTGTCGCCCTTCAGAGGAAGATATCGGTCGGATGAAGGCCCAGTATCATTACAGTCTGGGATTCATCCACATTCGCAGCCACTGGCTCTGCTAGAGCTGGCGAGTCGTCCTTCCTCAATGCCGTCCGTGGCTTGTCCAGAAATCATCCCATAGCCGCTTCTACGAGATTCATCGAGATCACTAGCACCGTCACGAGCTAACCTGATCCATGCCTGAACTCCCGGATGATTTGGTATCACGTTCACGGATCAGGCACTCGAAAGGTGTCTGACTGGAAGTACTTCAAAGACATGGGCCTCTAACGTTTCGACCCCGGCATGGACGACGAAACACGTTCTCTGTTCCGGCTGACGAGATCACAAGAGCAGAACAGGTCCATCGATGAAACGTGCCAGAATGTCCAAATGAACCTTGAGGAGGGGAACCTCCCTCGTAAGCAGGTCTACATCATTTGCATGGACGCCATGCTTCAGACAGTGTGCAACATAACGTTAAGTTCATAGAAGAGGACGAGTAATGGGATCTTACATAAGAGATAGTATATACTTGAGATATTCACGAAAGCCCACATATTGAGGCCTTGAGCGCAAGGTCTCAATTAGACTATACGAGATTTGAATCGTGCATGGTGGGCGTCAAGTATTTGATATCGGACCCACAATGCCTGCAAAACGGGTTATATATAATGTGGAAGCATTCTTGCACATGCATGTTGTTAGTGATCCGGGAATTTCTTTACGTTCAACAAAAGCCTCCTGGGCCCCCACTAATGTTGACAATCGTTCAAGTTTGAAGCTCCGTCTGTATGGTAGCATAAGTATGTGCCTTCACCTCATGCTTTACGTATAGCCTGGGTTCCCAATACTGGGGATACTTTCTACAATCTCTACCAAGATGCCTGACGTAACAGTAATCAATAACCTTACCGAAGAAATCCATGTTGCTTTCTTCTTAGGCGTCCCTACCAATTGGAAAAATCAGCTCAAGCCCGGAGAACGTTGGACAACGCACCTCGCCAGCCTCCCGCATCGTTTTGAAGCGCGCTCTGTGACGGAGAGTCGCGAGTTCAGTCGCGATGAATCCATGGAGATGCTTGCAACCATCGGAGGCGCTTGCGCTGCCGGTACTGCTTCTGTAGTTACAGGGGTTGTTGGCATACCCGCTTCAGTGCCGCTTATGGCTATTGCGAATGCTGGTGAATTTTGGTTTTTTTATATGTAACATCATGATGTCGATGTCCGTTGACAGGTGGTGCAAAATATGGTGGATGGGGTGCACATGGGAGGAAGTGTACCGCGAGAGTGTGGGTGCCATTGTGGCACCATCGGGAGTATTCAGTTAGAGTGGTTGATGGGAAGTGTGTTCTATGGGAAGTCGGTGCTAATAGATTGGTCTAATAGCTATCGCTGTTTTCCGGACTGCGCGTTTCATTTGATTGTCATTATGTACACATTGGCAGTAGCTAGTAGGGCCTGCACGATAAACTATGCCAACGTCCTGTATATGATTTTGTAGTAGGGGTACTTACTAGTTGTCGGGAGCTTCGGAGTCGGGTACGAGCGCAGAAAGGCACATAATGAAGTGACAAAGGACATCGACCAAGGTTCATCTCATATATCTTGTTTCACTCTTAGTATTTTCCCCTGGTATGCAGATAAAATTACAAGTTGTTGACAGGACATAGTGCGCATGCTACTGGTACAGTGAACGTTGCGAAACGAATTCAAAGAGACAGCTCCAGTCAGTTTTTACCACTAAACACACATTCAGTCACCTCCTGCTGCTGCCCTTGCGGCCTTCTGTTTCTTCTTTCTTTCTTTTCTCTTCGCACTCCCGTTCCTCCGTTTCCCGAAGTACGGGTTTGTGATCTCCTTTAGCAACTCCTTCCCGCCTTGATACACATTCTCCTTCGGAAAGAATTTCTCCGGCTCCCGGAGAGTATATGCTGTCAACTCTCCCAAGGTCGGAAACAGCCTCGCAGGCTTCCCAGTCCTCGCAGAATCAACCAGGTCTACAAGGTTGACACGCGTGTCCCAAACGCACTACACAAGCACATCAGCCACGATGACTCGCTGAAATAACGATCTACAAACCTGACGACACGCCTCAATCGAATCCGGAACAGGATCGATTCTAAGCACGCGGCACAAATTTTGCCAGTTCGAAATATTGTTTCCGTCATTCCCGAAACGCTCATTGAATTCCTGAACGAGCGCGTCTTTGAACCCCTTGCATACTTCGCGCCTCTCTGGATCTTGGACGTCACATCTCAGGACCTTGATGAGGCGGTCTAAGTTCTTGTTTGAGGACTGGTTTTCGTCGAAGGAGAATGAATTGAATTGAGCGAAAAAGGCGGCGAGGGGCGTGCGCTTTGGTTTTTGGTTTTTGCGCTTTTTGCGCTATATTTTTCTATCAAGATAGAGTCAAAGGAATTTGTTCGGAGTTTACCTGTGTTTGCTTTGTACGGGACATAGTATATGGGAGGGCTTATAGGACGCAAAAGATGGGAGAAACCCCTGTGCTGTGCCACATCGCGAACAGACTCTTACTATATGTAAGGGATATCGAAGCGTTCAGATCCACCTCGTGGCTTACATGCATGCCCAGGTACCCACGAAGAACCCTGTGAAGAAGGATCGTCGTAAGCTAGATATGGTAACTGACCCACAAATTGATGAAGATAGTTGTGATTCTCCGCCGCGACACTTGAAAGTATGCACTGCACGGATAATGCAACATACCACGACTCGTATTGAGCACGAAAACCCAAACTGTAGGCACGCTCCCATGGGCGGTGCACTGAAGGGCGCCCACACATTACGGCCATGCACGAGTTGTTACAAGCACCCCACAATGGTATCAGTGTAGAAAACCTCGTGTTATGGGGGTGGTTGGGGGGTGGCCGTAAAGATATACCATCTCTGCTGCGACTGCACGGATGCCATGAGGCAACCAGAATTATGCACACCAAGTCCTATCAAGAAGTGACCGAGAATGTTGAACCCTTGTTTCGAGGCACGCGTGCAAGGATATCGATAGTGGATTGTGGGGCCAACGTGATTAGCTTCATAAATAAACCAAACATTAAAAACACACGCTGTGCCAAGTCTCACTGTTCTTGTGACTTCGAGGTAGATGATAGAGAAGTACTTTTGATTTGATTTGATTCGAGCTGATACTATATACATACAGTGTACCGGTGCAGGGACTGGTGAACATATCCACCATGCCATGCACGTAGAAATGTTTACCATTTCCTACACCGGTATCGTACGAGCAGCATGTACATAAGTCAGATGCGAACTCGAACGCGGGTTCAAGCTTCAATATCGATATTCTAGCCCGAGCCTTGCCATGTCTTCCCAATATTAACGTCTTCGTCGAAGATACCACCACCACCTCGTGTGTTCGAGATGGTAGAGCTGACAACCTGCAACACTGTTCATCTCGAACAAAAGAGGGAGAGCGAGGGAGCGTTTTTTTTGTTCGAGCTGGATTTGTTCATGACGAGTCAGGTTAAGTTGTTGTCAATAAAGAGTATGTGGTTGTGCAGGACGCACATATTTTCCCCTGCTATGTACAGTGTTGTCCCTTCACTATAAGACTGTCAATGTCATTCGTAGGCTGGTCATTCCTAATCGGAGCGGGAAAAAGAAGTTGGCATCGGTTTTTGCTAGACGGTCGAGGTGACCTACTGTGCTCGATGTGCATGTTTTATGCAAGAATGGGATGCCACATCAAACATCGTACGAGCATGATGCAAGGCGACATGATGCGGACGAGCTTGGAAATGGCTTACTACGATGGACGCAAATATCGGGGAATGGTTGAAAGGTGGCGATATAAGATGTGTTGAAAAGTACGTGGGCCACAGGTGAATCGCAGCGAGGTAGTGGTGAGAGGAGTTGAAAGTTGGTTAGAAAGGCCGAACGCCTTTCATGAGCCGTTCTCGATATCCTTTGAGGGATGTTGTACGAGGGTGATTGAGGAAGTAGGGCATATATATCAGCCACCGGTGAGATGAGTCTGAGCTCAACGGGGTTTTAACTGTAAACTCCGCAGATAGTATGATCTATTTAACAGCTGATGAACGGAGATTTCACTACACTCTTAATGATACTAGAGATCGATATCCTAGTATACCATAGTTTGCTGAACAACCCGTTGTCCTGCGAATAGGCCATCTGACTTGTCTGGCCCATGTGTAGCCTGGTTCGAGCAACGCCGGGTGAGGGACTTCATGCGGAACTCTCCAGTGGAGGAGTGGTTGATATGCGTGGATAGGCCCAGCGAATCGTATGATGTGAGATTGTTGATCTTAGAGCTCAAGCTGACGACCACCAGGCTGCAATACTTCTGTCGTCCACATCTCGTACTTTTCAGTGAACATAGTGTTAAGTGTGTGATGTACTCAGCACACTTATTGCTATGTTTAGTTGGAAGGTCTCTGTTGCTTAAGCGTTTAAGCACAGCCAAATTTTCTTAGGCGCAACTCGACTCAGCGAGCGACTGTGTACAACAAGAGTGCCACAACAGAACCTGAATGAGCTCGTGTACGAGCATCAAGTCTGGTCAGAAGTGAGAATGCAGGTAAACTATATGGTTCGTGCTACCTTTGTTTCATCTTAATGATGACCTCTGCAAGTAATTAACAATGAGGAATTTCGCATGACAGGACCAGAGCACCACCGTGGATCAGAGCCAAGCACGTTGTCCGACCTAATAGAAGGAACAATAACGTTGCTATAGACCACTGGACCACAGCGCGTGGTCACTTACAATGCATCCACACTGCTGTGGATGACGCTGCAATTTATAAGGCAAGTATAAAATATCAAAGGTAGGACTCCTTCAATCCAGCTTCGCATCTTACTCGCCTGTCATGGACTCTATTTCCAAATTTCCGTTTACCAACCTTCCAACTGAACTTGCCTGCCGCATCCTCAGATATTCTGCACAAGCTACCTTTGATCAGACTGACAGATATCAGGTCAAAAGTCCATACTCCTCCGCACGCGCACTTTGTCTCGTCTCCAAAGATGTCAGGCGCATTGTGCTTCCCGAACTCCTACACACCATCTTGCTGCCGAAATCAGAAAACCTAAACAGGTTTGTCGATGCTCTACGTATGCAGGAAGAGTACGCGGAGATCCAAAAACAAAACGACCTTCGTTTGAAGCGCGGGGAGGAACAAATACCAAACGACCTCTATTTCCAGTATGCGCCTCACATACACAAGATATGGATTGGGTGCATTGACAACAACATCGTACCCAATCACTTGCTCCAATCAGACTATGCATCGGCGCGCAAGCTGACCATCAGCGTCCTGACTCCAGTGCTGCTCGCTGCGCCGTCCATTGCCCTTGGTTCGACAAGTCTGAAGCTTTTTTCAGAATGCCTGGAACACGCATGGAAGTCCCGTGCAGACACAAATGCCAACGACGAACATTCCCCCCCTCCTTGGAAGACACAAGCTCTGACGCTGTCGGGTGAGACAGTCGCCAACGGCCCATGGGAGCTCCTCACGAACACCCCTCAAGGATCCGCTTTCCTTTCCTCGATCTCTCACCTCACCTACGGGTCCCACACAACCACATTCGACTACAGCTTTTTTGTAGCCATGTCTTATGGCAGATCTCGAAACTACGACCTACCTCTGTGGATGAAGAGCTTGCTATGGCCTTCTTTCAAGAACCTTCAAACTTTCTCAATGGCCTACCCACATATCAAACCCCCTTTCGATATCTATGACTTCAATCAGTTCAGAGAGGGAAGAAAGGGAAGAAGCTTTCACGTGGAGCTGTTGACGTTATCTGCAGCCATGCTGCGCCGCAGCGATGATGCCCGTGATTGGAGGATAAATGCGTTTGCTGAGATTGGTCCAGGAGAGGAATGTATTCGAACGGAAGAAGTTCGGTTGAAGGTGTCCCATTTTCCCATAGAATTTTGGTATGATTTTGATGATTGGGAAAAAATTTGGGCGTGCGGGTTATGCGGCTGACGAGGGGTATTATGAAGCAGATGAGGGATATCAAGATATGATTTGTGTTGTATGTATGTACATGATTGTGATACTCGATGGACTTGGTCGTCTTGCGAATGATTCAAAAGAGGGACTTGATTATGGATCAAACAACCGAGGCAGATTATTCGAGAGCAGAGGAATTAGTACGCTGATTGAGGAGAGTTAAAGGTGAACGTATACGAGGCGTGTAACGAATGGGATGAGTACGTACCAGAGTGGCATTGAGAGCTATATCTTAACAGGTCAAGCCTTGGTTAATGTGCACCAACGTATCTCGGTTCCAGATCTTCGAAACAACTTTGAACTGACAAAAAGGCAGCTATGATGAGATATGGAACCAACAAAGGCCGGTGTCCAAAAAATTCCTTGCCAAGTCAATAGGTGATAGACGCATCGAGAATGCACGTCGAGTAGGGAAATGGTCCTTAGCTTAATCTTCGTGGCCGGGTTTCCGGGATGTTGTGACAATACTCGTGAGGCGTCGAGGGACTTGCTATAACAGCACTAAGCTCAACTTAATCTCCCGAACCTGTGTCTTCGAAGAAGTCACCTTAAAATCTTTCCGTGTCATAGTTGAATGTGCAGGTGTAACATGCACAATAAACTACTACACCAAGAGCCTCAAGTTTGAAATCACATGCATAGCGATGAAGCGCTTTTACAATATTGTAATTTTGACGCGTACGCAATTTGTTTTGATGAATTTACAATTTTTGTATGCAAGCGATATTGATAAGATCATATCTTTATGCGTAATATCAGCCAAACATCTCCGGACACCAAGGAACAACCGTAAAGACTCACCTACCATCCTACATCTTCGCCTTCGCGTTCCCCGAATCATTCACAATCTCATCCAGTATTTCTACGAGTGCCTCTCCAAGTTCGTCTGGTTTCTCTTGCGGAATCTAATAGATTTGAGAAGACGATATCTTACAACCCACTTCGACAGCAGAATAAGACAGAGCCACATACCAAATGTCCTGCCCCCTTGATAGTCCGCTGAGACACCACCCTGTGCTCCGCAGCGTCTAAAATTTCTTTCCTCGACTCTTTAGATCTACACGAACGCCATCACAACACTGTCAACCACGAACAGAAAAGAAAGAAGACAACGCACATAAACTCCTCAAAATCAGCCCAGACGACATGAACTCCCCTCCCAGCCTCCTCCACCGCCCTACATGCACGCCCAAGAGACTCGGTCTCCACCGTATGCGATAAACACGCATACAACGGGCTCTCCTCGTCTTTTCTCAATGTAGGTGTAACATAACTCTTCTTCCCCGTACCAAGGTGCGACTCATTCACCTCCTCAAATCCATACCTCACATAATCATCTACAACCCTCTTATCCCATTTCCTCCAAACGCCTTTCCCACCCACCAACCACCTCGTCAACGCTTCCCTATCTGTCCAACGATCGCGTTTAGCAAGTGACCCTCGGACGTTCGCGGCTCCGTGGATGGAGCGAGAGTCAGTCGGAGTGAGAGAAGGGAACATCAATGTAGGTTCGACCATTATGAGAGCAAAGGGTGTAAGAGAAGGGGGTATGGATGTGAGCGCCAATATCCAGAGCGTGCAACTCCCAGAATGAGCGATTCCTACGACAGTGCTGGATTTAAGAGAGGGAGTGGAGAGGAAGGCTCGGAGGTAGAGCGCGATATCTTTCGTTGCTTGAGGCAATGTTAGCATTAGTAGTAATACATAAGGAGGAAGAACGTACTACACATCGACTTCCCAGCTGCCTTGCGGGCATCAAGCACGGGGCGGTTGAGAAGTGCCGTTTGACCATGATTGGGGAAGTCAAGCACCCATATATCTCGAATCGTAGCGCGAGTTTGAGCGCGCGAAAGCAGGCGAGCGATAGTAGGGTCGTACTGTTCCTTGTCTGATGCACATTTGGGGTCAGGGCACGAGATTGGATGGAATAACTCACGACCAGCAATTCCGTGTGTGAACACAAGTGTGAGACCGTCTTTGGCGCAGGAGACGGGATAGTATAGTGTAGAACACTTGAGCTCTACTGGGTCTGAGCCTAGAGTTGTGTGTAATGATAGGACACGCCTCTCAGGTGCTGGAAGCTGGAACATTTCGGGCTCCAGTATTCAACCAAAATAGCCTGTAGGACGTTTGTTAGAAGACGACAACTTCGTCGCCTTGTAAGACACAAACTGATGGAGGAACCAAGGACAGTGTTACTACTACGCCGACTTTCTCCCAGACCATATTGGCAACGAGGTTCCGATTGCTTCGGTGAGTCGCATTTCTCATGGAAATCGGGTGTTGCCGGCGGCCAACTTCGAAGTCACTCGCTAATTCACCCTGATTCACAGCCCACATTACAACTGCAGGCCGAAGCCAAATATTCTGCTCGTTCGATGTAGGAAGCAGCGAGATATTATACGATAGGATGCCACTCCCTACACCGTACGATCGACTCGAACCAAACTCCTGCTGGATGAAATTCACAACACAGAACGCACCTGAGTTTGAGGAAGATGACAAATTGTGTGAGGACGACGACTTAAACTTGAAAGGACTAAGCATACACATTGTATCGCAGATAACAGGGCAAAACATACAAAATCCCTGTAACATGAATTCGCTCATGGTCGCCCAAACATCCACAGAACTACAAGGGCATCGTTCTCCGGAGTTAGCACATCGACGATTCTGCTGAGCGCTTGCTGACGCATCTCGACTCCAGCAAACAGACAACACACCTTGTGTACTATGCCCCATCCATTTAGCCACGAGCTTGCATGTGTTGATGGAGGCTTTTTCAAACTCGTTGCAACAGAATTCCTTCAGTGTCACGGTGTTAACATCCTCCGTAGAAACCGTGCGTTACTGTAGACAAAATTTGACGTCCGACTCGTTGGCCGAGTCTTTATTCACGTTTTGTCACTGGTCACCCTCGACAACGACATTGGCTCCTGGTATCGGATAATCTGCCGAGAATGGCTAGGGAATTCTGATTGATTGATGACATTGAAGGCGTTTTGTAATGCTAGGCAACTCCCTCGTGTCTCAGCCATCCCCACCTCACTTCAATTTGACGGCCCGCCTTGCAATGCATACCTCGCATCTTCTACCCCAACAGGATCACCGAAGTATCCATCGTATCCAATGGGTTTTTTTGCTAAACAATCAAATTTATTGTCCACAGGGTCAAGGACCTATGTCAAACATAGTCCCATTCGAGTGCGGGGCGTTTACTTCTGATCATACGTCAGCCTTCAGGAACTTGAAGGCACAACTACGTACGAAGGACCCGCCCCCTATTCGTACGATGCTCCGTGTTGGACGTGTGGCCACCATCAAGGGTCATAGATTCATGGTGCGCGATTGCGCATGGCATGGCGAATGGTCAAATCTTTAAAATGTCCCGACTTCTACCCTGTTTACATAGCATTGGAATGAGTGGGTTTCGGCAGAAAATCAAAGAACGGTCACATTCACGGCGACGGTTTGGGACTTACATTAGTGGATATCGGACCACATAGCAAACGAAAGGCCGAAGGGAAAGTTGGGCTGCGACTACTCGGGCTCGCTTGTACGTCTCTCCTTGAAGCTTTCAACACTGAGGGTCTGGTGGACGGAAAGGGGACGGCGTGATCAGTGACGGCTGATTCATATTCGCAAGTAACAAAAGCTGAGACGTTCATAGACTGTTGGAGTAGGAACCTACTGAGTAGCAACTCTCATCCTGGATCAGGCCTTACGCACCATACACAGGCTCGTTAGGGTCAGTCCAGCCTGTAAAGACATTGCCAGCTCGTTCATTTGTACGGCATTGCAGTGTACATTTAATCTTTTATATTCAACTTTGTGCGGAAATGTTTAACGTTTCATTTCAGGGTTTTACATAAGGTTTCATCGCTGGGCGTTACATCTTGGCCAATACTAGTAGTACCCTGAGTACCTGGATTATAAGTAAGTGGGTGCGTCTACCTTAAGTTGTCTTATGTAACCTCCCTTTGGTGCAGTGCCACTAAGCCATCTTCTTCCCAGCTTTCAGGAATGACGGACATGTCTGTAGTTGCAATCCAGTTCATAGGTAGGAGCAAAATATCGATATTCTTGCTTTGATGTCTACTGAGTACATATTACTGTTCAACCCTTTAGGGTTGACTATCTCTTTCGTGTCAGTATATCTCGGTTACCGAACCCATTGAACACCAACTTAAACGGCTCCGATAGGCAACTAGGTATTGCTGCTGCCCAGGGCTTCTGTTATTATAGAGCCTTCCCTCATGACATACGAATGCTAAAATATCTTGTGAGTACATGACAGTGGTATCATTTATACCCTCTAACCGAGGACTTTTAGGTAGTCACTGTCATGTTCATTTTCTACTATATCTATTGTGTACATCATTTAACTATGATCCAGGATTCTAAATGTCACCGGGACCTTATTGACCAGTTTCATGTACTGGTCGTTCTTTGTCAATTGTTTTCGAAGTACATCCCCGAGTTGTCAGGCATGGTGAGCGTCTCACGTGCATAGTCATGATGTTTTTCGGTTTTAACGCAGTTGCAGGGATACAGCAGTGAGCAAGATGTCTTCACTAGATTAAGCATACCCAACTTGAACTCGACTTATGGCAGGCAATGATCCTTCTCTTTGTGTCTGTGAGTTCTAAAGACGTTTTCAGAATCATTAATCTCACGTTCTTTCCAGATTACCCTACCATTCATGGTACAAAGGTACTACGCTGATCGCTATTGCGAGTGATGCTTACTTCTTGACACCGCAGTTTTTATTGTCATCGTGTATGGATAAGTAAGTTGTCATGCGTTAGTTGTATGTCGTTTTTAATTCAGCTGTGTACGCAGTCAGTGGCAAGAACATCTACGTCGCCATACCGATAGTGAGTATCCCATCACATTAACGAGGTCCATAAACTTACGTTGGCGAATAACAGATCCTATTTGCAGTTTCATCTTATGGTGAGTTCCATTGCGCACTGCATCTTGGTTATACTCTCAGACTTATTTATGATAGTGCTCGGTTTGAGTCAGTTGGCTGAACAATGTTTACTTTGTGCATGTGACTGACAGGTTCCCTTTGTGTGCAGTACTTATTCCGCCGCAGTGAGTTTTTTCGTGGTAAGACTCGAAAACCTAGTTTAATGACATATCCAGGGAGGCTGGGGCTTTCTCGAACGACGCAGTACGTCGGAGCATTTCCCCGAAGGCTATCCTGACATCGTTTTGGTAGATACTCAAAATCTCTGCCGCAGGAGCATTTCAGAGCGTTTTGTGTGATTCTACGATCAGTCTTTCTGTCTACTTTTACCTACGCCCTGCAAGAGCTGGTGTCTACCGGTAAGTCGATATACTGTGACCTAACCGTTAAAATATTCACCTGTGCGATGTAGCACGGACACCCGTATCCAGAACATAACCAAGAAATTCACCACCATGGGCTTTCTTGTGTGGCAAGTCTTGTACCGCTGTGATGCAATCCCAACTAAGTACCTTATTTCGTGACCCAACAGTTTGTTGGCTATCAGCATATTCATCTTGGTACGCAGCATGATCTATGCAAAACTTCTTAACTAAATAACAATGCCCAGTACTGGGCAAATGGGTTTGCTGCCATCGGAGGTGTAGCCATGGTTCTCAGAAGTTGTGAGTGATGTTTTCTCCTGAGTTACTTTCGTCCCACAGACTGAGATGGTATGCATCGAATAGCATATGCCAATTCGTTACTATCTACGTAAGTGAAACCGCGAGTTGATCATCCACATTAACTTATGGTGCGACTATTAGACTCAACGCCAGGGAGCTACCTAGTAGGCCTCAACCGATGGATATCGAGCTTCCAACTATTTCAGTGCATAATTCGAGATAAAGTGGCTACCCTGCGCGCATTGGGTTCCAGATCTTTGTGTCCCTGTGAATGCGATAACTCAACACTAACTTAAGAACATGAGCATATCCGTGTGCTCATTGCATGCAATGCAAGTCAATGGAACACCGCATCTTATACTAGTAGCTCCGGCGCGAGCATATGCATGCTGCCTATGCAGCTCAATCGTGGTCATCCAATTATTCACCATAAGATTCATACCGATGCCAAAACAATAAGTATCATAGGTACCGCAGGGCCATAGTGTTTGGATCCGTGGAGTGAGGTTTTGCGAGATGTAAAATTTCAAATTTCAGGCCCAGGCCTGAGGAGTCTCTTCATAGTCCTTTCCATTCCTCGCACTTGTAGACCTTAGTACCAACGATGATCGCAGCAATGGACCCATTACTATGGAATCTTCAAATACTATGTAATATGACACCGAGCGTACAGTGTATCATAATACTTTCGAGATGTATTATATATAGTCTATACCCAGCATGCAGTCCGAATTCATCGTTGTCCAAGTGATTATTAAAGAGCTGACTACACGACATCGTTGTTGCGGTCATCTGTGGTCGTTAAAGTTCCCACTGCACCGAGTATATTCAAAGTGGGCTAAAAAGGGATGGGCCGAAATATGTAGTTCATTGTGTGCACTGTAGAGTACATTATGTGATCGTGAAATTCACAATAAAGGAGGTGAGAATGAGAGTACCATGAAAAAAATGCGTGCAAGGATGATATGAACTGGAAGTTCCGGTACGATAGATGACATGTCACATTGAATCGAGGGTGATATTGGACGCAGATGCATCAGGGTATCACAACGGACGTCTCAAGGAAGTCTTGAATAATGGGTTTCTGGAGACTAATAAGAAGAGTCAATTGAGTTCCATAAGACTACATTGAACTCGCGATAAATGAGTGACATCATTTGAGTCTTTGTATATGATACAAACTTATCAAAGAGAAGCAGACTGCGACCACGAAGCTGTTGCCAAAGAGGATGTTCAAAATACAGCTACGATGCGCATCTTCAACACGATAGTTCTAGAGTCCCTAGTCATAAATCGTAGTAGTCATTAGATGGTGCATATTGACCATTTCCATGAGTTACTTCATCAGGCTCTTAGTAAAAAGCAAAAATAAGAGGGCTCAGCGTAGCAATGTTTTCACTTCCACTCCAGAGCTGTGAACGCAAAGGGAATGTTACGGGGGTCTTGATGTCTGCTAAGTTAATTTGAGGTTTGAGGCGTCAATGCATCACCTGGCAGTGTTCGCAGGCAGGATGGCAACTGGCATGAATGATGACAACTTCGACTCGGAGGACAGGTTGAAGAGTGGCGGTGCACGGCGCCAGAAATCGGGTGTTGCCGTTCAAGTTTTCTTCTTGCATCGGAACGACCAGTGCTGGAATTTAGAAATTGTCCCTTCTTTATAAACTGGCTAGGCGAGTTTTAGATCTAGGTATGACGCAGGGAAGAGTCGAGTCTGACTCACAACTGTCTAGTACGTACTCGAATCAAATCTTGGTTGCTTTACTATCTTGAGTCTCCAATTCTCCAGTAAGTACTAGTGCGTGACACTGCGTGTAGATGCGCCCAATCACTTCGACTGTGATCGTGGCACATGCAGTGTTGTGTGGGGCCTGGGCAGTGTTGAGAGAACAATGTATATCGTGGACATCACAGCCACAATTTCCTTTTCGTCGTGTCCCAGCTCGAAACGCTGCTTCAGGTAGTGTATGCGATTGCAAATAAGCCGCAGTGTTCAGTCAAATTTGTGAGTGGTACCTGTTTACCGGTACAACTATCTTCATTCGTCTAGGGTTGACTATTTGTCGGGTATGCTCTCTCATAGTTCTGTGCGTGGAACGAGCAGATTTTCTCGATTGTAACGATTTTTGACCAGCAACATTAGATGACAGTAAGAAGGAATGCGGGCTCAGTCTGACTTCCTGGTGATTTTATGCATACAGTGCTGTGTGTATCTGACATCAAGTAATCCTGTACAGGACTGTCGATTCGCCTGTCATCAAACCTTTTCATCCTGTGGCCTACCGGTAACCCATAACTATGATGAAGCACGCGGTCCAGCTTTTACAAGCATCAAGTTCTATGAATATAAAATGAGTCGCAAACTCGTTCATTGATCGTCCACTTTGGATACACTTATCTGCCCTTGCTCATTCCATACAGCCACACCTTCATGGATCATCAAGAGCAAGTCATATCTGATACTTCGGTTGATCAGACGCAGAAGGTGTTGGATAATATCATATCGAGTTCAAATTCGGCGTCAGCCAGAAAGCTCAACAGGTTGGACCGGGAAGGTTTGTCATCGTCACTTTATCCACGCAATTGGTGTGGTATTCATATTACTATGTCCTCGCCTAGATGATGTCATCACACAAACAACTCAAGAAATTGGATCAGCTTACAATCAAAATACTGCAGAGATTCAGGCTATCGTGGACTTCTCAAAGAAGAGTATGAGCAACTTTCTGGGAGAGGCAAAGATGGTGATCGACGCTCTGGATTCTTTGCAACATATCCACCCGCTCGTTGATGGTGTGTTTCCCACTTGCCATTGTTTCCACCTTGAGATATGGATCTTGAACTTGCAGTGGCTATAATCCTTTTCAAGGGTGTCGTGAATCTCGAACTAACGCGGAGAGAGAACGATCTTAAAGTCGCATCAGTGATATCTCAGGCGTCTGTTTTGATGAACATGCTTCACCTGTTCGTCGGCTGATATAAATCTCAAATGGCTTTTGCTGATTCAATTCATTGGTAGACTCAAGGGCACTAGGGAGAGTCCCGTCATGAGACCTTATGGTGAAATTCTAGGACCGCTTCGACCCGTGTTAAATGACATCAAGCAAGATATTGTGGACTGCGGAAATGTCATTGATAAATTATACAAGTCAAAGCTCATGGGTTAGTTTCCCTCCGGTTCTTGAGCATTTCACATTGAAAACCACTTTCCTAGTAAAACTTTTCAGATCATCCCATTGGGCTAGCGAGTTCGTGAATATCTGTAACAACTTTTCCAAGCGTAAGCAGGACCTCCAGCTTGCCCTAAGTCTAAGCACGCTGTTGAAAGTTGACACTACAAACGACAAGCTAGAAAAGCTCACAATCCTCATCCAGAGGCCAAGCGAACGTGAATCAAGATTTGAAAAAGAAGTGCAAAAATGTGGTGGAAGAGATCAATGTCTGGCAAACAATGACAAACTATTGGAACTCATGAAGATCACCGAGTCGTGGGAAGCCCATCCACAAAAGCCTGGTTCTAAGATTGCTTCTGCCAATGGATCGAACGACGAGAAGCACCTTCTTGATGCCACGCTGCTTCACGATCTGCGTGCTCCTTTACGCAGCTTACTCGATGAGAACTATCAGGTTTTCATGTTCAAACTTGACAAGCAGACTGCTGACATCAAAGATGCCATCAAGGATTCTGAGACGCGCATCGTATGGGCCTTCAACAGCAGGTTTCAACTGGTGAAGGATCTGGTAAGGATCAGTTAAGTCGACCTCATGCCATGACTGACTTGGGTCTATTTCACCAGCACCTGCAATACATCTGGAAAGAAATGGTATGTCTTTGTGCAGGTATAAACAGAATGCGTACTTATTAACATCAAGAAATGGCCAACAAGTGTCAAGACGCTATACTTCATTGCGGAACTCCATGATTATTACACAAACCATTTCTCCCGCCTACGTCATACTGCTGTGTTCCCACATGCAACGCTGGGTTCTTCATCTTTGGTGGTGCAAATATTACCATCAAGCCCCACTGGCTCCGTCATGTCTGATCTAGAGGGAGAAGACCACGAGCTTGCAGCAGTCGATCCTGCATACCATGAACTTCCTACTGTTGACCCTGCAGACGAGTGGTGCCTGAAATACTTGACCGTTTTCTATCTACCAAGTTTATCAGAAAGCTTCGACGATGATGCAAACGGCTTGGTCAGCATAAGGGAGGTGAATGCCTTCACTTCTATGATACCTAAGGGTTGGAGTCTGCTACAAGCACTTGCCTACCGGGCCGCAGGTGAGGATTACTATTGTCAGGTTGAAGCTGCATTATTTACGTCAATGAAGGTTGGAGAGTGGATAGCCAACATTACCACACACGGATTGAACAGGTCTTGGCGAGCATGCTCGATACGCAAATAGATGCACTACCAGGAAACAGGAGGTGTATTGCCATGTACTTGAATGATAATATCGATGGTTTGTTGCTCCCCCCACCATTTGACGGAGAATTCACGTCGTAGATAGCCATCACAAGGCTCGTTCGTTCTCTTGCAGAACTTGGACAAGAGCGTTTGGACTTGGATCTCATGCAATTGGCTGATCAGCGTCGCGAGACTCAGGAGAAGGCGTTGGCGCATAAACTTGACAAGGTGAAGTATGAAATCGACTCCCAAGATTCTCTCAAACTCTTCGAATCTGGCCGCATCGAAAATGTGAGTCGCTCACTCAGTGCTTGCACTAAATGCTCACATGAGTGTTTGTTCAGTTCTTGCTGCCTTTACTTTACCTCGTAATCAGCAGGCATTTACAGATCATGAAGCTCGCCAGCACAGTGATTCTGGTGGAAAGAGAATTTGTGTCTGCAGCTCAAACCATACAGAATATCTTGGGTGGGGCATATCTGCGTATGGAGCAACTGGCAGGTGTGTTTTAACTGTGTTGTGATAAGTCATCCCCTTACATTACCGCAGAATCATTTCGCCAACAGGGCACCGATCCAAAAGTGAGATTCAAGTGGTATGCGCATGGCTTGGTGCGTGGAAACAGAAGCAGTGTATCTATTCCCAGGCCTGACATCCCGCACTAGTACAACTTTTGGTACAGTTCAGAGCGAACTACACGTGATACCGAATACTGGGAGACCCACCATGACGATTTCGGGTTTGATGACACTAAACTGGAGATTGATGCGACAGCACTGAAGCTTGGTCCCTTCTGTCTGACAGAGGACCAGGAACTGTTGGAAAGGCCTGTGACGTTCGTTACATTGAATGCTACTGGCAACCAACAACCTGAAGACCCCAAGGAAGAATATATCCGTTTGTGGTGCATGAATGCACTCCACACTGACAAATGGCAAAACTTCTACCCTTATGATGTTCCATCTTACCTATCGTTGAAGGAGAAGGAAAGGTTTACTACACTACGCCAAGAGCTGCTGCCTGCAGACGTCAAGTGCTGGAATTCATTAGCTGAACTCCATCTGCGCAGTCGATTGTTTGAGTGAGTCCTCCTCTAATATACGCAACCTTCCTCAACCATCTGTTTTGCTGGTGTTTAGATGTCAGTGCAATGCATGTAATTACCTTGTCACCGATGTCACTCACCGTTGTTTAGACTGCGAGGACGGTGAATTTGATAAAGGCAACCGCCCCATACGAGGCAACTGATAACACATATGTAGATGATTACGATCTGTGTACAGAGTGTGAATCTCTGCCGGTTTCAAAACACAAATATCCATCCAACCACAAGTCGACACACAACATGCTTGTTTTCCGTGCCTCGCTACCATATGTCGTCTATAAAAGAGCCAACTATCATGCCAGAAATACTCCGCTGCTCCATACAGCACCGTTAAAAGGACCATCACGAGAAGATGAATCCTCGACACAATCTGATGGACCAGAACTTCCGCGTTCGACAGAAGCCACTCAAGAGGACATGTCTACCACCTCTGTCAATTTCCGGGAAGATCAAGAGAAGTCAAGCGGAGACGCAATAGTGGCACTCAGTGGGACAGTCGCAACCTCAGTTGCAAATGAGGATGCCTATACTTGTACTGAATGTGGCATTAAACTGGGCATTTATTATGCATGCCTTCACTGCGCAGGTCAGAATCCTATGCTTCTCAGATTGATTACCAAGTGTGACGAAACATCTTAGAACACACCCTGATTGCCCTATGCGGTGATTGCGCATTCCGTGATGAATTCACCGTGGTCACACAGCACCACCCTTATAAACACTGGCTGGTCAAGATCAAAGACAAGGTTCAAGACACAGATGGAACCTCAGACGAGCCTGTGGATAACTTGGACCAAACAGGTGCTTTGGCATCACCTTCCTCTGACTCACGAGTCGATCACTTGAACCTAGTTGCAATGGTAGAATCTCGCTTTACTGAGCTTGATCTCCGTATTAGTGGCCTTGCCACCCAAGTTGACCAGCTTATGCATAGTCTAGCTGAATTGACGGGAAAGGCACAACCTCTCTCGGGGTCCGCAAATGGATTGGTTGGCTCATAGAGCAGTCTGCCGTCGATTCCCTTTTTTCTGATTATTGATATTGGTTTGTAGCCTTGTAGATATTTCATGCAGCAGCACCGACTTACAAGCGCGTGTCTTTTGTGCTTCGTACACGATGATGACAATGATGAAATAAAAATGACCATTTCCTTGCGTGAAATGGCTAAAGGACTCTATGCTTAACAGGGACTCAAAGACACGACGTACTACCCTTCATGATGTCAACAAATTTAAATCAAATCAATCGTTCCCATCTTTCCCCAACTGAATATATTCTCATTTGAAGTTATGGAAAGGATACAACGCACGTTAACGACAGCAGCCTGAAGAGACTCGACGCGCCCCATTGCAGATAACGACATACGCTTCTTCGGAGTATCGCACCCTCGCCCCTCATACGTCTGAGATAGTAAAGATAAACAGACTTGTCCAATTACTTCAAACGCACTCGGGACGCGGGCATGTGCAGAACGCGTTGTACAGCAGCCCAACGAATGCTAACCAGCTACGCATCGGTGTCAATCAGGATTCCACACATCCTAGATAACGCGCATCGCATCGTATGCTGGAGGAGGGACTCCCCTCACAACGCGCTCTGTCATCAGCACTAACACACCTCGAATACAACCGCTAACAGATGATACAGCTCCCACCCTCCGCTTTCTCAAGTCTTGCATCCAGTCGTGCGTGAAGGGTGCCGTCTGGTGCGAGGTAGGGTGTATTGCTGTAGGGAGGGCGTTGTTAGCGTCTTTTTGGTGGGAAGGGCACACGGGAGAGGATAGAGAAGCATTGTAGATGGGAGAAACCGTGTAGAAAGGGGTATGAGGAACGAAGTAGATGAGTGGCGGGTGAACGAAATGGATCACGGGTGAAAAACAAAGTACGGTAAGGCAGTACGGGAGCAAACAAAGACGAAGGAGAGAAGCCAATCGAACCAAAATCAGAAGAAAAAACACTCACCCCCACCCAAGATCATCGCCCAACACTCCGATCAACGTATTCGTGTACATTGTTCCTTCCTCGGACCACGTAGCTGGTTGTGGAGGTCTGCAGGGCTTTTGTGAGCTGGGCGTACATGTGGAGTAAATGAATCACGGTGCACGAGGAGAGAATGAGTATAGTCAGCGTACGTAACGCCTCTCAAGAATCAAACCCACCTAGGACCAATACCACCCCGCCCGAGCTCCAACACACTAAACGCACTTCCATCCGGAGTACGATGGGCAAGTCGATTAGTAGATCGAAATGGTATGACGACGGGCGGTTTTGCTTGGGTGGGGGAGGTAGGTACTGGTGTTGAGGGAAGAGACGAGTATCTTGAGTGGGCGGGTGAAGATGACTCGGAGGAGAGTAGGTCTGGAATTGAAGATGAAAGAGGACGAAAGACGTCGATGATAAGTCTTCCATCCACAAATGTAGGTGGACTGTGCTCCATGAGACTGAGTGCGACTTGCCAAGGTCCGCTCCCTGCACCATGAGTCGAGGGAGAGGGAGAAGAGAAGAAAGTGAGTGACCATATGCGTCCTACAAAAAGTGAGTTCGACGAGGATGGAAATGAGAGAACGCTGACCTCGCGCAATAAACTCCACACCTACCAAACCAGCGACGCGCATTCGTTTCTGCCAGAGACGGATTTTGATAGATGCACTAAAGGCAGCTTCGCCATCGACCTCGTGGACGTCGATATCATCTGCAGATGTGGAGCCTAGAACGAGGGCGTCTGGATCTTGTGCATCAGTTTAATAACACAAAAGGTAAAATGGGATGGTCACCTGCTCTGAGAGTAGTTATAAACGGCAGCTCTCCCCTGCGAAGCTTCCCAAACAAGAGCTGATCACCACTCGCAAGACAAGCAAGACGGATGTCTGCAACACAGGCATTGTTGAGTGGGCCTGCGTATTGAAGCATATCGGGGAGAATGTGGGTATGGCGGTTAAGAATGGCCCAGTAGATAGGAGTGTGTCCTTCCAAGGTAAGTTGTTGGAGGAGGGCGGAGAAGGATGACGGAGATAGAGCAGATGCACATGAGGCTAGGATTGGGGTAGCAGCAGAGTTATCAGTGGTTGTGGCAACGAGATCGCGGATGAGAGAGATGATAGTTTGGCGTGTTTGCTTGGTACGAACATTAGGAAGGAGGGAAAACCATGTTGAGGAAGATAGAGGGGCGGCAGAGGAAGACCCTGCAACACCAACAGAACTAGAAGCTGTGGGACGGGCAGTTGGTGCTGGCGAAGGACGAGGTTTCTCATCTATAACGGTAGAAGCAGATGCGATGGTGTCATAAGAGGGAGGCAAGTCAACTTCATCGTCGATTTCATCGAGGTATTTATCGAGCAAGACCATCTCAGTGCTCCTCTAAGTGTTGAAAAGAACCAAAGTTATATAGTGATAGGGACTGCGGGCTACGCAGATGGCTGAGCAAAACATACGCGCTTAACAGGCTGCTGCGCCTGGGAATGACTAGTACAGCCCTACTACAGAACTAGTACTTACTGGTACATCGACTCGTCTGTACAACTTTACTGACATAACACCTACCCACCACTGCGGCTCTGTGTCCATGAACCTAGTCAGCTCACCAACTTGTTTCTGAGTGGGGCGGTGATGACAACTCTCTGGCTGGTCGTTGAAAATGTACAACACGTGAACAGTATCGTCAGACATGCATTCCGCTGGAATGATCTGCCGTAATTCGTTGAAAGCGAATGAATGTGGAAGGTTTTTCTGAAGCTGTAGCTGGGGTTTGTTCTGGCGTTGCTATTGACCTTGGTTTCGGAAGAATCGGGATGTAGTTTAGCAAGGAAGGAACGAGCCGTCTGATAAAGCCACTCTTGAGATATGTAGTAGTAACCATACATCTGAGCATTACGTTGCGGAGGCGGAAGGATTATATTGATACGGTTTCGTTTGGACTGCTGGGTACGTCCAGAATCATGCTGCTTGGGTTCACCAAGCTTGCTGAGCAAGAGTAATTATGTAAAAGGGACATCAGCGAATAACACCTGGACACAAGTACTTGCATCGCTTCATCGAGGCTTTGGATTTGTTCAGACATGTTGACAGGGGCGTATGTACAGCCGTTGACTCGGCCAACACAATTGTAAATTGATTTTTAAATTTAATCATCGGTGCTCATCAAAGTGCCACAGTGAGCTGGCATCTGTTTCATTCCCGAGCATCCGCTGCTAGTGTTGTTGGCAGAGCTCGGCAGTTTTGCCAACCGGTCTGACAAAATCAGTTGTGTCCAGTCCACGGCAGAACTCCATGATATCCAAGACTCAATCTAGGTCAGTTTGAACACGAAACCTGATATCCCTATACTAAGATGGTGCATACTGGAGGACAGATGACTCCCTCGTCGCTAATCAAAGATAATTTTGAGCACCTCGAGTTGATGATAGCTCGAATGGTTACTACCATGAATATGAAAGTCCAGTCGCCGCCTCTATTTCTCCACCGGATGTGTCGTGAACTTGCTGTTATCGGCGGAATTGGCAACGAGTAGTTTTCCCCTACCCAAGCATTCGGCGATGCAGGCACATAAAAGGGTTTGGCCGTACCACTGATCACGTATAAAAAGCCAACCTACGCGGCCCAGAAAATACCATCAGCCTTCAACCTTCAACATTTCAACTATGAAATTTACTTCACTCACTATTATTGTCATATCTATTGCAGCGATAGCTGGCGTAGCTATCGCATCTGATTTAGATAGTATATACATAGGCAAACCATGCAGCCCCAGTAGTGAGTACTTTTGCGGCCTATGTGCAGACCACGTACTTACAGTTTATCCACAGATGCACCAAAGTGCTTAAAAAACACGGGCGGGAACGACTTCGGTTATGTCTGTGGACCGAAGTCTACTGTCATATTTTACACCGAGTGTCCCTGCTCAAATTGCTGTCAGTTGATTGAAAATGACAGTAACTTCCAGTGTGGAAACTTCAACTGAGTGAGCCTGTCGTTCCCTGCTGGCTTTCGAGCCTGAGTGTTAATGTTGTTTACTTAGCATATTGTGCGCAAGAGGACGTGAAGGAGCGCTTCAACGTGGCTTGAAAGTTGTAACGTTGAACGTACGTTGAGTGTCAATGCGCATGCATTCAAGTTGAAGCTGGAGCCAACGATTGAATTTCGTATTACGTAATGTCGTTTTTTCAAAGTCGGGACTCGGGGCACTTTCCTTGTAGACAACTTGCATGACCACCAATTAGTATTAAGCCAGTTCTCAGATGCGTCAAGACAGTCAAGACGTATGTGCACCCTAACGGTAGCGGGAAGACTTGGTGCAATCGGGTTTACAACGTCTTGGGCACTCGGCACAGTGCTATTCTCACTCGGAAACTCAGGCTACTGTTGTCTTTCTCCATCATAAATCCTTCGAATTTTGAAAAGTTAAGAAAGAAGTCCATTCGCTTTTGAATCCTCATTGATTCTTCCAAATGTGGGTTCCTCAAGATGAATGAAACGAAGCTTTGAAGAGGCGCTCATTAAGATCATACACGGTTGGCGAGTCTTTGTGAGGATGAAGTTCGGCTGATGATACGTTCATAGACTCTTATCATCATCATTAGTAATCATACCAAGAGGCCTCGGAGACGACTTCAAAGCACAAATTTAGGAAATGACGCTGTCCGAATCAAGGGACATTTATCTGTCAGACACATGTCTGATCCGGCAGTCATGTGTGATTAATTAAGCGAGTCGCTTTTCGTCAGTTCATGCCCTAGGCCTCAACTACTAGTGCATCTAATCCCTGACTTTTTAAGTTTTCGGCAGACCTGTAGATACATTTGGCAAATTCCGGTTACAGCCAAGTTACAGCGGTAGTTACCGCAAATGTACGACACAGGTGAATCTACACCCCTCAAACTCCACTGGTATTATCAGTGGCAGACACTGGACGCGCACGTTCGCAGCATGGAGTAGCTGGGGTACGTATCTACGTAATTATCAATCAGAAAGAACACGATGCTCTGCCAATGAGCCTGTCAGTGGTCACCTCATTGGAACCTCGAGTTTACATATAATGGACTCATCATGATTGTCCAGCCGAGTTGCTTTTTCTCACAACCATGATACCGCGCCAAGATCATGAGGAGACATCCCTTCTCCTACAGCAAGAGCAGCTGATAGCAGCCAAGACACCTCTGCCTTGGGATCAGTTCTGGATCATATTGGTCTTGCATTTTTCTCAGTCGCTTGTTTTTAAGACTCTTGCCCCGTTCATCCCCCAAGTGAGTACATACTGTCTTCTGCTTGGAGTCGAAGATCGGCCAAACAGAATCTTCTAAAGCTAATCAAAGACATTGGCGTGACCAACGGAGACGAACAACAAGTTGGATACTTCGTCAGCTTCCTGGTGAGCATGTTTTTATCCTTCAATGTCCTATGTCTCTTACTGATGTCATCTCGAGGACTTATCATACTATGTCCCTCAAACGCTGGTTGTTCTCTATTGGAGTCGACTGTCTGATCGCATTGGGCGGAAGCCTGTAATACTCACTGCTTCATTCGCGATAGCGACTACAATGACATCGTTTGGGTTGTCAAGAACCTTTCGCGGTCTGCTGGTCAGGTTCGCACCTCAGATACATCGTCATCATGGCTGTCGTTCACCAAGTCAATTGCTGATATCCTGATCAGCCGTGTTATCTGTGGGGCATTCAATGGAGAAAATGGAGTCATCAAAAGCATGATGATGGACATTACTGATGCAACCAGTTTGCCAAAGGCATACGGATACGTGCCACTTCCATCGATGTTGGCCGCCATCATTGGGTAGGTGTATTTAGTGTTTCTGCTTGCTCTTGAAGTAGGATTGACAATATTCTAGCCCACTTGTTGGTGGATCACTCTCACGACCAGCAGACAGATTCCCTGAAATATTTGGGCAATCTGAATTCCTGAAAACCTACCCATATCTTTTGGCATGTGCTGTTCCAGCTCTATGTTCCGCTATTCTTTGGCTAGTTATGTATTTCCGTCTCAAAGAGGTTAGCATCATTTTGAAAGTCGTATCTGGATCGTACTGACTGCGGTAACAAGAGCGTTTCGACTAAGGCGCCGTTTTTGGAGATGATGAAACAATGGCTATCGCGACGGTCATATACAAAGCAGTCCGCGCTATCGAGGGATACTATTATTAGTTCTTTGGAAGCGAACACTGAAGAGGTCTCATCAAGTGCTATACTAACTCCGAAGGTTCTGACTGTAGCAGCAAGTTCTGGCACTTTGACCCTTTTTCTTGTTGCGATTAACAAGCTCCTACCACTTTTCTATGCGACGTCGATTGAATTCGGTGGTGTTTCCTTGGACCCTCCTCGCATTGGCGTTATATTTGCAACAGCAGGTTTTGCCAGTGGCATATTCCAGTTTCTTTTTTATGCTCGTTTACACGATCGCTTGGGCGCACATGTCATATATATGGCTGGTCTCGGCTCCAGCATACCTATTATCCTTTTATTCCCGGTGATAAATGCTCTGGCTCGAGCCCATGGGATGAGCTTCGCGACATGGTTGGCCATTGGCGTTCAACATGTGCTAATAATTATCTTGGATATGTGCGCCCGTATGTCAACAACTTAGCATTTCCTGTGTTCTGCTTAATTAAACTGCATCCTTAGCTTGCATAGCGTTGTTTACTAGAGCAGCTGCTCCTAATCGCGCCTCGATTGGAGCAACCAATGGCGTTGTTCAGTTGGTTAGCGGAGCGGCGAGGATCATCGCACCAGTATGTGCAGCGGGTTTTTCTTATTCGATGCAGGAAGGTCGCGATGCGTGGTTGGCATACTATTTCTACATGGGACTTGCATTTCTCGCTATCGGTACTTCTTTAGCCCTGCCTCATGACCCTAGTCTATGGGAAGAACGCGATTAGTATGCCCATCAGTGGTATCCATCCATGTCCACCTTTTTAAAACAATGAGTTTTCCGTAATAGAGACAATTATATCTGCTCAACAACGAAGCTGTCCGTGGAATGAGTTATGCTTGTAAAAGTAACAAAAAAAAGTGTTCGGGGTCATTACGCGTACGTATCGAGGAATATTTTCGAGAAATACTTCACACCTTCTGCACTATGAACTATTGCCCCAATCACTCCGTCCGGCCATATCACGAACACCTTCGTCCGGCTAACTTCCACGAGACAAGCCAAATAAACATAGCCCTCTCGATAAACAAGAACAAGGTCAGCAAGAGATGCGACAGGCGTCACTGATGCCAATAATGGCAAAACGACTGCCAATCATAGTACGACACTTTCGTCGTATGTCTCCAGTGCACCCAACATCGGGGTAGCATTAGCGAGACTCGACGCAAATACAAACATTGTGTGGTACCAGGGTCTGTACAAACCAGAAAGCGTCGTCACGAAATAGTGACACCCTCATCGAACTGTTCGAATGAGCACAGTTCGGTATCCATCTCAAGACAACAAGAGAACATCTCTAGATGGTGTCGCAAAATCACATCTAGGAGTTGTTGACCCATCGATTTGGGTCATGCTAGAAAATCGAATCAGCATGAAGCTTTGATCAAGCGACGGTGTTGCACACAAATGGTATTGCCGGAGTGGGTTTCGCATGCTAGAAGAAAATTATGCCACAGGGCGTGAGCTGGAATCTGTTTGATCTCCGAGTAATGTGTTTTGCCAACCGGCCTGGCAAAACTCACACAAAGGGAGGGTGGCAGAACTCCAGTGTATCCAAGACCCGCGGAGATGTAACAGGAATAGCAAGGTTTGAATTCAATAGAACATCGGAACCGACATCCCTAAAGTAATTAATGCTAGAGGACGGAGGATGCCCCCTCGTGCCACTGATCAAAGACAATTTGAGCACCTAGAACGAGTTGAGAACGGCTCATGTGCAGACCGCGTACTTACGATTATTCACAGATTCAGTGGGGTGCACAACAGGCCTGCGAAGTTTTAATAACGGAAACTATTTTGGTTTTCTCTGTGGACCGGATCGGACAATTGTATCATATATGCCGTGTTCCTGCTCAAATTGCTGTGTGGAGCCTGAGTGGGCCTTGTTTTTTCCTGCTGCCTTTCTAGCCGAGTGTTAATGCTGTCCACTCAGCATGTTGTGCGCAAGAGGGCGTGAAGGAGCGCTGTGACGTAGCTTGAGTGTCAATGTGAATATGGCATGCAATGAAGTTATGAATAATCGTTAAGTATGCATGTGCACATGACTTGATGGTCAAGCGTTTCAAACTCCGAGTGACGTTCCAAATTTTGTATTATGTAACGTTGAATTCCCTCGCAGACAACTTGCATCATCATGCATGATTCATGACCGGTCGACCACATATCAATTCAGTTCTCGGATCACGAAGACAGTCAAGATGTATGTGCAACCTAACATTAGCGGTGTACTTGGCATAAACTTTACAGCGTTTTGGGCTTCAAGCTTGAACTTGGCCTCCTTTGAGGAGCTCCTGCGCACGAAGTCAAACACTGATGATCCATGGATTCTATATTACAATGCACAGCACAACTCGGATGCATCTCACATAAGCCCAATTCCCCCACCATATCTCTTCAAATCCACCGACAACCCCTTCGTCTCAGCCACAGTCGCCTTAAATAACTCGATCTTGCCATTCAACAACTTGATCGCATCCAACCCCATCGGCAACCGCTTTGGTATATTTCCTCCTTGTACAACCTCATAAACGGTCCGCGTGAATTTATACGCATCTCCTTCGAACGCTGCGCGGACCAGCCTACGACGCATTACTGAAGTCTCAAAGGACTCATCGGTATATGCTGGATGCTGTGGTAACACCTCTGCCTTGTTCACTATGTCTGTGTGGAACAAGCCAGGTTCGATGATGCAGATCTGGTTCTTGTCGTGAGTATTAATCTATTGTTCTGTCAGAGGTTCATGCCTTTATGTTCCATGAAGGCGGTAACTCTCTCGAGAGGCTGTCCGTGAAGCCTTCTAGTGCTGCACAGCCAATCAGTCATGAACACTGTCCATGCCAAGATTCCTACCATGTTTACTGCAAACACATAAGCATCATCTCAATCAGCACCACGTGTAGACCATACTCACGTCGCAGCATAGTAACCGATTCCAGGACGCGCATGAAACCCACCAATCGAACTGATTTGAAGAATGGTCCCCCCCTTTCCCCGTTCATTCACCTCTCTAAAAAACTTCACTGCAGCACGACTAATGTTCGTCGCACCCCAAAAATTTGTCTCGAAAAGCTCACGCGCTTTATCAACGGGCGTGCCTTCGATTTCTGTGATAATTGAATATCCGGCATTGTTGAACACTACGTCCAGCCGTCCGAACGCTGAACGCGTACGCGCGAATGCTTCATCGATGTCTTCCTGCTTTGTGACGTCGACTTTGAGTACGAGGAGCTTGTCTGCTGGGTATCGGGCTGCAAGATCGGATAGGACTTGTGGTTTGCGGAGGGTTGCTACTACGATGTCTCCTTTGTCGAGGGCATACTCTGTCATGAGTCTTCCAAATCCTGAGGACGTCCCCGTTACTGTACGTGATGCTTAATATCAGCCGGCATGTGAGTGGGAAGGGGCTTACTGAACCAGACTTTGGGAGAGGACATTGCACGAATTGATGATCTTTTCTTCCTTGTCGTGGCTTTTATGCCATTCCTCATGCGTCAGGAACCCATCACAATTGTTTTCATGTCAAAATTTGAGAAGACACTACTAGTACTGTCAGCTGGAGCTAACATATTAGAAACTCGCGCCACAACTTGGATGTATGTTACTTCAAAGTCACTCGAGCGCTTCAATATCTAGTACTCAAAATACTACAAGTGAAATTGAAGTGTAACAAGACAATCTCGAATGAGTGTCGGCGCTGTCGCGTCTTCAGTTGTATCGGTATCGTCGGTTTCTGTACGAAGCTAGGACAAGGACAAGATCTCAGCGGGACGTGAAACTACGTGGAGAAAAAACATAAAAGTAGGAAGTCCGAGACGAAGGAAGCTACCGGTGACATCAGTATCCGAGATTCCGCAGTGCGCACCACTAAGACGAGGGTTAAAATTTCACGTTACAACATTTATCGCTTTGGTGACCCAAACTTCGCAGCACCGGTCTTCCGTGATGTTGAATGGACTATTGATGAGGGTGAGAGCTGGGCTGTGATGTCAGGTTCGAAGCAAAAGACCAGGTGTGTTATGCTGATATTCTGAAGTGTTTACATTTGGTTTACATTGACCAATTCAGATTGGGCTTTAATACTCCTACGTCACCTACGCATAACTCCTCCTCCGCCATTACCCGGAGGACTGTTTCCTTTCCTCAGACCCTCCACGCGACCCACACAACTGTGTGGCTTTTGTATCATTCGCGCGTCGGCCCCGTGCAGCAGGTGGTGCCTTCTACGACTACACTTCTCGATACGGCGCAGTCAGAGAAGAAGACCATATCACCCTTTGAGAAAGTATGTTTGGAGAATACGACTTTCTGAACATCCAGCCAAAAGGTGGACTCCCGTTGAAATTGCACAGGACGAAGTGAAGAAGGGCATATTTGAGGACCTAACTTCGAGACTGTCTTTCCTCCCTGTTGGATCTATCAAATGGCCAGACGCGTCGAGCACGCATCGTGAAGGCTATTTTATCTGAACCAGAGCTCCTTGTACTCGACGAACCTTTAAGTGAGTGATTGAACTTAAATTCGACGAGCGTAAAGTCTAATGGCTGTACTTTATCCAGCCGGCCTTGATGTCAATACTCGCCCAATCTTGCTGAATATCCTTCGGTCACTGCATGAGTCTCGCAGTCCACGCATGATCATTGGTCTCAGGGTCCAGGACCTTGTTCCTGACTGGATTTCGCACATCGCTCTAGTGACGGGCGAAACTATCCTGACAGACGTCAAAGATGAAATCATGTTCAAGCATGCGGAACATCAGGCGCAAGGGAAGCTGAGTATAGAAAGGCAAGTACCACTCACTCATATTTGCAATCTGGCCTTGATCATGGAAAGCCCGTAGTTGACATGAAGAACGTAAACGTATCATACGGTTCACACAAGGTAACTACACTGTTCTTCACTGTTTCCGTGTCAATGACGTTGTTTTGATCCAGGTGCTCAAAAATATCAATTGAACCATCCGCGCTGGCACAAGGCTTCAAGGCGCGAATGGTGCGTCAACATTTGCACGAAACCGATACTTTAGGATTCTGATCAGCTATTACAGGTCCCATGAAAACTACACTTTTGCTTCTGACTGGCGACCATCCCAAGTCTTACACTCAGCGAGGTGATTCGAATCTGGAGTTGTTCTATCGGCCTCGGCAGCGTATCCCTACTCCACTCTTACGTTCGCTCATTGCCATAGTTTCACCCCTTGATAGCTACAGCACCGATCCTTGTCGTTTATGCCAGGGCCCGGGGACTCGCATTGGAGAACGTGCGACACATCCGACCTTCACATTGATCAACTGCAGGTGAGCATCCCAAAAATCCTCCGGAACAGCACACCATAGGAAAACAAATGGTATCCATATCCAGCATGCGACCTCGAGGTAGATGATGAACCGGATAAACCAAACACCGGACGTCAGGCCAGAAAACATGAGTGCTGGGACATGCAATCTGTCAGTGGGCTACGCAGAGGGACCGAGGTCTCACCGGTCATATGACAGAAAATGGAGACGACGAGGGAAAGGCTGGGACTCGCTATAATCACGAGCGTGCAACATACACGGAAGCGAGTAGAGGTGAGGACCTGCGCAATGAAGTGTTAATCACCTGCCGAGTCAGCATGAATCATCGCTAACATTCAAGTCCACTCCCTATCGCAAGATTCATACACGGCAATGACAGTGACACCTGCAAGCATACCTCCCAATGCCTGCACGAAGGATAGAATAGAGAATATGTAGGATGCTAACGTTGTGTAGGGCCACAGAATCATTTCTGTAGGCGGGGGCTGGGTAGTCAGAAAGACTGCACTTGTCGTCGAAACGAGCCCTGCCTACACGATAAAACTTGAGATCCTAAGCAAACACTACATGAGGTATGCAACTTCACAATACTGTCTTTGCATCTAGCATCCCTACCGTCAACGTGATGGCATCATCTATTATTCACACACAATATTCTTCGCTTACAACCAAGTGGAAGTCTCATAGAGTCTCTGAAACGTGTGAATGCAGCCGAACGCCTACTAATCAGACGCAATGCAGGCTCGATGTGGCGCGAGACGCGCGCGTTGGTTGTTTGCAAGTTGCTGACTTCTCGCACAGCTCGTTGGTCCTCATATCCATGGGGAAGTGCTGAGCCCTGGTAGGATCTTCTGCCGAATCTCAAAAAGCGAGGCGGGTTGTACCATGACGGAACTCGAATGGGTCCGTATGCGCGTCATCGAGTCTGGCCGGAAGCTTCGTACACTCTACGGTTCGTGCCACATTCGCATCATGACTATGATGGTCTTTTGGGATTACAAATAGGAATTTCCGCAGGACAAGAGTAGGTTGAATTTCTGCGACCTACTAGTAGAAGGAACAATAAGTAACTGTGGTATGGGCCATCGGTCACAACTTTTTTTTAATCCTTGTTGTCACAACTTGCAGTCCCACACAATCATCTCTTGCTGTGGGTGTAATGCAACAATTGATGGAGCAAGTATTAAAGGCAGGACTCGTTCTAACCAGTTTAGCATATTGCACTCCCATCATGAACCCTGCTAACCCCTCGTCATTTAGCAACCTTCCCATTGAGATTGCCCTCATCGTCTTGACATATGCGGCCAAGCCAACATTTTCCCAAGAAGAGAAATATGATGATAAAAATCCCTATTCCACTGCCGTCTCTCTATGTCTCGTCTCTCGACTTGTGAGACGCACCATCCTCCCCGAATTACTGCACACGATCTTGCTTCGCCGACCCTACAGCGTGAATATGTTTGCAAATGCTCTGCGTATGCAGAAAGCGTACGCTGAGAAAGAAAGCGATCTCGTCTTTGACTATATCTCCACTATAAAGAGGGTGTGGATCGATGACTCGTGTAACTATCCTGTTGATGTACAGTCACAGACGATGTAGACTAACGACTTCTATATAGCATATCGTTCAGGAAATTCTCAGTTCGATCAGAACATGGATGTGCTGGTTCCAGTGATACTTGCTACGCCGGCACTTGCAATTAACTCCTACCAATTATTGCGTGTCATGGAGAGCGTGCAAAATGCATGGGATTTCTATACAGATCGCAATATCAGCAGACACTCCTCCTTTCCTGGGAAACCCAAAAGTCTGACATTAACGGGTCTCGATGTCAACTGCAAGATCCTCCACGACATTTGTGGAGGATTCATTTTCCTTACATGGATCACCCGCATCACTTGCCTCATCGATTTGGAGGCGGATTCAAACAGTTTTTGCGACACCAGCAGGGGCTTACGATCTCCAGAACACCCGCTACGTAATTGGATATGCGTCACTCCGTGGGCTTGGTTGAAGAACCTTGAGACCTTTTCGATATTTGACCCGCATCTGACTGCCCCCTGCGATAATGATTCACATATTGATCACACAAGGGGAGTAGATGTGCATGTGGAACGACTCACATTGCCTACTTCCCTGTACGGGCAGGACCCCTTCTCGTGGCAGACAGCGCTGCTTTATGTAACGGATCCTGAAAAGAAAAGGAAGGCATTGGATGGTCTTTCCTTCAAGGTTACGCGTGATCAGACGCACTTGATACAGGTTTTTAGCTCGTGGGATAAAGCTTGGGCGTCCGGGTTAATCGACGGATGAGGGGTTTCCGTCTTACTGTACTCTCACTATAGATTTCTTATACTAAATGCACAAGATGCAGACTGTATGATCGATGAGACATCAGCCACAGCGTGATCTGGGCTCAAGATCGTAGAGAGCGTCAGGAGACCAATAACAGCAGGTGCACGATGAACGATCGCATGCCTTTTCGAGTGAAACTGCACAAGACTCGCTCTACAAGGAAGCGAGAATTTTTTAAACTTTGGTTGCGTTCACGATGCACGCTAAGAATGCAACTCGGATAGCGTAGTCTAGCCTGAGCTTGGTTGCTTCGCAGGCCAGTGGGTAGTACGCTTGCGGGACATTTTGATAACCGGTTGTGAGGGGGCTGTTTTCCATGGACGAGACGAGTGCATGAACTGGCAAAGAGCGATTTATTTAATGACAACGACGAGTTTTGTAGCCTGAATGTTGCGTTTGCGAAACGCTGTCTGAGATAGCCTTAGACAATTGTAGGTACAAGCTGGTAGCTTTGCTTGAGCTTTGCGTATATTTACGTCTACTATTTCGGTAGATTTCCGAGTTCGACTAAAATCTTCGAATACATACCAGCTTCTGGCAGAATTTCTCTTGAAGTCAACAGCGAAACAACTTGCATGACCACATATCAATACAGTTCTCGGATCATAAAGCCAGCCGTCCGAACGCTGAACGCGTACGCGTGAATGCTTCATCGATGTCTTCCTGCTTTGTGACGTCGACTTTGAGTACGAGGAGCTTGTCTGCTGGGTATCGGGCTGCAAGATCGGATAGGACTTGTGGTTTGCGGAGGGTTGCTACTACGATGTCTCCTTTGTCGAGGGTGTCGAGGGCATACTCTGTCATGAGTCTTCCAAATCCCGAGGACGTCCCCGTTACTGTACGTGATGCTTAGTATCAGCTGGCATGTGAGTGGTAACAGGGCTTACTGAACCAGACTTTGGGAGAGGACATTGCACGAATTGATGATCTTTTTTTTCCTTGCTGTGGCTTTTATTGCCATTCCTCGTGCGCCAGGGACCCATCGCAATCGTTTTCATATCAAAAAAGGAGAAGACACTACTAGTACTGTCAGCTAGAGCTAACAGATTAGAAGCTCTGCGCCACAACTTGGATATGTATGTCACTTCAATGTCACTTGAGCACTTCAATATTTAGTACTCAAATGCTATAAGTGATAACCAGACAATATAGTTACTCCACTGAGTGTCGGCGCTGTCGTGTCTTCATTCGTGGTTCCATTGTATCGGATCGGTTTCTGTACGAAGCTAGAACAAGATCTCAGCGGGACGTCACGTGTGCCAATAGACGATGCTGAGATGAAGCTACGTGGAGGAAAAACATGTAAGTAGGAAGTCCGAGACGAAGGAAGTAGTACTACCGGTGAGCATCAGTACTGGTGAGAACGACATATGCATATATATGGTGTGGAAGGCGCCAAGATGTGATAAGAATTAGAAAAAGGTAAAGAAGCTCCGCCTCCGGAGTTGGTAGCGTATCGTCAACAATCGTGAACATTTTCGAATGAGGTATACAGGAATCAGTTGTACTTATAAAGTCAAAGGCCAAAAATGATTAATAAACGTCGAGGCCACGTATCTTCTTCACGCCATGAACTATCGCCCCAATCACTCCGTCCGGCCGTATCACAAACACTTTCGTCTGTCCAACTTCCACGAGGTAAGCCGAATAAGCATAGCCCTCTCGATCAACAAGAATGAGGCCAACAGGAGATGCGACAGGCGTCACTGATGCCGATGATGGCAGAACGACTGCCGATGTACGACACTTTTGTCGTATGCCTCCAGTGCACCCAATATCGGGGCAGCATCAGCGAGACTCAGTGCAAATACAAGTATTGCGTGGTACCAGGGTCTGTACAAACCAAAAAGCGTTGTCGCATCAGGCTCTACGCGCACCACCTGCAGTATATTGGATGCATCAGGTACCCCGTCCCCAGCCTCCAGATTCCCCTCGTCAAGCACCCCATATGCGTCGATAGGCTTCGCTGAAGCCACAAATTCATCGAGTACGATGGTGCTGAATCGGCACTTGATGCCAAGCATGTAAAGGATGTGACTTCGTCCGGCTGATATATCCCCAGACGTTATTGTCCTATCGAGAATCGAGGTGGTAACCTCGAGCGTCTCTGAGATCACAGGAAGACGCTCGGCACTGTATGTCTCGAGAAGAGATTTGTTAGCGATCCCTAAATTTCTGAACAAGCGCAAGTTTTCATCCTAGATTGAACTGGTGTAGGGCGCGGTCAGTTGTAACATACATGCTACATCTACCTGGCTTACTGCATCTTGTACACCTGAATCGAGTCCCTGTTCATGGACAAATGAATGACAATGGATCAACCATACCTGACCACCCGTTGGGCTGTAGATACTTGAATATGTTAGCAGCAGTTTGTGAGAAGACAGTCAAAGATAGACATACTGAGCAGCATCTAAGACGACATGCATGAGCACCCTCACAGACATGTTAAACAGAATCACATACCGCCCGCAACGAACACTCGACCCTCGCCAAACTTATTCACCATCCGCATATTAGCCCTGGAATGAACCGATGGGTGTGCATCAACAAAGATAGATAGAAACACAAAGTGCACCGGAAGTCGCCCATCCAGACCATCTTGTTGTGATCTCTGTTGGTATTAGCAACGCGATGGTCTCGAAGACAAGCTCTTCGCTCTGAGCAATCTTCGTTAGGTCAAATTCGCGGCCCCTCACTTTTAGCACCATCAGCGCCGATGATCCACTTGGTGTCAAAGCTTTCTGATATGCCGTTTTTTGCTAGAATAGCAGTGACACCCTCATCGGACTGTTCGAATGAGCGCAGCTCGGTGCCCATCTCAACAGAACAAGAGAACTTCTCCAGATGGCGTCGCAGAATCACATCTAGGAGCTGTTGGCCCATCAATTTTGAGACTTGCTAAAAATCGAATCAGCATGAAGGTTTGATCAGGTGACGGTGTTACGCACAAATGGTATTGCTGGAGTAGGTTCCACATGCGGGACTATCGATAAGTCTTGCAGAGGTTCCAACGTCCCAGGCTTGTATGAACGGACGAGAAGGGCTGATTTTCCCAGACTATTAACTTCTGAAATGTCCAGGAAGTTGTAGAGTCCGAGGGAGCGTGGCACATAGAGCATGTATTCAATGAGACCACGAGACGGTGTGACATGTGGATGTGCGACAAACCCATATCCCAGAACCACGCTGTCCAATGCGAGGGTGGAGGTCTTTATCGATGATGCGAACTGAGATACCGTTTTGGAAGAGCGTCAACGCTGCTACCAGACCCACTGGCCCAGCGCCAACCTAATGGCAAAGAATTCAACTGAAGTACAAACATGTGACATAAGCAGGTCACTTACGACTAGCTCGATACACTGGCAGGAAGATTAGTTGGTTTGAATTCCAAGGGTTTGGATCAGCAGGTCCTTATAACATGGGGACGGGGCCGAAGGCTGCGGTGATGACATGTCGTTTAGCTTGCGTATGACTACCATATGATAATATCCTTACAAAACAACTTACCTATTGACCACGATTCAAGTCATTCGACGTGACTTCGAGGCATGTAACACCTAGGATGAGCACGGATTCTCTGTATTGTGAAATAGTGATTAGAATGGCACAGTAGAAATGTGGCGTTAGGATGGGACCCCACGCGTGGAAGAGTCGACGCAAGACCTGATGGGTCAGAGCTTCCACGCATGAGAGAGTAGAAGCAATGTTGTGAGGAGAAGTTGCACAGGCCCGATGGGGTAGAGCTTCCCAGTAAGCAAGTCATATTCGACACTACCACCTGGTAAGCTTTAACTAACCGGACATAGACGGGCAGCGAGATTGGCAGGAGTCGGATTAGGCTGATTGCAGAGAACTTGATACCGTTTCATCGTTAGACCGATCACCGTCAACGAAGTTGGTCATCCATGGTATGTCGTGGTGCGGATGTGTGCGGCGTGAAATGAGCCCAGGGTATCATGAACTTGAAGAAAAAGGGAGGAAAACAACAATACGGTGGGTAAGTGAAATTGATACCGCATTGACAATTCGGAGTCAGCTCATTGCCACTGAATGTCACCTCAAAGATTACTGCACACAGCTACCACGCCTGATTTTCATTTTTCTTCTGACCCATACATGGCTGACAAGTCCTACCAGTAACCAGTGACAACTTGAAGTTGTTTCTTGGCCACTATCCCTGCACTCTGCTCAGAAACGGCCAAGCTCCAAGAGCGTTCAGCAATATTGGATGATGCAAACCTTTCGTTATTTTGCCTCAACGATTATCCTTGCTGCAATCACCGCGGTCCGCTGGCTCGATTTTAATATCAACAACTCGATGCGCCTTGCCAAGGAGACGAATTTCATTATCAGAGCTGCACATATTCTCGGTATAAAACATTCTCCAAGTATAATCTCACCACTGACGAGAACAGGGATAAAACGAACGTGGTTGAATTGAAAAGGCCTCAGACGAGCACTTCCTGTTGCAGTGAGTAGTCCTCTGACGGTACACTGTGTGCATTTCATTGAACGAATGTATAACAGCTCTTCTAATACTTTGTCATAGCAACTTCGCACATCGCACAATCAAACTTTCCGTCGGTGTGTGATGATCTTCCTAGCATGATCGTATCACAGGCTGATGCATAGTTATACCAGATACCATGAAAGTCGCTCAAACCGTTTTCCTCACAATTCTCGTCGCTTTCAATGTCGCCAGTGCCACTACAGTGCCGGCAATTTATTCTCGACAATGGTCAGACTGTATTGGCCCGTGCCAGTCTACAGCGCCTTCGAACTGTGGTTCAGGAATGATGGCTAAGAATACAAGCCCTGGGTGCTGGATGTGCTGCGCACCTAGCTCCTTGGCGTAAGCGACTTTCGAACTGCTCGACAGGGACGGCATCTTACCATTGGGGCCCTACGTACTGGTTGAGCTGTAACTACACCATAAGAAGTAAGTTGAACTCGGTCATTTTTGCTCTCAAATGAATCATGTACCGCCTCAAAAAGGATTGAGACATGGCTTCTAGCCCTACAAGATTATTTCTAGCAAGTACTCCGAATCTCTACGTATACAGGATAATCTACACAGTACGTAGTGGTTTGTATTTTCATATCACCGAATACTAAATCTCTTTCGTGCGATTGAGTCAGTCTTAACTTCGTGGCTGATAGCTATTCCGAGTCTTCTCCATGTCTTTCCTTCATAATCGGTTGCTAGTAAAAGCTAGAACCACCAGTTGGGGACACCTTCAAACGACCAACTCTGTTCCCCAAAGGTCGTCAGTACAACTTCGCCCTGTCCCTTTTCCGCTTTCCGATTCAAGCACGCCTGTCTTTCCTTGCGCTCCTTATTTGCGATTTGCTGTCGCAAGCTAGGTGGGCCAAAGACTCGGAAGGCACGGTCGCGGCCGCTATTAGAAGGCTCTAATATCCCCCCGATAATACATATTCCGGTCTGAGGTGGCATTTTACGTGTGGCGTGAGGTGGATCTCAATATTGTGATCATCATGCTCTACCGCAACAGACGCGAAACTCAAGCTTTCTCCAACTTTCTGTACTTCGAGACTGTACATGGACATGTGCAGTATACCCTGAGGGTCAACATGAGACAAGAGTTCAGCATGTGGCGTAACGCCAAAGATATCACTTGGCTGCCAGCCAAAGCCACTAGGCAGCCACGAGACGCCAAGACCGGGTTCATCCCTTTCGTAGATTTTTGGATATCAACGACTTGATGCGTCTTGCCAAGGAGACGAATTTCATATTCTCGGTATAAAGCTTCTCCGAGTATAGTCTCACCACTGACGAGAACAGGTATAAAACGAACGTGGTTGAGTTGAAAAGGCCTCAGACAAGCATTTCCTGTTGCAGTGAGTAGTCCTCTTACGATACACTATGTGCATTTCATTGAACGAATGTATAACAGCTCTTCTGATACTTTGTCATAGTAACTTCGCGCACATCGCACAATCAAATTCTCCATCGGTGTGTGGTTTTCCTATAAGCATGATCGTATCACAGGCTGATACATAGTTATACCAGATACCATGAAAGTCTCTCAAATCGTTTTCCTCGCAATTCTTGTCGGTTCCAATGTCGCCAGTGCCGCTACAGTGCCGACAATTTCTTCTCGACAAGTACAATGGACCTGTGTTGACACGTGCCAGTCTACACCGCCTACGGACTGTAAGAAACCCAAGAAGCCTACGAATGTAAGCCCTGGGTGCTGGATGTGCTGCTCATTTGGTCGCTCCTTGGTGTAAACGACTTGCGAACTGCTCGACAGGGACGGTGTCTTACCATTGGGGTCCTACGTACTTGTTGAGCTGTAACTACACCATAAGAAGTAGGTTGAACTCGGTCATCTTTGCTCTCAAATGAGTCATACCGTCTTCAAAAAAGATTGAGACGTGGCTTCGACATTATGGATGTCAGAACATCAGAGATACTGTAGCTATGGGTATCGTGGAATGGCTCGATTTGAATACCAACGACTCGATGCGCCTTGCCAAGGATACGAATTTCATTATCAGAGCTGCACATATTCTCGGTATAAAACTTTCTCCAAGTATAGTCTCACCACTGACGAGAACAGGTATAAAACGAACACGGTTGAGTTGAAAAGGCCTCAGACGAGCACTTCCTCTTGCAGTGAGTAGTCTTCTTACGACACACTATGTGCATTTTATTGAACGAATGCATAACAGCTCTTCTAATACTTTGTCATAGTAACTTCGCGCACATCGCACAATCAAACTTTCTGTCGGTGTGCGGTTTTCCTAGCATGATCGTATCACAGGCTGATGCATAGTCACCAGATGCCATGAAAGTTGCTCAAATCGTTGCCCTCACAATTCTTGTCGGTTCCAATGTCGCCAGTGCCGCTACAGTGCCTACAATTTCTTCTCGACAATGGGATTACTGTGATGGCCCGTGCATATCTAAACCGCCTTCGAACTGTAAGTCAGGGATGACGCCTGGGCATATAAACGGCCAGTGCTGGATGTGCTGCTTAACTAGTAGCTAAACGACTTTCTTACCGTTGGAACCCTACGTACTGGTTGAGCTGTAACAACATCATAAGAACTTAAAGTAGGTTGAACTCGGTCATCTTTGCTCTCGAATGAGTCATATACCATCTTCAAAAAAGATTGAGACGTGGCTTCGACATTATGGATGTCAGAACATCAGAGATACTGTAGCTATGAGTATCGTGGAATGGCTTGATTTGAATATCAACGACTCGATGTGCCTTGCCAAGGAGACGAATTTCATTATCAGAGCTGCACATATTCTCGGTATAAAACATTCTCCGAGTATAGTCTCACCACTGACGAGAACAGGTATAAAACGAATGCGGTCGGGTTGAAAAGGCCTCGTACGAGCACTTCCTCTTGCAGTGAGTAGTCCTCTTACGATACGCTATGCATTTTATTGAACGAATATATAACTAGTAGCTCTTCTAATACTTTATCATAGTAACTTCGCGCACATCGCACAATCAAACTTTCCGTCGGTGTGTGATTTTCCAGGATTTTCCTAGCAGTGATCGTATCACAGGCTGATGCATAGTTATACCAGATACCATGAAAGTCGCTCAAATCGTTTTCCTCACAATTTTTGTCGCTTCCAATGTCGCCAGTGCCACTACAGTGCCGATAATTTCTTCTCGACAGGAGGAAGCCTGTGAGGGCCCGTGCGCATCTAAACCGCCTTCGAGCTGTGACACAGGGTCGCCTAAGCATGCGGGCTCGTGCTGGATGTGCTGCTGGTAGCTAAACGACTTTCGAACTGCCCGACAGGGACGGTGTCTTACTATTGGGGCCCTGCGTACTGGTTGAGCTGTAACTACATCATAAGAAGTAGGTTGAACTCAGTCATCTTTGCTCTCAATCAATACAAGCAAAATATGAGTCATATACCGTCTTCCAAAAAGATCGAGACATAACTTCAATGTTCACGACATGATGGATGTCAGAACATTACATAAAGATACTGTAGCTATGAGTATCGGGCCCTGCTGGATAATACTTGCACAGGGCACTTTCTCTAGGTATATAAGTCATGTCACGTCGTTATGCCGATTTACGACAGGAGATCACGATTGTATCATTAGCGAATCGTCTGAGCGCAGTAGCTGAGAAGGCGTTGTTCTTCGACTGCCTACGCACTCATGTACGGGGACCAAGCTGGTGGTAGTAGAGATCGAAGAGGTGACTCAATGATTGTAATTTGTGGTTTCAAACTACTGATGTTCCTGATGACCGTGTAGTCTTCCCTTTGCAGATCTACGATATTTCCGTTTCCAGACGTAGTTGGAAGTGCATCATTGGACCACTTGGCACAGCGGCCTTCTTCCGCTTCAGATTTTTGGATCTTGAGCTTTCACAATAAGTTGACAATGGCAATTTTCGATATATACCACCATCTAGTGGGGCTGTGACACGTCTGAGTGGACCAGTGCAGAGCCTGGAGAGAACTCGGAGTCGAGGTGCAATGTTCAAGCGTACAACGAGCCTGTAAAACTCGTGAGTACTCTAATCACATTCTATGTATTTAAGTATTTGAGAATTTCCTTATTCCAAGATCTCTATCGCTCGAGTGGCGGTAAAATTTGTTCAAAAGCTCAACACAAAACTAGTGGTAATCCGTATGTCGTGCCATCAGCTATCTTCTGCACCAATGCTGATTGAAGTAGAAACACGACTCACCGTAGTTCACTGTCGCGACATGGCACTCACTCGTCTGGCATACACATCAAGATGGGCTACCGCGCCGGTGAGTCATGTGTTTAAATCCAAGGCACAAAATACTTATACTCACATCTGTGCCTATAGCGCCCTGGATCTTACATGTCTGCCCAGCGCAGCAATTTTTGTACGCGCAAAGTTCAGGACAACCTCCGGTACTATCAATGTTGGTGGGACTGGCAGATACTAATGCTATCAAAGCGGAAGCAACAGCAATGACAGAGGATAGATGCATTGTTTGAGGACTCGGATGTGATATAGGTTCAAATTGATCTGAATGAGACAGTAGGAAGACAGTATTTTTATACTGTGCTGAATATTGTTCTTCATGGTCCGGGTGACGCAGGAATTCGAGGTTCCTTTTCGAACATGTGGCAACTAGATAAAAAGAAGTGCGGGAGTTTCTTTTCAACAAATTCGATTGAAGGTGCCAAGGCGTTGATTAACACGTGGATCTAGATGATACCAATTGGATATTATTCAAACATCATTAGTAGGCCGATCACCGTGATCAATGAAGTTGGTCGTCCCGTCATTATCCACGGGCCATGCACCATTGCCCGTATGTCTTGTGGTGGGATGTGCGCATCGAGAAATGAGCAGGGCCATGATAAGCCTGAAGGAAAAGAGTGCGCACTTGGATACAGCTCTGTACGGAACAACAGAACATTATAGTTTCAAACTACTGATGTTCCTTATGACCGTGTAGTCTTCCCTTTGCAGATCTACGATATTTTCATTTCCATCCATCCATAGTCGAAAGTACATGGATCACTCACAGCGGCCTACTTCCATATCATATTTGTGGACCTTGAGCTTTCGTAGTTTGACAATGACAACTTTCGATACATACCACCATCTAGTGGGGCCGTGATACATCCCAGCTGGCCAGTGCAGCGCCTATGAGGGGAGAACTCGCAGTCGTGGTGCCAATGTTCAAGCGTACGGCGAGACTGCAAAACTCATAAGTACTTCAGTCACATTCTAGGTATTCAAGTATTTTCTCTATTCCAAGATCTCTATTCCTCGAACGGCAGTGAAATTTGTTCGAAAGCAAGGTATCGATCAACTCAACATCAAACTAGTAGTAATTCGTATGTCGTGCCATCAGCCATCTTCTGCACCGATGCTGATTGAAGTAGAAATACGACTCACTGTCACGACATGGCACCCATTTGTCCGACACACACACCCAATTGACAAGGATATCACCAGAGGGAATCTAGCCACATTTACTGGTTGGTGAGTGATTGATGCGATAAACAAGAATCGATTTTGAATAAGATACCTAGCATGTCCGTCACTCTCGTCTCTCGACCAGTGGTGCTTCACCTGCACAAATCCACGGATGGCGGAATTTTTTCCACTGCCATCCGGAACGATGGCTCCAGCCCCAGTGTCTTTACCACCAAACTCGATGTCAAATTCTCTTCTCTTCAAGCTGATTCTGGCTGATTGGATCCTGTTCCTGGTTGCGAAATTTCTTCACTTTTAGTTAGCGTGTTGTAATTTTACAGACGATATGCAGAAGAGTTTGTTCTGATGATTACCATGGATATCTTGCTGATTCCCAGCTGGCACCTAACAGTGCAACACGGTGAATGCATCGAGGTTCGAGGCCCATCAGTGGACCTGTGCACACTGCAACTAGCGGAGTGATGTACGATCGGAACTTACCGAAAAATGACATGTTCGCTTCCCCAGAATTTTACCTTTCTATCCTAGCTAGGGTATAAGGAATTGTGGTCATTCTCAACAGAACATACGGCCGGTGAACGTAGCTGGACAAGGCGTATATATGCCACAATCCGATTCCGAATTCCCGACTGCCGACCAGTGTACTAGTGCTGCACCGCGTTTCCAGTGTCCAGCTAGTCTAGGCCCAAGTATTACCGAAACAGTCGATTTTGTCCCGCTGGCCTTGGGCCTCGATCGATCACTATGGTGGCGCAGCGTAAGGGCCTGAGGAATCAGTAAATGGACTAGTAACGTGGAACATCGCCCTCTACTAGTATGTACTGCTTTCGACTCTCAACTCGCAAGGCTTTGCCCATTGCCGCTCAGCGTGATTGCCCTTGCCGGGTACAGTGGATCACTGATGTGATGATTGGTATTTGTGGAGGAGAGTGAAACACGCGGGCTATATGATATAACACCAGGATCAAACCGTCAACGTTCCGGTCAATCTCAAGTCTCAACACCCCTTCTTCCTCTTATGATATCGTCTTTCTAATGTATCCCATTGAATTAGAAGCGCAGCAGGCGTGAGTGATAAACCCATTGATTTGCTGTGTATGCTGATTGCGAACCAACATTACAATTTGCCAGGTTGGTGCAATTTTACACCCTTTTCGTGGCATTTAGTACTGCGACTTTTCATTTTGATTCTCAAGACGATAACTCAATATTTTAGGTATCCTGCTATACGACCACATGGCAACCCTCCCAGAAGAAATCATGTTTATCTGGCGTCGTCCAAAAGCAATGTCTGCAGTGTTATTTCTCGCCAATCGCTATGTCGCCGTGCTCAGTAACATCCTTGTCCTGATGAGCGCTTTCCTACCCGTTTCAACTGAGGTTCTACAATGTTGTGTGTGTATTCGACTGACAGGCTCACTGTATCTCTACAGAGGTTTCAACTTTGCTTCTTCAATATCTACTATTTTACTCAATCAAGACTTAGCTGTTGGAAATATGCGATGGCCGTACATGTGTTACGTGTTTTCCAACAACTCTTCATTTGCTGTGAGTTCAAAGTTTATTGCGAGAGAGTGCGCTGAAGTTTTCGAATTTTCAGTCATATTGACTCTTCGCACTTATGCTCTCTACGGGTACCGCAGGCGCCTACTTGTATGGATGGGGATTATCGGCTTTACTCTTGTGGCAGGAATGATCTCAGTACGTATTTGCGAAGAATTTGAAACTTTAGAGTCTGCTGAAGTTTTAGGTGAGAGCTCTTAGATATGTCTCGGTAAATAGTGCGATCGGCGGCGGCGGCTGCTATGAAACATACCCAACAACAACGTATGTCATTCCCTTCGTCGTTCCGCACGCCTACTGAAAGTCCTGCCAGATCTATCCGTCAGTGCATTCTAAGTCACATCATGATGGTGCTAAGGAATTGTCTAATCGCAGGTTCTGGGATCGTTTGGATCATAATGTTTATCTATGAATTACTCATCTTCATCCTCACAGTCTTCAGGACTTGGAGAACTAGGGGGGTGCCGCGTTTCTCCCTCATATCCAGGAGAGATATCCTTGATGTCATATTCCACGATGGTATTTTTTTGCCGCACCGGTATTGTAAACACTGAACTAACCGAGCACAGGTGTAATGTACTTTGCGTGAGAGTGCTAGCGAAACTATGCGAATGAAGCTGATCCGCTTTCTCTTAGAGGGGTGACATTAGTCAATTTACCCAACATTCTGACGTACTTTGTAAGTCCACGAATGAAATATTGGTTTAGTCGCACACTCACATCATAATTTAGTGTGGTCCAGTGAGCACACCCGCATGTTTTCACCAGGTTGACTATTTCCTAACGATTTGCAAGGATATCATCAGAGGCTGCCTGGGTCCATTTACTACTTGGTGGGCGGTTCAATTGCTATAAGCACGGAACGATCCTAAGCATGACCCTTAGCATGTCTGCCACTCTTATCTCTCGCCTGATGCTCAACCTGCACGGGTGTGTTGACACTGGCATTTTTTCTACCCCTGCCGAGACCAGCCCCGATATTCTTACCACCAGGGTCGACGTAGAGTTTGCGGTTTCCTCGGCTCATTGGTAGGCTGGTACTGGATTCCGTTTATGGATGCGAAGTGTCGTTGGAAGTTAAGAAGTGCTCTTCGAGTCTTTTTCTTGAACGCAGCATGGTATGCGGGCTCGATATCTATGTAGAAACGACTCATTTACTGTGTGTAGTGACTTGTTACCATTCCGAAGTAGATTGGTTCCCAACAGGGCCGAGTCCCTGAACATGTCAATTACTGGTCACTGGCTAAGAACTCAACCTTTTCTTGATTTGACCACTAACCGTACGTTCTACACCTTGTCACAGAGTATCCTTGCCTTAATCCTCGCTGTATGAATATTACTCTATCAGAAGGTTATGGGCAGCTGACTGGGGCTCTCTACAGCGAGGATCAGGACGAGGATAAGTATTCTGTGGAACGTCCGCGGTAGTGACCAAATCAGGTGTAGTGTCCACGTATTACGGTCGTTTACGGAAGGACAACCGTGAGATTGACAATGGGTCAATTCAGGTCTGAATCAACCAGGCGTTATAACACCAATGTCAAAATTTTCCAGTCGATATCGAGTCTCAACACCCCTTCCTCCTATGATATCATATTCCTGATGCATACTACTGACTTGAAAGCGCAGCAGGTGTGAGTAATAAACGTATTGATTTATTATGTATGCTGATCGCGCACTGACGTTGCCAGGTTAGTGCACTTATACACCTTTTTGGTGGCAATTAGTACTGCGACTTTTCATTTTGATTCTCAGGATGATAACTGAATATTTTAGGTATCCTGCTATACGATCACATGGCAACCCTCCCAGAAGAAATCATGTTTATCTGGCGTCGTCCAAAATCAATGTCTGCAGTGTTATTTCTCGTCAATCGCTATGTCGCCGTGCTCGGTAATATCTTTGTCCTAATGAGTGCTTTCCTACCCGTTTCAACTGAGGTTTTACAATGCTGTATATGTATTCGACTGACAGGCTCACTGTATCTCTACAGAGGTTTCAAGTTTACTTCTTCAATATCTACTATTTTGCTCATCAAGGACTTAGCTGTTGGAAATATGTGATGGTCATACACGTGTTACGTGTTTTCCAACAAATCTTCATTTGCCGTGAGTTAGAAGTTTGTTGCGAGAGAGATACGCTGAAGTTTTCGAATTTTCAGTCACATTGACTCTTCGCACTTATGCTCTCTACGGCCGCAACAGGCGCCTGCTTAAATGGATGCTAATCATGGGCGCTGTTTTTATAGCAGCATCGGCGGTACGCGTTCATGAAAGATTTTAGACTTCAAGCTTCAAGTCTGCTGAACTTTTAGGTGGGAGCTTTTAGACTTAATTTAACAGGAAGTGCGATCGACAACGGCCACTGCCATGAAATATACACAACACCAACGTATGTCATTCCCTTCATCATTTCACATCCCTGCTCAAAAGTCCTGCCAGATCTTTGCGTCAGTGCATTCTAAGTCACATCTAGGTGTAAATTGATGGCGCTACGGAATCGTCCAATTGCAGATCATGAGATGACATGGGTGACAATGTTTATCTACGAATTGCTCATCTTTGCCCTCACAGTCTTCGGGACTTTGAAAGATAGGGGATCGCCGCGGTTCTACCTAATATCTAGGAGAGATATCCTTGGTGTCATATTCCAAGATGGTATTTTCGTCGCACCAGTATTGTAAACACTGAACCAACCGAGCACAGGTGTGATGTACTTCGCGTGAGAGTACTAGCGAAACTATGCGAGTGAAGCTGATCCGCTTTCTCTTAGAGGGATGGCATTAGTCAATTTACCCAACATTCTGACGTACTTCGTAAGTCAACGAATAAACTATTAATTCAATCGCACACTCACCATAATTTAGTGCGGTCCAGTGAGCACACACCCGCATGTTTTCACCAGGTTGACTGTTCTCTGACAATTTGCAAGGATATCGCCATAGGCAGCCTGAACGCATTTACTACATGGTGAGTGGTTGATGGGATAGGCACAGAACGACCCTAATTATGAACCTCAGCGTGTCTGTCACTCTCATCTCTCGCCTAATGCTCAACCTGCACGGATGTGTTGACACAGGCATTTTTGCTACCCTTGCTGAGACCAGCTGCCATGTCCTTACCACCGTGGTCGACGTAGAGTTCGTGGATTCCTCTCACGATCCGTAGGCTGGTATTGAATTCTGTTTATGGATTCAAAGTGGCATTGGAAGTTAAAAACTATTCTTTGTCCAGCGTGGTATGCGTGCCAGTGCTCGATAAATGTATACTTGAAACTTTATCTCGTTTATTGTTATCTTTGCCCTAGGATTGTACATAAATAGACCATACGTATACGATGAATTGTTGGCTAATTGGATTATCCATACGTGTTCATCCGTGCGGTGGTGTGCCGGGCGTTTGCGTTTAAGTTTCGCAGCTGTTTGCAATTGGTAAACTCTTACAACGTTTAACCACCATGATAGTAATACACCAGGTTGAGACTCCGTGGTAGGAGGGCTTCCATGACGTCAGGCTGACTCCGAACGCCCCTTTACATAACTCAGTACAAGCCTCAGGCCTCCCCCTGTTAATTTCAGAACATGTCTGAACAAATCCAAAGCCTCGATAGAGCAATGTCTAGCATGCAGGTGCGTCCAGGTGTTGTTCGTTGATATCCCTCTCAGTTTCTCTTGCTCAGCTTGGTGAAGCCAACCAAGACCAACAATGTAATTCTGCACCTACCAAACGGTCCAAACGAAACCGCATTAATATAATTCGTCCACACCCGCAACATAACACTCAGCTCTACGGTTACTGGATATCTGAGGAGTGGCTTTATAAGACAGCTCTCATCTTCCTTGTCGAGCTACATCCCGACAAGTTTTCCCAAACAACACCCATATGCGACATCAGATCAAACACCGTCTATGCCTTCAGAGAAATTCTCCACATCAGTTCGCTGTCGATTGCTTATGCAATTCCATCTCGCAGGCAGATAGTTCCAGAGTAATGCATGATTGACAGTACTAGTACTCTTGTGTTATACATGTGCAGCGACTGGCCAGTCAGCTATCATCACCGCCCTGCTCAGAAAGAGGTTGATCAACTGACTTACCTCATGGGTACAGAGCCGCAGTGGTGGGTAGGTGATGCGAGAATGTTTACGCTGTACTAGGGTGCCATTCAATGCCTATGTTGTACAACCATTTGCGTAGCCCATAGTCACTATCACTCTTTAACTTTGGTTGTTTTCAACACTTGGAGTAGCGCCGAGATGGTCTTGCTCGATAAATACCTCGATATTCAAGTTGACGAGCATCCCTGCGCTCCACTCAGAAATGGCCATATCCTTTCCAAAAGGCTTCGCGCATCGTGAAATGCATCCATCCAACTCAGGGAGTGACTGGTGATGGTCCAAGTTCCGAAGGGCATGGTGAAGACATTCAATCATTGGTGCCTGTTTGAGATATGTGCTTGCTAGCCTGTACACACCTGCATGCTGGACATCGCTTCATCGAGGCTTTGGGATTGTTGTTGAGACATATTCAGGTTTCGAGCAAGACGACGACAAAAAAAGCAATAGTATCTTCACGGCTGCAGGTTAGGAGTACTTGCGTGGCAGCGCAGTGTTGGCGCAATGGATGTTTTATTTGTTCAGGGTGACACCCATTTGCATATGTAATGGTAGTAGTTGGTTGGCGGAGGAACGACGAGGTTATGAATAAGCGTAAGCATGAACCCATGTAGTGCTGCCGGAGTCCGGTTTGGAACCTCGGTTCGAACCCAAACCTTTCCGGACCGGACCTATGGTCCAATTACAGGTTCAGGATAGCCCCTGGACCGAACCTTCACATAGGTTCAGGGTTCGGCTGATGCCGATAAATCACGAACGCGTTCGGACGCGTCCGGACGCATCCGAACCGAATGGCAGAGGAGGATCCCTACGGGAGCTTCCGTACCTGATTCACTCGACACCATCATCACTATCAAACGATCTCCTGGCGACAATGGGCATTATCAGCCCTGAATATGTCAATCTCAGGAGATTCAAGAGCCTGAATGGCTTCTACTTTGCGGTGGCAACATTTCTCAGTAATGTTCCGGTAAGCCAGACATCATTATTTGGATTCTAATCTATCTTACTGTGTCAAGAACATATCTTTAGGATTCTCATTCACATCTTTCAACGCTCAATGTCAGTCTACGGTGATTGCATCTTTCCATGTGTGGAAGTGGTACATTCAAGGTGCGCTAGTATAATTCTATGTTACGGTTTGCAGTATAAAATATCTATGTTAGGTCCAATATCCACCCTTCCTGCTGTGGAAATGTCGTGCGCACTTAGACCTGACGGCCAATTGAAAGACGCTAAGGACATTGAGTGGTACAACGATCGTGACGATGATTCCCCCATGCTCCCATCACCACCTCCTGCCACATCCAATGGCAAGATAACTGCATTCGTGTCCCGTCGCTCAGGTCGAGCCATTAAACCGACGGAGAAGATTCATGAGACTGTCAACAGTGCTCCAGCAAAGCGACCAGCACCAGCAGCTCCTGAGGGTCGGCCTGCACCCAAACGAATTCAAACTGGCTCCCATCTGAACCGTCATGGTGACGATGACGATGCAGAACCCCCTGCAGCAGAAGAACTTTCAGACGAGGAGGAGGAAGAAGATAAAGAGGAAGCTTACGAAAGGACAAAGGCATTGGGAGATGAGGATTGCGAGTATCGCAAGCAGACGAAGAAAGATGAGCGCAGTGCAGACTTAAAGACGATCTTCACACGAGAGAAGGGCCGTGTTAACCCTCACACCCAAGAACGCGAGGACGGTTGGTGGTGTGAGGTATGCAAGTAAGTTTCAATGTTAAACCAATCGCACTGATAAAACTAACATCAAGTCCAGAGGTAATGATGTACCATTTGGCCAGTGTTTTTTTAAAGGGAGTATCTCAACCCGCCGCACCCACATCGCTCGCAATCCAAAATGCCACTTCCCCCTTTACCGAGACCGCTGCAGGGAACGAGGAATCAAAATGCACGATCGTGCCATCCCTCTTAACTATAAATCAACAGACGGAGCTCAACAAACGTTAGACGGCTCTCTTGCACCTAAGGTTCCTGAGTTCACGAAGACCGGCCTGATGGACTATATTGTTGAGCTCATCGTCTCTGAGGATGAGGTGCGTGGTTGTGATCTTTCATTTCGTGTGATTGTGACTTAAGATACTTATACTAGGTGTTCCAACTCATCGATAAGGGGCCATTTCGTCGCCTACTTCAATACCTTCGGCCGTCACTGTCGGATAAGGATATCCCCCATCGCACGAAGACTCGCGATGAAATACTCGAACAGGCCAAGCTTGCTGTGCAACGCGTCAAAGAGAAGCTTAAGGACGTCGACAGCAAAATTTCCATCACGTTCGACTCCTGGACGTCTGAACCAGGCGTGCCTTTCCTCTCTGTCACTGCACACTATATCGACTCCCCAGACGGTCATCAGTGAACCGGTGAAGAAAGTAGAAGGCCATATATCACAATATATAGTACACAATCGCACACATCAGCATAATTCTGCCATCGATCGTTACATTATCATGTTTGACCTTATAGAGGAAAGACGTGTGCTTCATTTTCTTATATCTGCTTCCAATGTCAGAGCTACTCAGGAAAAACCTCCCTCTCAAATTGGATGAAATGCGATCCAACTTGCACAAATCTGCAAGAATTTGATGATTTGGCAATCTGTCCAATTATTTTAATTCCTTTCAAATTTTCGTAAATAGGATCTCAATTCATGACAATACTAGCACGGTATTTTCAGGCAGCTTTTCCAATTCAATTAAATGATATCAAGCAAATTCCATTAAATTTTAAATCTGACATAAACGGCGAACATCTATATATCTATCATTCCGTCTACCATACCCTTGATATATCAAGGAACACGAGTCTCAGTAGGTCCAGATGATGAGAGATATGTCGTTGTATCATTGTCGTCGTCGCGTCGTGTCATCATCGTCGTTGTATCGTCGTCGTCGTGTTGTTGTGCGTCGTATCATTGTCGCGTTGTATCGTCATCGTCGCATCGTCGTCGTTGTGTCATCGTCGCATCGTCGTCGTGCGTCGTATCATTGTCGTGTCGTGTCGTCGTCGCATCGTTGTCGCGTCTCATCGTCGTCGTCGTTGTGCGTCGTATCATTGTCGTGTCGTGTCGTCGTCGCATCGTCGTTGTGTGTCGTCGCGTCGTATCATTGTCGCGTCGTATCGTCGTCGTCGCATCGTCGCCGTCGTTGTGTCGTTGTTGTGTCGCCGTCGCATCGTCGTTGTCGTCGTGTCATTGTCGTTGTATCGTCGTCGCTGTGTCATCGTCGCGTCGTATCGTCGTCGTTGTATCGTTGTCGTTGTATCGTTGTCGTTGTCGTTGTCGTGTCATTGAGAGCAATGAGCAAGGGAGAGCAGCGAGGGAAGAAAAGTTCAAGTTGAACTTTTGTGAGCGCACCGTCACGTGAGCAAACATATACAAATGTTGGACTTAGTAGATATTTCCAGCGCTCTGTAGCACAATTGATCCCGCTGATGCCTTGTAGAGCGCTGCTGTACTTTTACATTTGCAATAAGCGGCAATCAGAAACATGTAAAGCGTTGTTTGAGGGGATGAAAATATTTAATGTAGTATTGTTGAAAGCGGAGGCCGCTGGAAGCGGTACAGCTAGTTTCAAAAGTTGTCTGCTAAAGGTATCTTCTCACGAGAATTCGGGCTTGAATAGCATTGTAATGGGACAAATAAATAGGGCCAAATGACAATGCACAAAATAATTGGGATAAGTCTACTACCACCCCTCATCATCTGAAAAGGAGGAATGTCATAGCTTTGTGACTAAATCTAATGGTATTCTAGATTTGTCAACACATGCCCGAGGCTCTTTCCATGAAAAGGCCTTAAATAACATTGTAATTAAAAAACGAGATCAGGTAAGATGTCGAAGCTCAAAACAATTAGCTCAGGTATACTACCACTACTCATTGGCTGCAGAGGCGGAATGTCCCAGCATTGTCATAAATCATTAGAGCCTGTTCAGCAACCGTTGTTTGAACAAAATTTATGTTTATGTACAGATTGCGTTGGAACGGCACGGAAGCCGTTTGTGGCGGAGTTTCAATGAACTCTACTCTAATCATGCCTGCCAGCACAAGCCAAAGACGAATCAGTTCTTATCAGCGAAGGCAGATCGTCTCAACTGTAGCTGCCATCATCCTCTGCACTCAGTTCCAACTTTTTATGATGACTCAGAAGGGTGAAAGTAAACCCAAAGCTCAGTGGTGTGAGGAGGAGGTCGATGCATTCCTAGTCTATCTTCAATCGCAGGTGTCAAAGATCGCTGGGACGACTTTCAAAGATGAGACCTTCAATGAGGCAGCAAAGAAACTTGTGGGACTTCAGAAGCAAGGCCCAGACAAGGACATGGCACAGTGTAAGAGGAAATGGCAAGCGGTATGTCTCTGTATCCTACTCCCTAGCCGCATTACTAACTTATCATTAATAACCCTTACAGTTGAAACAAATCTACAATGCCATCGAGAGATATCGCAACAACCGATCCGGATGTCATTGGGACAATGTTAACGGCGCTAATATTCAGGGGGAAGCGGCGGAACTCCAGTGGAACCAATTTATTACCGCTAATAATTCCAACAAGGTATGTTTGTATTTATTACTTGTCTACTACTCACTCCTTATTTTCAGGTGATGAAACCTTTCAAAAACAACGGGTGGAGACACTGGCAAAAGATGTCAGAGATTCTCCCAAACGGGAGTGGCGCTCAGGGGGCATCCGCCTACAATCCAGCTTCCTTGGCTGTGGGAGCATCAGCAGCTCTTCCTATCAATGCTGAAGCCGGTGGATCCTCATCCATACAAGCATCGGAGGCTCCCAATGCTGAGGCCAGCGGATCTAGACTCGCTGCTGCGCCACAAGCTGGATGGGACCAGATCAAGTCAGCCCTCCCATCCATCACTCCTGGAGTCGCTGGAAGTTCTATGAACATTCCCCCTCCCCCCTCTTCTATTGCGCCCTCCAGTACGGGCAAACGCTCGCATTCCGACATGATTTTGTCCCCCAGCACCGCCCAAACTACGTCACTGGTAGATTCATCCCACGCCTCCAATGTCGACAAAAAGCCGAAGTTGTCGACACACGGTAAAAGTCAAGCCGGCCGCACTCGCAAAGGCTCTAGGGCTGCCAAAGACGCTGCCAGCACTGCCGTCTTCATGAACCTGCAAGGTTCCATCAACAGCCTGACGGACAGCCTTCGCACATCAGCATCCAACACCGACCAAAACAAAACTCGGGTGTTGGATGAAAGGCTACAGGCTGTGCTCGCCATGCAGGAGGAGGAACTGATTACAGAAGATGAGTCTGTCACGCTCATGAACGTGTTCGCAAGGAGCCCAGCAGTATGTGCCATCTACTTGGCTGCCAAGTCTGAAAGACGGGTCCCCTACTTGCGATCTGTTCTTGACCAGGCTGCCAGGGGGGAATTTGGTGTGTTTTAAACGTTGTCATTGTCATCATGTTTTGCTTTTGTCTCACTCGTTGCCATATGTGTTGCCGTATGTTTTCATTTGTTCGCACCATGTTAGATGAACCGCACATTTTCATTTGTAGCCCTATGTACACTACAATGTAACGTATTTCTAAGCATCACTTTCATTATCGTCCTCGCTCCCATAATAGTGGTCGATGTCCTCGATGTCCTCTGGATCCTCGTCGATGTCTAATGAGTGAGTGATGTCTACTAAATTGCGTTCATGTAGGATATTCTGGTAGTCCTCCCACATTTCTGCAGCCATGCGATCACGAAACACATTCGCACTTACATCATCGTCAACGACATCATCATCAATGATTGGATCAGTAACATCAGGACCACCTTGAGCAGGTTGGCCCTGATGGGTAGGGTTGTCGTTAAATATAGCCCTGTGAGGGAGCGGCTCTTCGTCCGGGTCGTGAATATGTATGTAATTGTGCAGAGCACACAGTGCTGCAGGAATGCGAGCCTGGATGGCTATCTTGTACTCTGGTGATACCAAGAGAATGCGAAAGCGCCGCTTCATGACGCCGAAAATACGTTCAATAACGTTGCGAGCAGACGCGTGACGAAGGTTGAACAATTCCTCCTTGTTAACCGGTCTAAAATGAGTATTGTTAGTTGAGATACACTGCAGAGAATAAGTCTTACCTGATGCTAGCACGACCCCACTCTGCTAGATGGTACCGTACACCGCGGTATGGAACTAAAAGTTGTCGGGACGAGGGGAAACCAAGGTCTGCAAGAAGGTACTTTCCAGGCGGAACGTCCAAGCCATCATGGCGCGCTACATCCCAAAGCCGAGCATCTGTTGCTGACCCCTCCCATCCGGTTAGCGCAAAGGTGAACTGAAGATCGAAGTCGCAAGCGAAGAGGCAGTTTTGAGATACGAAACCTTTGCGGTTGTAGTATAGGTGGCGACTGGCTGAGGGAGGAAATGCGTGAATATGACTCCCGTCGATTGCGCAAATAGCATCGCGAAAGTATGGCCAACGTTTCGGGTTGTCGTGAATTGCACTCGAGACTGGTGCATCAGGAGCGGGGAGGTGGACATATTCTGTGTAAAAAGGGTGGGATGCGAAGATGTCTAGCATCTTGCGAAAATACCTATGAGAGTGTCAGTACCAGCGTGAGTGTGAGATATAGATCAAAATACGAACTTAGAGATGGTAGCGTTTGAACGCTGGAATCGTTCTGCGACATGTCTGACAGTTAATCCTGTCACACACGTATAGAGAAATATGGATAGCTGTTCTTCAAGTGAGACGTAACGTGAATCACAGTGACCAAGGGTGCGAAGGTCCTCTATCAATTTCTCGAAGACCTCAACATTGACCCCAAGCTCACAACGGATGCGATCGGGATGGCCGAGGATTAGTTCTATCACCCACTCTTGCCCTGTGAGGGCTGAGGTGTGATAGGGCTCAGGTTCATCAGTGTCCTGCATGAAGACATGCACTGCGGCCAGCAGGAGACTGAGGATGAGCGCGACATAACGAATGATATGATGCCGAAGTGCAGCACGGTGAGGCCGGGGGGGACGATTTTGTTGCAATATTGGTCGAACGAGCGGGACTGTGAGTGGTCGTTGTAGGTTAAAGCGGTTATGAGTAGGCTCATCTACATCCATAGCTATTCAGATTATCGTCGTAAATGTTATCAATGTTATCAATGTTATCGGCCGCTCACTCACTATTCAGACTGAGCTTGAATTTCGGTAGTGTGTGCCGACCGATAATGTTTGATTTTGCGAATTTTTCGTTCAAACACCGGTTGCTGAACGGGCTCTTAATGTTAAGCTGGATTTATAAGCATACATGGGTATGTATGACATTGTACGTGCAGCTCAAATTGCTCGCAATATACAAGCTAATATCAGGCGGTAGCAGAATTAAATCGTGTTATACTTCCCACGGCTACAATATCAAGGACTCATCAATTCACTGATGGTAAGCCTCAGGAATGGGAGTTGAAGAGCGAGCAGCTCGCATTCACGATCATCAACGGCAACCATAGCGGTAGCAATATCGGAAGGATTCTAATTGAAACTATCGATAACTACGACTTTCGCACCAAGGTTGGATGGTTCACGGCCGACAACGCCACCAATAACGACACCGCGATTCAGACCGTTGCACCCATGGTCGTGTTTCGTAGTTTTGGAGGATGAAAATGGGAGAAAAGAAAGCCATGAGCTTGGGCCAGATTTTGTTCTATGTGCCTTGGTGAGCTTGCGCTTCCCAGTCTGGTGGAAGGATGCAGGCTCTGCGGGAACGGTTTTACGAGAATAAAGTTGTGGGCGCTCTTCAAGCGGTTTGTCCACGTCTATTGGTGGAATCCCTACATCAAACTAACAAATAATGCACTTCTTCCCTCCTTCCTCAGTTTTCACCAACCTCGCCTCTAGTCGTGCTCGTAAACTGCCATCAGGTGTGATATGCGGAGATGTGCTATGAATGGACGTTAGCGTCAATTTCCTCATTCGTCGTTGCATATCGGGAGAGGGTATGTGGAAAAACTTACTCAAACATCAATCCGGCTCCATCTTGTTCTCCAAGTGGCACTACGATCGCAGAGACATACCATGCACCATGTTCGGACCAGGTATCAGGTTTGGTGGTAGCGTGAGGTATAGTGTATGAATCTGCTGGGAGACTGGTCAGGACTCAGGTTGTTCTATGTATGACGAATAGACAGCCAAAATCCATGAAGATTCATTCAACAAACAAGCTTTCCACTTCACGAATGAAACAATGGAAATAACCTCACCTCCATTCCTCGTACGACAAGCAAGCATAGACTCTCCTGCACTAAAATGGAGCACCACCGGAGCACGCCCACTGGATCCCAACGAGGTATTCTTCAGCTTCGCGAGCTTCTCGGCTGTGAGAACCGTGGCCTTACTCGTATCCAATACAGATGCTAATGTGTGCGAGGAACGCGACGAGGACAATTTTTTGAGCAAGCGAGGTGGTGGCATCTGTTTCTGTGTACGTGCACCTGACGATGCAGGACGAGAAGAGCCAGGAGGGCTGAGCGAGGAAGGAGAAGGTAATTGCGCTTGCCCATCATAGTTGAAGTCCGTTTCACAACCCCCAGATCCCACTTCGTTCTCAAAGCCATACATCGTCTCTCTGCCTGAGAAATTGGCGCTGTGGATGCGCTCTCTTGGCGAATAGGAATTTATCGGTGAACGTGGACAAGGCCCTAGAGAAGGAAGAGGAGGAGGTTCATCGATTACTACTGTTGCATCCACGTAGGTCGGTAGACTGTGATCAAGGAGGGAGAGTGAGACGTGCAAGGGCCCTACTACTATTTTGGTTTTGGTGGACTTAGAGTGGGGTCGGGGACGATCGGTGGTAAAGAAGGTTAGTGCAAATATACGACCTGAAATGCAAGAAATGTTAACCGGTTCTTCTCATTTGTGAAAGTATTGAGGAAGAATGAAGGCAGGAATGAGTGTCGGAGAAGGAGCGCAGGATATTCACCAGAGACAATAAATTCCACGCTCACGCTCCCAACTGCACGCATACGTTTCTGCCACATCGCAATATCCAGTGTTGCAGCAAAAGCACCATCGGGGCCCTCTTCAACACGCACGTCATCTGGTGGGCGCTGACCAAGAAGCAGTCCATCAGTAGCTGGCAATAAAACATCAGCCACAATCCAGCTTCTCAACTCAGACTTACCACTCCGTAGCCCACTTGCGCACAACCCGACACTAAGTCTGAGGTTGTGAAATAATGGCTGATTACTCGCCACCAAACATGCCTTCCTCATTTCACTGAGTGTCACAGGGGTTAAGGGGGAGGCATATTTGAGCAGAGCATCGAGGAGGGAGGAGCGATAGTTGACGATAGCCCAATAGATGGCAGTGTGACCTGCTATATCCGGCTCTTGAAGAAGCGTAGACAGCGACAGGTTCTTCGCAGAACATGTTTGGGCGTAGGAAGCCAGCATTTCATGTGGATCTGCTAGGGCCAATTGCGGGGATTTTGGACTCAAGTTACCGGAGTTGGTTGGCGGAGGAACGATGAGGTCGTGAATAAGCGTAAGCATGAACTCATGGTCATGTTTCGTAGTTTTGGAGGATGAAAATGGGAGAAAAGAAAGCCACGAGCTTGAGCCAGATTTTGCTCTACGCGCCTTGGTGAGCTTGCGCTTTCCAGTCTGGTAGGAGAAGGATGCAGACTCTGCGGGAACGGTTTTACGAGAATAAAGTTGTGGGCGCTCTTTGAGCGGCTTGTCCACGTCTACTGGTGGAATCGCTGCATTGTTTGGAAGTTGTGTAACTGGTGTGATAAAGTCAATGTTGCTCCTGCTCCTGGGCAACGTGTTTGCCCACAGCCGACTCCGAGGAGGCTCGAATTCATGCACGTCCGTTACAACAGTACTAGTAATGGGAGCTGCCTTATCATGGTGAGTGAGAGCAGTGACGATGGCGGGTATCGATGGAACGTCTCTGCCACGGGTTGACAACGCCACGGTGTCATAAGCGGGAGGTAGATGATCAATCTCAGACTCTACAGAGGCAGAAAGCTTGTCTGCCAGGATCAGAGTCATTATCAACAATGCATCGACTGGCGATAAGGGAAGCATTGAATACGTATACAAAAAAACCACCGTCATTTGGATTTACAAAGCATGCTAATTAAATCATAAGGTTAACGTTACTTGGTCATGCACCATTGTTCGGTTGTGTACTGGGTTCAACTTCAACCCTGCAGTCAGCTTTAAATAGCCCACATGGACTCGACACTGCCATCATTACCTGTGGAACCTACTCACAGAAAGTATCGCCAAGGTCAACGTCCCAGCTGATCAATGATACTCACTTGATAAACAAGGTCGCAAGACAAATCGTTACACGCAGGATACTCATTGTGTTAGACATCCGAAAATGCATGTGATATTGCACCAAACTCCAGAAGTGAGTGGTCCACCGTGACATGATCGCGTGCACAACGAATAAACGACAGTGCGCCCGTCGTGAAAGTGGCAAGTCAATTGTTGCACACACCAGCACTGCCTAGCTCCTCTCCTCCCACCGCTCATAGTCATTCGTAGCAAGACTTGCGTGATACTTGTGTTCGACGGTCTCACATACGGCATCAAGATTCGTCAGTGCTTCAAGGAGCGCATTCAAGGACGAAAGCCCATCTGAAAAAAAAAAGTCGGATCAGGCACCTCGGGGGGAAATTGCGGATAACTGAATTTTGCATACCATACATCTGTATTCGCAGTTGAATGAGGTTTTCGGAAGGATGGGGCACGCTGTAAGCGTCAACGGATCAGCAAATCGAAACACATTGTCATACATGAAGCAAGTGATCTGATGCTACCGCATCTGTGTCTCTTCGCGACGACCAGATACGGAGGGCATTGACCAGCTGGAGCAAGCAACACCCGGAGAATAAAACAAAATCGCAGATCGCAGACAACAAGCCGACACCATTTACTCACCTGTATCCACAGAACTCCACCTTCGGGCTTACAACACCATCATCAACTCAACGTTCATCAAACAAAAAAACACAACGTACTTTTTCATGATCATCCACCGCAGAGCATTTCCAATCGTATGCGACTCGTCAAAAATTTGGAATGTAGCCGCAGATAGGTCTGGCGCGGCACCCGCCATCTGGGAGAGTTTCAGGGTTATCGTGGGAGGCCCCGAGTTATAGCTCGTGCACGCACAATCTTGATTTTTGGGCTTGTCTCTGCCATGGTTGGTGAAGAATGATGGTGATGACAATATTGATTGAATATGAGGTCTCAGGCTTCATGGGTATTTTTAGAGATTGACGGTCCATTTTCTTCGTTGCCCGCTTAGCTCAGTGGTAGAGCGCGTCACTCGTAATGATGAGGTCGGTTGTTCAATCCAGCCAGCGGGCATGAAGGTTTTTTTTTCGCTTGTAAGTCCACCCCGATTTAGCTAAACAGACGTAGTCGTCGTCGTCATCGTAGAAAAAACCGAGATATGGTATAGTTGTACAGAATGCAAAATACAAGAGTTGAAAGCATGCTAATGCTGAACACAATTCCACTTTTAAATTAACCTACGGTTCTTCGAACACATACAACCCATCCAACTCGCCACCATTCACTAGGCCTGTTCGCAGACAGCTAAAATCCCCATCCCCAGCGTCAACAAAGCCCTTCCTGCTATACCCATCTGCACGATCCACCTCAGGAGGTGAGACGCTGAGTGCGCGAGGCGCTGAGTGGGAACCCGGCGAGGACTCTTCAACGCGCAGTCGCTTTTGTAGGGAATCACCCCGGGACAGAGAGTCGTTGCCAACATCCAGCTCTTCTGAGGAACGCTTTCGTTGGCGAGGTGTAGGGATTGGCGCCACAGACTCTCCGCGCCGCGCTCGGTCGTCAACAGGACGATCTGAGTCTCTCCGAGGACGCTTCGGCGGAGTCGAGGTACGAGGGACCTCGATGGGATCGCCAGCAGCAGCGTTCTCTGCCTCGAGGTCTCCAGAAGAGCGTTTCCGGGGTGTGATGGTATGTGTCTCGGAACATGGGTTCGCGAGTTCATACTGCTCCTCTTCACTCTCTTCTTCCTCGTCCTCATACAGCTCTTCCTCTTCTAGCTCCTCTTCCTCTTCCTCCTTCACCAACTTGCTTCTGGGAACACGTACCTCTTCTAGAACTATTTCACTTAGGTTCTCATATTCTGGCGGTGGCTGTGGTTGAGGCTGTGGTACTCGGGTTTGGGATTCATTTTGGGGCGCAGACCGCACCTGAGGAGTGACAGGGTTACCAGCGGCAACATTTGCCTTGATCATAGCACGTTCGCAGACGGAACATCGGCAGTGATACAGTGGTGCACATGCTTCGCGCCATACCTAATGTAGTTGGTTCGGACGAGGTAGCATCGTGTTACAGAATGGAACTCACCTGTTTGAATGCTTCGAGACTGTACTGCGCCATATGGGCCAGTGTAACCGGTACATAAGGGATAGGATGTAAAAGCTTGGGTGAGTCTAACACCGGTGACACAGGAATGGGGATGATGACTTGTGGCGGTTTCGGCCGCGCTGTTGCCGTTGTCGTTGCAGGCTCATGCTCCTTCTCCTCAGGATGTGATGGTGGAGGCGATGGCGTGGTATGTAGCGTTGTCGTAGAAAGAACTGGGCTCGTCGTGTGTGATCCATCGCTTCTCGTCGACGCACTGGTGCTACTCAAGGAATCGTCCTCGCGCTTACCGCCGATGTCCAAACCGCCAGCCGCCCAATCAACGCCATCAAACCATACTCCGGGCGTGCGCAGCTCAGCAAGCACATCTTCAAGGTTCATCTTCGATGCGCGCACAGCAGGGTCTACCCAAGCACCTCCTATCCCATTCGCAGACTCAATGACGAGCCGCCGAACAATATTGTTCATCCCAGGCAAGAGGATCTGGCGCAACTGTTTTGAAAAGGCACGGAAAGCCTGCTCACAAAGTCCGAACGACGGTGGTGCCTGAGAACGAACGGTCGAAAGACGTGGATGCGAGTCGTCCGTGGGTGAGGGAAGAGATGACGGGGACGATGGCCTCGAGAGTGTCCACGGACAAGGATGTGTAGCGGAAACTCTGATGCGGCGGCGAGACTGTCCATTCTCAAGAGGTTCATCGTCGTCAGTTTCCGACTCGTAGTCAGGTTCCTCGCCAGGATCTCTGACACCTCCACCAATTGGTCGAGCGTAACCATACCACTGGTCGGCAGGACTACACCAGTGTCCATCAAGAATTCGTGTCCGTGCCCAGTCAGCAATAGCCAGATCGCGCACACCACCAGCATCTTCAGTCATGGAAAGCAAATCAGGATCATCTTCATCCTCCGAGCCCTCATAGTCTGAGGAGTACGCTGACCGCGGAGACGGCGAGCGCGAACGACGGGAAGGAGATAGGCTGTTGACGGGGCTGTACGAGTCCCCTCCTTCTGTAGTACGTGTATGTTCTTGCCGTGGCGCCGCCACACTCTCTGGTTCACGATGATGATAAGAATTTTGCGAAAAGTCAGTCCCCATGCCTTCGCTGGCCCAGCGGGTAGCAGCGACAGCTTGCTCCATCAACTCCGGCATTTTCGTGTATGAACGCAGCCACAGCTTCTCGCGGGCAACGTTCAGGACCTCTGTGATTGAGCCTTCGCCCAGTTCGATGAAAGCATCGACTGTTTGACGCGTCTCCCAATCTGCTGATGCATACTTCCAGGGTGGAACACGTGCTAATGCGAGCTGTCGCGGGCTTGCGGGTGAAGAGCGTGATGAAGACGAGGATTGAACGAAACGTGGACCACCAATCGCCTCGCGGTCGCGAGCACTCGATTTGATACGGTTCCAGAGCCCTTCTAAACGACATGACCGACACGTTGCATCAACGCCAGGCCAGGTTTCATCATCTTCGTTTTCAGAACATAATACCATCAAGGCAGGATTGAGGGTGGTTGCATACGGGTTATAGCCGCCCAAGGCCAGATTAAAATTTCCATGGCTGTACAGTTGACTATAACCGCTGAGACGCATGTTGCTCTGGACATCAAACTGGGGATCACACTCGGCGGCGGGAGCCTCACGGAGGCATACACCGCAAAATGCGGTTTTGCGATGCTCGCGACACACGGATATCACGCCCAACCTTGGGATAACATGTGTTCGTTTTGCGGCTCCGAGGCCAACGGACGAACAAGGTGAATTGATGCGACAGATGATGCAGGAATGGTAGGTCATAGTGCGAAAATGGGTGTGAGGAGGTAAACGGTAAGGCTGTGGCGCGATAGTTGCAGCGCCTGCAGCCCCATCTGCGGGGGCCTGAGGGCGTACGATTGCATATTGGTGGAGTATGTCGTGAGGATCCAGGAGTGCGCATGCATGATTCCAAAATAGATGGGATTTGACTAGCACAATGAATTAGCGCGTTACGATGATAAGATAAAGTAGGTAACACACGAGCAGTACACCAAGAAGGGGTGACATTCATTAACTTCTCGAGTTCTATAGCCTGACATAAAGCTGCGTAGACCATTCTGGAGGGCCAAACCTCTCTAACTTCCCAAGTGACTGGACAGTACAAGTGTGTAGCGACATCCTTGAGGTACAAAGATGCAATATGTCTGTCATGCAAGCGTGTTTAATTAGAAATAGCTGAAAATGCCATGCAGTGGCGTAGAAGTACCTGATGAGCTCTGGGGGGAGCTGTTGCCATGATCTGTTTGTATGTTTACCCTTGTAGATATGATCACCGGTTGAGTAGCTCGCAGTCGTAGCAGGCGAGGTTGATAAGGTCATTGTGGATGTTGTGGATGACGTTGAAAGGGGTACCGACGCCGTTGACGGTGAGGGTGCCATTATCTGGATATCCTGTGCGAAGTGGGACCTAGGCCTTGATTAGCGTATGGTAGACAGCCGGACTACAGATTCGATTTCGGGTCACCGTCACTCACTCTCATGCTGAAAAGTCACACACTTCCTTTGGTTGGCACATTTCCCACGCACAGACCACCGCGTCGTACGTTTGTTACATTCAGATCTAGATATCGATACACTAAATATATTGACCTGCCGACATGCGGAATCCTATACAAACAGTTTGCGTAATTCTAAACTGGCGGCGCTAAGTCTGTCCAATTTCTTCTGCAGCTCCGTACGCTTCGAGGCGACACTGCTATGCTCCTGGACCATTAACTGACACCGCACGTACGCATCGGGACCCGTCAAGCTCAACCCATCAAGAAGAGCTTGCTCCATGCCCTTATGCAGACCGCGGACTATTTCATAGTCAATGGCCAACGGGACCATATCAGCAAAGCGCTTGTACGCAACTACAAAGAGCTCCTTCAGTTTTAAATCCACATATCTGTGCAAACACATACCCTGGAAGTACGCCCTTACTCCCGCCATAATAAGAAGGGCAGGCTCCATGGGATCCACGGGCAGAAGCTTCGGAAGATCACCAACCTGCACGGAAAGACCAATTTCTGTCAGTCCAGTGAGAGCCTTTTGGATGCCTTGGTGGAACGCTTGTCCATTGTTTGGACTTGAGTGCATCGTGGTTGGCGCACGGTAATTCTGCAGCTTTGTGGTCAACTCTTCGCGATCTCGGCAACCCTTGTAATATCCCAGGAATTTAATCTTGTAGTCAGAGTAGTAGTGCACGTTCAAAGTTGTCGGTGCCTTCTCGAGTTCCAAGAGCCAATTTATCTTTTCCCTAGCTTGCTTTGCGGCGTGGTCAAGATGCTCGTTCACTATCATCCTGCGGGAACAAGGGTGTCAGCATAGAGGTATCGAATAGTGCAGGATGCACATACAGCACGCTGTGAAGTGTGCCGCCCCTTCCCATTTTCTCGAAATGTTCATGAACTAGATCGCTTAGGTCGTTCTTCAGGATGTCGTATACTTCGTCGAAAAGTATTCGCGATGGTGTCTCCCATTTTTCAGTAAACTCCTTGATGTACGTCTCCTGTACGATGAAGGGATAATTATCGGGAAGTTCGCGAGTACGAGCCCTAGGATCTAGTCAGTTTTGGTTACAGCACAAGAATGAATCTCAAGGACCTCTGGGCGTGATTAAGAACATCCTCAATGTAAATCCCCGACTGTGGCGTGGGCGACCTCGGAGTGAGCATAGGATGGACTCCTTCTCGTGACTTCTGTGGTTCATCCTCCTCGTTCACTAGGAAATCGATTGCCGGCAGTTCACGGATTTCGCCTTTTGCCCATGGAATAAACCGGGGAGCCGTTTTTCGTACAGCACGTTTGAATTCCTCCTGGTGTGGTCGAATGGTCTGCAATATGCCGTCTTGATCAGGCGTCCCCTCGAGTCGTTGAAACAGCTGCTTCGAAAATTGACCGACTATACTCCAAACCTCACCCACGGGATCGGTAGACGGCGCTTTCGGGAGCTTTCTCATCTCATCTTGAGTCTTGCGCAGAATATTATATAATTCCTTGTGAATCTCAGGAAGCCTATTACACGCATATTAGTATCACAAGGCGCCAAGATAAGAACTCGACCTTTTCGCGATCAGTTCGGACAGAATCGTGCTCAGCCGCTCCGTCAGGTTGCTCGTTCGTAGGAACTTCTGGTACTGTGGCTCCATGCTCGACCAGGGCTGTGTCAAAGCAAAGAAGGCATTTTCTTCATTCCTTGCTTCGGCCCAGGAGATCCCGTCTTTGAGCGTCTGAGACCCAGGTTGCTTGACGCAGTACCAGTGGTTCACGAGCGGCTCCTTCTCGTTTCTGATGAAGTTCAGCCACACGCTCTCGTCACCAGGAGGAATGCGGTCCGGCTTCGTGAGCACGCCTGCGACACAGAAGTTAATCATCGCTTCCAAAGACTTCATGAATGCACAAACGCACCAACAGTGCGCTTGCCTTCAGGATCGTATTTTTTCGTCAAGTGATGTGCCCCTTGATTCTCGAAGTCGGCTGGGAAAATACGAGATGTAAGAAAAAGTGACTGAGACGCGAAATCCACTTACTTTCACAAGTAACCGTGAGAAGGATGACACAACTAGGCTTCTCGATGTAAGACGTCACCAAACCCTTGACGAGATCAATATCCCCGGTCTTTCCTGCACTCCCGACGCTCGCGATGAGTCCAGGAAGATCCACGAATGAGAGATCCGCCACATCATTCCCACTTATCTCGAGAGAGACGCAATTCTTGGAGAAAGATAACTCAGCTTGCTCAGCGGTCTGATCTTCTAGCTCGTATAAAAATTTTTGTGGCTCAGTGCTTGGGTTAAGGATTGCCCTTTGAGCACGCCTGATTCGATCTTCTACGTCGGCCTTATCGGTGATGGGTGATCCGAAAGGAATGGTGCGCACATCACAGGGTTGGCCTGACGGGCCGGTAGTAATGTGAAGTTTGACGAGACACTTCCAGGAGTCTTCGGAGCGTGAAAGTTTACATTCAGTTGGGCACCTTCAATAGGGTTAGATGTGGCGTTTCCAAAAACAAAACGGGCACGCGCTGACCTTGTACACGTTCCAGCTGAGCGAGGGAGAGTGATTCCAGAAATAGACTCAATAAGAGACGACTTTCCAGCACTCTGCGAGCCAATGACTGCGATCATGGGCAGGTCCATGTCCGTCTGCACACTAGATATTGACTCGATGAGCCCAAGAACACGACGAAGAGGGGGGAAAAAACTAGCCCTGTTGTGTGCAGACGGTTGATGAGATCCAGCATCTTTCGACGATGCTGTGACAAAGTGGAGTCGGAGAGCCCAACACCATTGTCTTCAGACGGGGTAAGGTCAGCGCCAGGAGTTGAGGGCAACATAATGTTTCAAAAAGCACGATGATCACGTTTAAAAATTTGAGTCCGCGTAGGAGGGTGTTATGTGTCAGGTACACACTAGCAACGATGGGCCTTTTATACAAATTTTCGGCGTCAGCAAGACAGTCGGAATTAGGGACTAATAAGATGAAGAAACAAAGAAGGAAAGTTCTACCGAGTCGAATGCCGGAAGGAACTATTGACACGAAGCTGTGGACCTACTTGCGATGCAGGGAACTTCTGATGATAAGAAAGAGCAGCACTGGCCTGAATCGGAAAACTGCCGTATAGATATGTCATGGGGTTAGAAACGAGGACAAGGGATTGCACAAAGGATGATTATAACACTTGAGCTAGATTGACAATAAATGATATCCTTTGTAACGAGGGTGAACTTATCGACAGCCTATCGACAATCACCGCTTACCCTTTACAATAAGCATTTGAATCAGGATCACGATATTCTAAAAGCACAGCTCAACAACGTACCTCACACAGGCTTACGGTCAAAGAATATTGATGATGAGAGAAAGAGCACACAGAGCACAGTCTTAGTCCCACGCTTACTACTTACCCCCGAGCTTTTGTCCTCGGTAAGTTCATCACCATCATGATACTTCGACTGGCAGTAGTGGTTGTCAACAGCAAACGAGCTCGATCCAAGCCGCTGGGGTAGGCCGTATCTTTGGACCTTGGTGCCCTGCAGCTGAAGTCAACCGTCTCCTTTTAGTGTTCTGAAATTTGCTAGGCCTGCGGCGGTCTAAACACCGCTGGGAAGACGAACATCTTGTCGACCTTTCCAATGCTGTTTAGGACTCTGCCTATTATATCTACAGGGAAGACAATGACCTGTGTCCCATCTGATCAGCTCATGCCAACTCTAGATCACGGTGGCCTTCCGATGGGGTAGTTTACGAGAACGTTACCCCAGAGCCAGTGTAACATGATGCTGGTTCTTGCGTTCGCTTCAAGCACATAGCGGTGCTGTGGCGTATAGCACAATTCTGGCAGATGGTTATAATTGGTTGATAAGACAGTGAGTTCAATTTCGTACTTCATACTAAAGTTACTGATAGCATCTTCTAGATTGTGCTCTTTCAATTTGATTTTGTTGGCTGCGAACCGATACCAGCATGCTATATTTGCGCGAGGTCTTGATGAACGTTCCTGGGTATGCAACTTAACAATCAGCGGTGCATCTACCATCCCTGCCGTCGACATGGTCGTATCATCTGTTATTCACACACGATATTCTCTGCTTACGACCACCTGGAAGTCTCATAGAGTTTCTAAGATGCGGTCGAGTGCCTACTTATATTATGATCAGACGCGATACAGATGTGGTGCGAGATCCGTGTCAACGCATCGGTTGACCGGTCGACGTTCATATCGATACGGGAAGTGCCGAACCCTGGTGGGGTCTTCCCCCGAATCTTAGAAGGAGGGGGTCGGAGTTACTAGTTTTGTTAGACAGGAGTCTGACCAGACTGAGAACTGCACAGCTCCGAACGCGTCATCATTAATCCATTATTCTCAAACATTTTCAAAGCTTCAATTGTAAAGCGATGTCTTACTACATGTAGCGTCCAGTTGCTGTTTGCGTATGCTACAGCCGTTTCGACTCGGAATCATTAGCGTGTGTACACTAATCCAAGTGACCTGATCGCGATTACACACAATCAAGATTGACTTCGTTCTTACAACGCATGAACTTTATGGTACGCTGGCACTGTCCAACATCAAGTCGTTGTATCAATCACTCTGATACTCTCGCGGCTGTAGTCACCTTGTTTTCGCATTTACCTCTCTCTCACGTTATTCCCTACTTTAGTGACGATCATTTCAAGTACTCAGATCACAATTGAAATCGTATGAGGGGTGACTCGGGCTGTCAGTACTTCGACCGGTACTTTTCACCAAGTCATCGAATCCTCAACGCAAACTCAACTAGTAAGCATCCATATTAGTCCAACCTCAAGATAGAGGCGCAGTTCATACACTGACCCACCTGTGCAGGGATGCTCACCCATCAAAGTTTACAGTTTCATCAATGTTTTGGGTGCATCTGTCAGTACTTGCATCTGCTCGGTGACAGATGTAACTCGCACAGACGACCGCAGGGTCCTATAAGGTCAGTTCGGGAAATAAGGCAATGCTAAATCGACTTGAAGATAGGTTTTATCTCACACTTTACAGAGCATCCTTGCAGTGAAATCGGCCCGAGAACAACTTAACTCAGTGGCCAGCCATGCACAATAAGAGTTGTGCCACGACGGAACTGGAATGTGTACATATGTGTGTCATCGACTCGGGTCGGAAGGTATATTCTATGGTTCGTGCCACATTCGCATCATGGCTATGACGGTCTTTGGGGATTACAAATAAGAATTTCCGCAGGCATCGTGTAACCTAGAAGAAACAATAACTGTGTTATGGACCATCAGTCACAACTCTTGTTGTCACAACGTGAATGTACATCTCTTGCTGCGGATCTGACGCCACGACTGATGCTGAAAGTATTAAAGGCGGGGCCATTTCTAATGAACTACGTATCTAACCCGTCCATCATGGAGCCTGACATCGACTCTCCATTCAGCGACCTTCCTACCGAGATTATCTTGACCATCTGCAAAGACGCAGCCCAACCGACGTTTTCTCAAAGGGAGAAATATGACATGAAAAATCCTTACTCAACCGCCCTCTCCTTATGTCTCGTCTCTCGACTTGTCAGACGCATCATCCTCCCCGATTTCCTGCACACGATCTTGCTCCGCCGACATCACAGCTTGAAGAAGTTCGCAAATGCTCTGTTTATTCAGAAAGCGTACGCTGAGAAAGAAAGCGATCTTTTCTTTGACTATACCTCCGCTATACAGAGGATGTGGATTAGTAACTCATTTGACTATTTCGTCTATGCAGAGGCCCGCCCGCCGAACAACTCCAGCTTTCTCTTCTCTTTGGCCAAATATTTTTGCTCAAAAACGGATGAGCTCAGGCGCAACATAAGCGTGTTGCTTCCAGTGATCCTTGCTGTGCCAGAACTTGCGGTTGACCGTGACCATTTAGGGTATATCATGAAGAGCGTGCAAGATGCGTGGTCTTCTCGCACAGATCTCAATGTCGGCGGACACTCTTCTTTTCCTGGGAAAACCAAAAATCTAACAATAATACGTCAAGGCGATTACTTGGACACCTGGACAGGCTGGAACCCGGAATTGTTTTCCGATCGGGTCAAAGAATCTGTTTTCCTTGCATCAATCCCGCATCTCACTCACCTAATCGATTTGGCTGAGGAATCAAACACTTTGCGTGGCATCAGCCATGGTGTACACTCGCCAGGAAACTCGCTGTTTTTTTGGATGAAGGACACTACGTGGACTTATATGAAGAGCCTTGAAACCTTTTCAGTGGTCTACCCGCATCAGCCTCCCTTCTGGGATTTCCCGTCATTTGCATATGCCACACGGGGAATGGACTTGCATGTGGAGCGACTCACGGTGTCTGCTGCCCTTTACAAGCAGGATCCTTACTCCTTCCCGTGGGGGCCACCGTGGTTTCCTGTGACGGATCCTGGAAATAAGAGGATACAATCGGATGGTGTTTCCTTCGAGGTCACGCGTGATAAGACCTACTTGACACCGTATTTTTGCTCTTGGGATAAAGCTTGGGCCTGTGGGTTAACCGACGGATGAGGGGTACTGGATGTTAAGCAGACGACGATAAAGGCTTTGATATGACTATCTTGGATATGTACCCGCTTGCCATCGGTTTTCTGTTGGACTGTACTTCTATTATAGACTTCTCAAGCTCAATGGATAGGATGGAGACTGTATGATTCATGGGCCATTAGCCGCAGCGTGATCCCGGCTCCAGATCCTAGAGAGTGAAAGAAAACCAACAACAGCAGGTGCACAATGAATGATGAATGATCACATGCGATAGACCGTCGGAAAACAAAGTAGTTCTTATTGTCCTGGCAAACTTGAAGGTTAACGTTCATCAGCAAACTGGTTAGTCCTCGAGCTTGAAATGGTGGGGAGTGCTATTGTAATCAAGTGTAATATTGCTACCGCACTACAATATGTATATAGATACACTGTCAATCAAATTTCTTCATGATGAAACAATCACTGGAAGCATGAAAGACTTTTTCGGTATGAAAAATATTGAAAAAACCCTAAAAAAGGTTTAAATAAATTTCATGATTCTATTGCCTGCAAAATGCTGGTCAAAATTTGAACTTTCTATCTACTTTTGTGTGATGCAAAAGGTTGATCTTAGTTAAATCTTAAGTCACTGTTCATCCACAATATTGTCTCAACACGTAGTTTAACAATTTGAACAATTTTCCTCCAGTACAAATCTAGACAAAGCTTTGACTTTGTGGTGTGATAGCAAATGAAGTTTTGAATGACTTTTGTCAACATTTGTTGAACTGTAAAAGTTGATGTTTTTTTTACCCTTTTGCCAATGTTTTTGTCGCCTAGATATCTTGGATGAAGTTTTTATTATACTTCCGACAATATTCAATGTAGTAATCAAGCTTAGATCATCATTTTGTACCTCACTTTTGTTTACCTTCATTCAAAATTCAAGTAGAATTTTTATGACACTATTATTTTATATACCAAGCAGTGGAATCCATTAACTTTCTTGTGGTTACATATATTAATCTTACTGTGAATCAAAAGTTTGTTTGGATTTAAAATGCTTTCAGGAGAGAATTTTGTGTCATAACATCAGTTAAAGCTTATTAGTATTTTAAGTGTGGTCAGGAGAAGGATTTAAAATAATGTTACTAACCCGACTCCTCAAGACCATCAACGCGTCCGGCACAAGCTGATGTGGAACTAGTACCATACAAACGATTGACTCGCAAAGTACTTGAGTCATGGTTATCAATGTATTCCAGATCCATACCAAATTTAGTCGCCCCGATGAACACTCCCCAAGAACATGAGTACCGCCAGACCAGAGAAGAAGCGCAGAATGAAATATCAAACATATAGAAACCCAATCCAGCAAGCCAAAGAAAAAGAGTGTCGCCGGTCAGCGACATAAACTGTAACATTTTGACAAGATATAAAGGCAACAAATTGAAAAGACATGATGTAGAGCTTGCAGGTCATGTTCGTGGTTCAAGGTATGGTCTGAATCAGGAAGTAAATTGTTATATGGTCGGTGCAGCTCCAGAGTCAGGAGCCAATGTCAAATCACGGAGACATACCGGAAGTCGGAACAATCTGTGTGCAGAGAACGGTAGTGAGAGGGTGATTTTTGTGTTCGACTAAGCCCTCCTCCACTAACGTGGGAGTCTGGGATCATGAATAACATGCAAGGCCACTCACGAGTCACAGCAGAGCCTCCTTTTCCGAGTTATGTATACTGCCGTAGCGGGAATCAGTAGATTCGGATCCACATTTGTGCGGAAGGCAATCCCAACTGTGTGGATGCAAATTTGACTAATCACGGATGTCGATCCACATCTGTGCGGATGGCAATCCCAACTATGCGGATGTCGATCCACATATGTGTGGATGGCGATTTCAACTATGCGGATGGCGATCCTAACTACTCCAGTCACCTTCTGTCTCCTCCAACCTCTCTTCACGGCGGGACCTTCTCTAACCCACATTTCACATCCTTCAGGGGCGCTACCGGCCATTTCCACAACCGACATAACCGCTTCCAGCTTAGCCAAGTTGCAAAGGTCAATATCTGTTGTAGCTTGAATACGCGAACTCACGAAGCATTTGGCACCGGCCAGCATACAGTCCGGACACTGACACATATGAATAAGTATGTGTGAAGCCAATGCCATCGAGGTGAGCAAGTTGGGCTCGCTGTGGAGTGGGGTGGCTGGCACCGAAGGCATGTTAAGATTGTGTTTCTGGGTTGGGCTGCAAAAATGTGGTCCCGATGGGAGGCATACATAGAAGGGCAACTCGGGCGAATGATCAAGGGGAGACGCTCGCTGTAAGGTTAGGTTAGACGTAGGACTTCGTGCAAATACTGAATCTGGACAAACTTTGTGTTGATGGGTATGTCTCTGCTCTGGATGCACCCAGTACTGGCCCCATCGCTCGAGGTGTAGCCTAAAGAGACTTGCCAAACGGAGCTGATAAGCAAGGACTAAGATACGTTGAGAAAGATTAACGCACAACTCACTGGATGAGCGTGGCTTCATGCAGAGCGGGTAGTGGTACCGCCACTGGTTCAAACATCAGCAGGAGCTATCATGCTTTCATCTCGTGGTGATCGGGGGTCGAGAGCGCTAACAGGATCATTATTTCAAAGCTAGTGCAGAAAATACAGCACATACCCGTGAACAATGGGCGATGCAAGGTCAGCAGGCTGTTGAAGGGGGCAGAGATGGTAGCCCAGAGCACGCGGGCTTGAATCTGCGAACGGGTCCTTCGAATGCATTCTGAAGTGTTCATCAGACCATTGTCAAAGAGAACAAGTAGAAAAGACGCACACCAGGCTTGCCTTCCTTTGGTTGAATTCACTGTTCGGACTACTCCAAGTGTACGTGGTACCAATGATCTCCCGCTCGCGAGGCTGGAAGGTCGAGCTTGGCTTCCGGCTCGGTTGTTGCTGGGCCATCACCTGCGCAGAAGAGACAGATCAACCCCGAGGATGGGAAATGGGTTTCGCTACTTTAGATGCTGCTGGGTGATTGGCAAGTGGGTCGAATTTGGTGACAGGCGTAGGAGCAGGCGCTCCTTGTGTATGCATAGTCCGAGCTCTCGCATTCGTAACACCGCCATCCTTAGTCACTGGCGCTCCCAACGGTCCTCAAATTCGTGACCTAGATGGATTTTGAGCTCCGGATACACAAGATCGCATCTCAGTGGAGCTGTTACGACTGGGATAAGTCGAGCTATCTCTGTCTGAGTAGACAATCGGCAGAATACCGGATAGACGTGAGTCTGCTCTCGAATGAGAGATCAAAGGTTCTGGCTAAGGCGAGTGTCGCTGACTCCCTTAGAATAGTAGTTCTTAGACAGTAAGGTTGGAGACCTTACTGAAGGACGATGTTCCAGGTAAAACCCAGTAGATTAAAGTAAGGAATACAACCGTAAGTAGCTAGGTTTATATACGAATGTTCAAGCGGAGCTTGTAGATGTGTTATCAAGATAGAAGCATGATAAGAGATAAGGGATCAGGGATAAGGTGGACAGCCCGCTTGGCGAAGATAAGAGATAAGCATGGTACGGACAGCCCGTTTGTAAGCAAGACAAAAAGAAATGAGTATAGGGGCTAAATGTTACTGTAACATTACCCCCGTGTTATGGTTGAAGTCTCCGGCTTCAATATTCTTCGGTGTTGGTATACTCGTCCATGTAGTCGTAGTAGATGGGGTCAGCGTCGGCGTTGCAGAACTCCGGTTCATTATACTTGGTGGCGTACTCCCTATTCGCCCGGTCTATCTCCTCCTGGAGTTCTTCGTCCTTCTTGCCCTCCCATGCTGACAATGCCTCATAGAAGCCTTCATCGGTGTAAACCAATGGGAATAATACTTTCTCGGCGGCATAGGGGCAGTAAATAGATAGATGGCCAGGCTTCTGGCCTTGGCACACGCGGCAGTGGTATTCTGGGCAGTTCTTGTGGCGATGCCCGAGTTTCTTGCAGACGCGACAGACGAAATTGTCTGCGGAGAACTGGGGTTGTTTTACTGTGATGACGTCGGGGGTTTCGGTGAGGTCAATGACTTCACACTTCTTTCCCTTAGAAGCTTTAGTCTTCGACACTCCGTGCACGACGGCTCCTCTGCGGGTCTTTCGTTTAAAGATGACGGTGGGTTCGGGGATGGGTAATGGTTCTTCAATTGGTGCTGGCTGAGTTTCTTCTCTAGGCGTATCTGCAACAGGTACGCTGCTGGAGGGAGTGCTAGTAGCAGGGCTTGGCGGGCGACCGATTTCGGTCTTGTTTCGTTCTTCAACAGCCCGTATAACTGACTTGCAGACAGTACTAAAAGCAGAAGGAAGTAGCTGAATCTCAAGGCTGCGTATCTGTCTCTGGAGGTGTTGGCAAGCGAGTCTGAGGGCATCGTTTTCGATTTCTTTGAACCTAAGTTCAAGAGCGGAGGTGGCACGTATGACGTGGATCTGGGAAATTATGGGGGCGGCAATATGTGCGGGTTCTTTGGCGAGCTGTTTTTCTAGTTCAATTGCGTGGGGAAGGGACAAGAGGGTTGTCTCGACGATGGCGTCGTCGTCTAGGTCAAGGATGTTTTTCTTATACGTGGAGTTTCCAAGAGAGTGGTCTGACGAAGATGATCCAGTAGAGGAAGGTGTCAATGGGGGGGTCATGTTATCTGGGATGGTTTGTCTGAGGGGAATAGTTCGTTCAGTTCAACTTGTGCCTCCTTTTATACGTTGTTAACAGTTCTTTCGAACTCCACAAGTTCTCCTCAGGTATCCATTCGTTGCTTCCGGAAGAGTAGCCGATCCAAGATACGAGATAGCGTCTTCGTTTACCCGTGCCTCTATGGCTAAGAATAGCCTCTACTTCGTATTCTTCTTCACCGTTGATAATGTCAGGTGGAGGTTCGGTGTAGTTCGGTCCGTGTATCTCTGTTTCGCGATAGGAGGATAGTTCAGAAGCATGGAACGTGGGGTGAACCTTCCATTGATCTGGGAGTTTCAGGGTGAACGTGATGGGAGATAAGACTGCGGTGATAACGAATGGGCCGTATCGCGTAGGCGCAAGTTTCCTGGATGGTAAAGATGTTAGGAGATTGGTGGCCGTAAGCCATACCTTATCTCCTATCTTCCATGGTTGATATTTCCCATGGCGAGATCTTTCTGCCATTCGCTGCATAGCAATGTTATGGCAGGCGAGTACTTCTTCGCGTATCTTCTGTAAGTTCCTGAGTCTTTCTTCTGCTGCTGGCGTGTCTGATATAGGTAGGATGTGGGGGATTCCTCGTGGCTCATAGCCCATCATGAGGAAGAATGGAGACGTGTTCCTGGCGTCGTGCTTTCGATGATTGTGGACGAACTCTGCAATGGGAAGATGATTGGCCCATTCTAACGGGTTACTTCTACAATAGATTCGAAGATAGGTTTCAAGTTCTTGGTTGAGATGTTCTGTCTGCCCGTCCGTCTGGGGGTGGTAGGCAGTTGATGCAGCGATCTGATATCCGAGAAGTCGGGCGAGTTCTCGAGAGAATTTTGAAATGAATTGTGGTCCTCTATCAGAGATCACCTTCTCGTGGAGACCGAATCTCTTGAATACGTTTTTGAGGAATAGTTTAGCCACTCCTTCTGAGGTGATGTTCTTGTTGCATGGTGAAATAATTACCCCCTTCGTAAGCCCATGGTCTACCACGATCATGATAGAGTCAAAACCATTCGACACAGGCAGGTCAGTGATAAGGTCAACAGATACCTGGGAGAAGGGACGACTAGCGGAGGAAGGAATCGGCCGTAAGGGCGGGGTAGTAGGGTGCGTGTCGGCCTTCATCTGCTGACATAAGGCGCAACCATCGACATATTTGCGAATATAGGTTCCCATGGCGGGCCACCAAAAGTACCGTTTCACCAGTTCTTCAGTCTTGAACCAGCCAGGGTGTCCGGCCGTAGGATGATCATGGTGTTTGAACAACACATCGTGCCGTTGGGCCGCTGGCACATAGGCTCTATTTTTATAAAACAGGACGCCATTGGTGCATGTCCAGTCAGAGAGGGCGGATTTCATGGGGGGAAGGCACACTCCGTCTAGTGCTTCCAGGGCTTTCTGGTATATAGGGTCTTCGGCGGAGTTATGTGCAATACTCTCCGATAGGTTATCGTCGATCAGTCGTACGAACATGGTATTGGGGAGGAGAATGCGATTCTCGTTGTCATCTTTTCCAAGTGAATGGTCCGGGCGTCGGGAAAGCGCATCAGGAGCAGCTAACTTGGTTCCTGCGACGTGGTGTAATTCCAACTGAAAATTGGACAAGATGAGCTGCCATCGTGCTTGTCTCCTTGTTAGCTTCTGAGCGGAGCGGAAGTAGAGGAGATTCATGTGATCTGTGAATACTATCACAGTGTGGGGGCTTCCTTCCAGGTAGTGGCGCCATTCAGAGAGTGCTCTGACGACTGCCAATAATTCCCTATCAAAGATCTCGTAGTTGCGTTCCGCAGAATTGAATGATTGAGAGAGATAACCGCATGGGTGGTACATCCCATTTTCATCAGTCTGTAGCAACACCGCTCCGGTTGCCGCAAGCGATGCGTCGGTGGCAATTGCGAATTGTCGGGTTGGGTCAGGGTTCCGTAGTACTGGCTGTGATAAGAAGGCGCTTTTGAGACGGTCGAAGGCATTTTGGCAGTTGTCTGTCCATAAGAAGGGATGATCTTTCTTGGTAAGGTCAATAAGGGGTCGGGCGATGTCAGAGTAGTGAGCGATGAATGCTCGGTAGAAATTGCAGAACCCTAAGAACGATCGTGTGTCCTTCAGGTTTTCCGGGGTCGGCCAATGCTTAATTCCATCTACTTTGGTGGGTTCCATTCCCACTTCTCCGGGTCGGATTATCATTCCGAGATACTCCACTTCTTGAGCATCAAAAGTGCACTTTTCCGGTTTGACAAACAACTTTTCCTTCCGGAGGATATTGAGGATCTCAATCGTCCGTAATCGATGTTGTTGCAGATCTTTTGAGAAGATCAAGAGATCATCCATATAGATAACCAACCACCCTTCATTTATCTGTTGTTGACAGAGGTTCGCCATAAACGCCTGGAATGTTGCGGGGGAGTTCGTTAGTCCAAAGAACATGACCGTTGGCTCGAATAGCCCTTCTTGTGTGGTGAACGCTGCTTTCCAGCGATCTTCGGGATGAATTCTAACATTATTGTACCCAGATCTTATATCGATCTTTGTGAAGTACTTGGCGTCATAGAGTCGTTCGATGAGGGATTTTGGCAAGGGAAGAGGGTATTGGTTTCGTATGGTCCAGTCGTTAAGATACCGGTAATCTTGACAGGGACGTAATTCTCCGCTTTTCTTTCCTACGAAAAAGAATCCGCTAGCTTGAGGGGATTTGGACGGGACAATGAAGCCTTTCCTGATGTTTTCTTCGATAAACGTTTTGACCGCTTCTCGTTCTTTTCCTGATAGTGGATAAATCTTTGATGTTTTGGGTACAAATCCTGGTTTGAGGTCGATACGATGATCTACCCCAGGTCTCTCAGGTGGAAGTTTGTTAAGGCCGTCTTTGGCGAAAACATCTTGGTACTGGTGTAGGAAGGGGGGAACGAGTTCTTCAAAGGTTTTCTTCTGTTTTTCTATTTCTCCTGCGACTGCGAATTCCTGGGCCTTATTGCTTGTCTTTCCGAAGTTTTGTTCTCTCTTTGATGTTCCATCTTGAACTAGCGGGGTATCGAAAGATAGATCTTCGATGATGTGCACCGTTGCTCCGTCAGTGGCGTATTCAACGAGTACTTCATCGTTGGCTAGTTGATAGGCAAGAGGATCACGGACTGGGGGTCTAAAATTTTCTGACCAGACGTCGTCCTTGGTGTTGTAGTTAGGGGTTTCTTCATCCATTGTTTCTTCTTCTACGGAAGTGGTATAGGGGGAGGGGGTTTCATTAGTTGCCACCTTCACCTGTACTGGCTTCCGTAGTTTAGAATTTACCCAAACTCGAGAGGCTTCCTTTTCGACGATCCTCTTCTCTTTGAAGAGCGGTGGGAGGGATCTTCTTCGTCGCTTTCTATCGATGTTCCTTTCTATAGCCAACGATCTCTTTGTCGGTGGAAGTGACACTGTCTTGGCTTCCCAATCGATCTGAGGTTTCAGTGCGGAGAGCCAAGGGAATCCTAGGAGGATTTTGTCTTGTTTGGCTAATTTTGCCACATTAAACTTTCCGATCATGGTTCGCTGGTCAATTTTGACCGTGAGTACGCAATAACGGGAGATGAGTCCTCCCTGGGCGTCCGATCCATCTGCAGTGATGATGGGGAAGGGGCGAGAAAGCTTATGGGTCCTGATTTTATGCCTTTTACAAAAGGCGTCGCTTATAAAAGTCCCGGATGCTCCGGAGTCGATGATCATGGATGTTTTGACGGTTTGTACGCGTTTATCGGAAAAAATGGATGCAGGAATTCTTAATTCATTTCTGGTTCCGATAGAACGTATTAGTCGTACAGGGATAGGAGTTACTGACGTCGAGGCAGTTCTCCTTTCTAAAAATCCATTTCCACGAAGCGGCGTTCTACTTCGGTGAAGTCGCTATCTTCTTCTTCTTCGACTTCCTTCGCCTTTTCTTTCATAGTTTTCCTTCGGATTGGTGTTTTTCTTTTCGGGGTTTCTTCTTCGTTCTTCTCCTTCTTTCTCCTAATAGGAGCTCTAGAGGAGGAAGCGCGACTTTCGACTTCGTCGTCGCTGCTGTTTTCTTCTTCTTGTTTTCTCTGGATCTGGTCCCTTTCTCTAGGGTGGAACGAGGTGTCGTTGGCGCGATGTCCTACCTGGTGACATTTGAAGCATCTCCCTTCTTTAAGATGTTTCTTTAATTCTGCGTCGGATAGACGGCTTATGCGATCGACTTCCATATCGTCGCTTCTTTTTGGAACGTAATGTTTGTTCCCGAAGTTCTTCTTTTTCTGCTGGTGGGGCCTCTCTTTTCTTCTGATAGCCCTCATCCTTTGGAAAGTGTTATCGAGGTTGATGCAGGTATTGACTACGGTGTCAAAGTCGTCGAGGCATTCACCAGTACGGTGCATGCTTTCTTGAAGCCCGTAATCTAAACCTTGTCTGAAAAATTCGATAAGGGGGGCTTGTTCGGTCATTCCTGCCCTATGTGCGAGGAGTTTGTAATTGGAGATGTAGGTGTGGAGATCTCCTTTCATTTCCAACTCTCGGATCTTCATCATAGCGGTCCCGGCGGGGTCCATGGGTTTAAAGGCTTCGTCAAAGTCCTTTTTAAAAGTGGCCCAGGTTCCGTAGCCGATTATTTGACCAGAGGTGTCTTTCCTCTTGGGGTCTAGGGCTGCTTCCATGAAGTCTTCTGCCCATATCGCCGTGTTTCCTTTTGTCATGTAAGACAATACTAGGATGATCTTCTTCTTGTCTTCGTTGTATACTTGATCGTTGATATCAAGGTATGCGTGACATTTCATCATGAATCTTTTAGATTCTTCGCGGTCTCCATCGAATTCGGGGGGGGAGCCGATCTTAAGTTCTATATCTTTGGCTTTGGTCGTCATGGTGTTCAGAGGAGGGATATTTGGTAAGGCTCCTAGGTTCAAGGCTCCGATTAAAGGAGTTAATGAAGTCGTGGTGTCGGTTTCGTTGCTGATGGCAACGGTTCAGGTTATAAGACTTTAATCTTTTGTTACGACTGGGATAAGTCGAGCTATCTCTGTCTGAGTAGACAATCGGCAGAATACCGGATAGACGTGAGTCTGCTCTCGAATGAGAGATCAAAGGTTCTGGCTAAGGCGAGTGTCGCTGACTCCCTTAGAATAGTAGTTCTTAGACAGTAAGGTTGGAGACCTTACTGAAGGACGATGTTCCAGGTAAAACCCAGTAGATTAAAGTAAGGAATACAACCGTAAGTAGCTAGGTTTATATACGAATGTTCAAGCGGAGCTTGTAGATGTGTTATCAAGATAGAAGCATGATAAGAGATAAGGGATCAGGGATAAGGTGGACAGCCCGCTTGGCGAAGATAAGAGATAAGCATGGTACGGACAGCCCGTTTGTAAGCAAGACAAAAAGAAATGAGTATAGGGGCTAAATGTTACTGTAACAGGAGCTCACTGCCTACCACAACATCCAGCAGATTGTCGAAGTCTGCAGCGACTTTGAGAACTGTGTGAAGCTGATCAGATCAGTGGCACTCATATTTATCAGGACGAAATGCGTCGCGGACGATAAAGTCATGAATACCTACCGATATAGAGCTCAAGTCGCAGCCTCTCCTGCGCGGTTTACACCACAGGCAAGCACAGACATCAACGCCACAGGCCCACCGCTATGTCTGTACAAGGAGCGGTGGAGCACTGGAGTTTGAAGGGGAATGTACTGCTTTGGATGCCATGAATTCTAGCGGAGAATTAGGCTGTTACAAATATTGGTGTACCTATTGTTCACTGTCGAAATTACGTTTGTATTTATCATACAAATTAGCTCTCCGCTAGCATGACTGTTATGTGGGAATGGCCGGCAGACTATATGCTGAATTGGTTCAGCCCAGTAACTTCACTGCTGCTGTACTTCAACCTTCAAGTTTTAGCTACCATGCTTGTCGACTCAGCAACTCACTGTATCAGATATAATATTCTATTCGTCACCGACAATGGCTCTCCTCTATTTTCAGAGTACTGCGAGTGGGTTTGAAATTGGACTCTCACGAGCTCCTACAGCCTGGGTACGCGAGACCTTGCGAGCATCATCATATAACAAAGCTATGTATATTTCCAGGCTGTCTCGCCTGCAGCTCCAAAGCCACGCAAGACACTACATAGCAATGCATTGCATCCATCCTTCCCAACCCAGTCGCTGGTAACACCAAGCATGGAGGGTGTCCTACAGTGGTTACACCCAAGTCTCAAAAGCTTCTACAGCTACTGCAGCAGCACACTGTCCGTCTGGCCTGCTTCATATTATTTCTCGCTGCATTCCTCTTTCTCTTGGTCGGGTTATCTTTACCAATTATCAAGCAGCACTCTCAACCATCGCCTTGGTGTTGTCTCTTTTACTTCGCTCACACTCAATCACAACAATCGGACTCATAGTTGCCACAATAACAGCAGTTGTTTCGACTGCTGTTTTTGCTGCAAACGTTGCTCTGGTTGTCGGTGTCAAAAACAACGTCAACTCCCTCTTCCCTGGATGCGACTTCGCTGTAAGCTTTGGCAATGGCTTGTGGATGGTACTGGCGGCGGTGCTTTTGGCTTGGATAGTGGTTATCATGCTGTCAGCACAACGATGTTTTTGCTGTAGTGTGAGTCGACAGTAAGTTTACAGGAATTTCTTCGTGACGCCATGATTTTCATCTGTCGATTAGCCCAAAACCAAAGGTGCCCAGATCAGTTATATCTGAAAAGAACAGTATGGAGAAGGTCTTGTTCTCAAATGGACAATTCTGCCATGTTCGACAAGTCACGCATACAATGTCGATGACCGCGATAATAATTCTACCAATATTCTGTATATATCGACAATTATTGATCGCAGCGGCATTTTAAACAGCATCTGTATAAACATCCCCTGTTGTGAGACCCCCCAGTGTCGGTAATGTGTGAGAGCAGTAACACTACGATCTCTCGCCATGACCCACCACGCCTTTCCGAGATCAAAGAATCTTTTGATTCCCAACGTTGTAAGGGAGAGATTGTTGCCGATTGGCAACATAGAGTCACCCACAAAATGCAAATAGAACTCGATTTGGACGAATAAGTGTGAAGCTTAAGACTAAAAGATCATCATAAATTTGGGATGGTCGCTAATTCATCTCCCCAAGTTTGATATTCAAAGCCTGGATCTGGAGAGCGCTCATCTTCCCCATCAATTCTCTCTTGAAAAAATCCTTTCTCACACCAGAAGCCCATGACCTCACAACAACCAGGTCCGCTTCGCTGCTGATCCCTAATTCCTCAAACGCGGTGAGGAAGTGGCTAATGTCAGGGTTAACGGTCTTGAGAAAGTTCTCGACAGTAACATTATCGTCATTCGCCGCATGAGGTTGTACAAAGTCGTGATCTTCATAAGGTGGAGGTGGACCACCGGGAGCGGGTGGCAAGCTCGCACCACGCTATCGCGCAAAAGGATAAGCGGTGCTATTTATTAGCAGTATGGGCGCAGGTACTTTACCTCTGAGGCAGAGCTCTTAACACGAACAGTGTTGGGGGCGGGCCTTAACTTCGTTATCTTGGCTCTGAAGGCGTGACGCTTGGCATACGTTTTCTTGGATAAGTAATGTTCGATGTAGAGCTCGACAGGCCACTGTGCATCAGTGTACTTGGATAGAAATGATGCCAGTTCCTCGCGAGCCTGAGGAGGTTTAGATAGTCCATATAACTTACTGGTAAAAAAATAGCTTACCCAGTCCAAATATATTGCCCAGATGTCTGGGACTTGCTCGTGTATGAACCTCTCGCAATCAAGCATCATAACTGCTTGATTGCGGAGAATTTTCTGTTATCAAAGATAAGCGATGCATGATAATGCGCAATCACTATTTACCTTGATTTCTTCGAAGACCGGCTGACTTACGTCCATTGCACGGATGATGTTTTCTTGGGGACCAGATACTAACTTGCGAAATTCCGCAGGCGTCGGTCGTGGTATGGTGCGATGGCCGTCACCGGCAGCTGATTCGTTACCCTGATGTTGCATCCTGTGTGCACTGCCCAAGGGAGCGGGCTTCATTCCAGTGGAGACCACTTACGAAGACCAGATCAGCAAGGGAGGGGAGAAAGGAAGAGTGTCACTCACTTGCTATGGATGGCGAGTTCAAAGAAGGGTAGAAAGATTTATAATGGAAAGTTACTCGTGGATACTGGTCCTACTGGATCTTTCCAGCAACCCTACCTTTTTCCGGGCGAAATAAACCAAGAGAACGGGTGATGCGCATGCAGGCAGTCACAGATTGTGACTTGGGCGCTTTGCTTTCGTCCCTATCATGGAATCACTTTGAAATATGAACTGTACAGATATATCAGTAAAGCCACGCACCTTTTGGCTCCAGGTAATGTCGTTGTTTTCATAGTACCCATTCATCTCCTCATCATAGCGCAAGGTATGTTGGATACAAGGGAATCATCATCGAATTCGAGCCGTCCCCACCTTTCAAAAACAAAAGTGAGTCTGCAGCGTGTTCGTTCTTGTGCTGAATATGTTTGCGAGATGCCATTCGAGCTGCTATGGGCTTCTTATTCCTACCGACCGCATCAACCAGTCCGCCTGCCCCTGTTGAAGCCAGCATGGCGGAGGCGGTTATCTCCGTAATCTGTCTTGGCCGCTCTATCAAAGACACTGGCATGAGGATGATGTCGTCAGTCGTGATATTCCTCCTGGGTTTATCGAAATCGTAAAGGTCGGGTGGCAGCTGACAGGGCAAGACTGACCTTGCTTTCGTTTTTAATGGGAAAGACGAAGGGAATGAGCACATTTGAAACGGTATTTTGGAAGGACAGAGACTGGTCACAATATTAATTGTCGCAAATGTATGAGCGAGGACTACAAATGCGGAAAATGCCATTGTTGGACGATTCGCGGAACCGTACGTTGGCATATGACCTTGCAAGCAAGGTGACTGTCGGAATTATGTTTGTATTTATCGAATTAGCTCTCCGCTAGCACGACTGACCTGGGCCGGAGTCGATATTACTGGCCAACTACCTTTGTAACTGTTGCAATAATCGCAGGCAATGTTCTTTGTCTCTATCAAACAAAACAAAAAATCCTAGGTATAAATGCTACGAACCTATCAGACAGGTTATTCCACAACTATTATGCACCCGAAATTTGGACGCAAACTCAAGCCTTTAGAAGCCAAGAGCCGTCTCGAAGAACAATCATTCGTGGAAGAAGGGAGTCCCTGGTTCAACGCCAGTAAGTAAGCCAATTACCTGCAAGGGAATGAGCCGTGACGACCACATCAATTGACAGGCCCCGAGGAAATGCAACAATTAGAAAAAGGAGCATCTGGCTCGATAACTGAGCAAGGGTGAGTTGAGTATCATTAATGTCCAATGTATAATCTAAATCATCACCCTGTGTCACAGGCGCCCATCTTTTCCAATGACTTCAGCTATGCGATACATCGCGGAATTTCTTATCTCTCAGCTTCTCAAGGCCATAACACTGGGCCTGCTTGTTGTGTCGTTCAACTGGAATGGCAGTCTTTTTGGCGCCAGGAGCAGCGATGCAGACCATGACGTGATCCTTGCTCGACTTGAACATCTTCAAACGGCTGCATGCAATCAAATTCCTGTTGGTGTGTCATCTGCCAATTTGGTTTTGATGCAGGACTTCACACTGGTCAGCTCTGGAGCCTTCTATATACCGCTTCTTACTTCCAAGTTTGACATTACCCCATCATCCTGGCATGTATGGTGTCAGACAGCAGACCAGCACAAAAGCAATTCTCCCAACCTAGCGTTGACTGCGGATCTTCCAGAAAGCTGTTGGAGACTACCCCAATTGAGGGGTCATCTAGGAATTGGGTTTAAGAGCCCTGTGATCATTACTCATGTTTCAATCGAACATCTTACTCAGTCTAGCAGTTCCCTGCTGGATGCACCCCGGGACATTGTTATTTGGGGCTTCATTGAACACGCTGAGAATCTTCAGCGTTACAGACCTGTTAATCTAGGTGTGGACGACGGACCTCCCCACGAGGTCATTGAAGCATCCCGAAGGCAGAATCCCAGTGGCTCTTTCATCAAGCTTGTGCATGTGGAATACAGCCCCTTTGATCACGAGTCACCGGTTCAAACATTTCCTGTCTACCAGGACATTATTCGGTCGGGTTTTGATTTTGGACTGATTATTGTCGAGATACGGGGAATTGGGGTGCAGACTTGCTTATACAGAGTGCGGGTTCACGGAAAAGATATTCATGACAAATTGTAACTGTACTTAATCATCATCGCAATATGTTCATTTTTACTCCTAAGTTAGTGGTGTCATCCTTGGGAAATATGCATATGTAAACCCTAATCGACTGTTATCAACTTATGCTTATGCAACACCCTTGACCTTGACGCTCGCTCCAAAACATATATATTCTAACTTCCATCATAAGTGCTAGGAGCACGAACTCTACGTGGTGAGCGACTAAGATCTGCAAACGGATTAACACCACGTTGCATCATCATCAACGACAGACACACCACCGTACGGTTTGCCATCAACGGTCCGCGGAAGAGTCTCATACCAGAAGATTGACAATCTTTCCGACATCTGCGCCAGCCTTGGGGTCATCCGCATTCGGATTCTCAACAGGCTTGATTCCCGCCTTTTGTCGGCAGCCTCCTTGGCTTTGTCCTTGTCGACAATGCCTGAGTAGTCCTGACGCTTGAGAGGTTTGTCGTAGATGGCAGCCATCAGTTCTACACGCTCCTTGTCGCCACTCGCCGTCCTAACCCCAGGTGTTGAATATCGGGTTCTGCCTGATGTGACATGAATAATAGTTCCCAAAAGAATGACTTAGATGCACGCTGGGAAAAGAATAGGCAAGTTAAAATTATCTCCATGTCTTGGTGTACAGAGTGACAAACCCGTGCTTAGTGCATTTGCTTGTGCACGGGTTCTGAGCCCAGCAAGCTCATCACACTGGAAATCAAACAAAGAAAATATCAGATCAAAAAAGATTAAAACTGCCATTGCTGTACTCACGTATAACCAGGCCATTCCGAGCCACCCAATAGCGAAAAATGTGTTAAAGCCGAATAACAGGACTACACTCACAATCTGCGCTGGTCCAATGTTGATATATCCTAAGATGGCCAAGAGCAGCATCACAAGGGATTGACCGATGGCTCCAATCAGCATGAGTTGACGCCTGCCAACATAGTCTATAGCATAATAAGCAATAAAAGAGGCAAGAAAATATTCTGTGCCATTGGCAGCAGCGGTAATCCGCGCGTTGACATCAGAGAGACCAAGACGCTGGAATAAGATAGTCTGCGTGATATCAGTATTGCCACAGTAGATCACGTGGTGGTATAGCGTACAGCGTAACTGTTGAAAGCGCATTTTAGATCACGACGGGTCACATCATAGGGCTGGAATACCCACTAGGTAACGAGGTTGATGCTGGTCAGCTGCTGCATCATCTGACATACCACAGCAATGACTGTTCGTCTGAAGTTCTGGCTGCGACCCCCGGTAATGGCAACAGCCTCACGAATGCCATAGTAGGTGTGCTGAACTTCTGGATCAGAGGGAGATTTGTCTTCCACTGTGGATATAACGGCCATCGCTTCTGCGTTCCGACCATGCTTTACCAACCTAGGATTCTGATCAGCTTCGCAAAAATCAGAGAATGACAAGAACTCGCCATCTCGGTGACTCGGGAAGCTTACGTAGCGTGCCAAATCGAATCTGTTAGTACAAGTATGCATATTTTCAGGGGGAGAGAACTCACAAATCCGATGCATGTCACCACAATAATTTCAAACACTAACTGCAGTGATATCGGAACTCTCCACTGAGCAGACGACCAATTCACGAAGAATCTGATTTGATCATTTTCATCGGTCAGTCAACCCTAACCTGGGTGTGACACCGAAACATACAGTGCTAAATCAATCCACTAAAGAACCACATCAGAAAAATGAACGAATGGAAATAACGGCTCGCGTACATAGCTGTAAGACAGCAATCAATTTAACAAGATAAATAAATCCAATAGCGCACTCACGCAATGGCCACTCCAGCCACAATCAGAGTCCCCTCCATCATAATCCTAGAAAATTTCTGTCAGTCATTCATCGTATTGCATATGAATGGCATACATTCGACCCCTCTTTGCGGAAGGGGAGAGCTCCGCATGATATGTTGGCACTGTCGATGTCTACAAACTTGTTTCAGCAGGACTTTGGAGCCAATAACAAGCACCACCGACTATCAGACCAGTTCTGCCGCCTGTAAAAGCAAAAGAAAATGCAATCGTTTGCAGAATTGCCCCTGAGGAATTCAGCTGGTGTTCTTAATGCGATATAATTCACCTACCGATCATCATTATACTGCCTCCTAAAGCAATTGTTCTACGGCAACCGAGCTTATCTCCAACCCAAAGATTGGAAAGAGCACCGAAGAGACAGCCTACTTCCTGCATTGTATAAGCACAGAAGATGGCGTACAGATAGTGAAAACATACATAAATGGCAGTTGTGAAGCCCTGAAGAGTTGCATGATTGGGGTGGCTAGCCTCCACTATGACTTCAGGGAAGGTAGCCTCAAATTTTTAGAATGAGATATATATATTCCCATGCAAGCAATAGAATACGTCGTTACCTGATTGCCCGTAATTAGTGACGACATGACACCTTAGTCATACCTGGATCGCAAAATGAGAAGATTTCGATCGAGTTACTTCTGAACGCACCCGAGGAGTGTGAATCCAGTTCCTGCTACAAATGCCACTGCAGCCGTGAGCTTACGACCATGCAACGATGGCGCATGGATAGCGATATCCGCTGGGTCCAAGTTGAATTGTTGGTTTATCTTTGAAGAACGAGATTTATATACTTGGGTGGCTTGCCTTCGAATCTGACAAATGGGAGCCTCTCTCCACGCTGCTGATGCGACCTCAGGACTTCTGACCATCAAGTGGTGATCAACTGGATCAGCATGAGAGTAGGCACAGACTGTCAGAAGTACTGACAGCTTACAACAGATAACTTACTAAATGCTTACCCCGATCTCATGATTGGCACGGTTCACTCTCACAAAATGTCGGCAGGAGAGCCCGCAGTGCCAGACAGAGACAGAAATCTCGACGCTGGACCCTGGTAAATATCAACCGGACTGTGATTCGTCGTTGAACCAGCTCAGAAGTAAAGAAGAGGTGAAGAATTTGAAAGTGATACCGATTGGGTACCGTCGGACTTTGCCGGAGGATGTTCCCACCATGCGTATGGCATATGGACCCTTCCTCGAGACGGGTCACAGCAAACAATGTTTACTCCCTACTCGGTACCAGCCATATGGAACATGATTTGTGATTTTCATGCCCTCCAGTCCACCAGTAACAAAGCCAAATTTAACAAGTGCGTTTACCGTATGAGGATTTACGCAAAGTGATGCTATACCCATGATGGGGACGCTCGAACTTCGTGGACACAATGGCAGAGGCATAGGCGACTGTAACGCTGATATAAGTCAGGCAGACATCCAGTCTAACTCGAGCGTCGAGTGTCATTTTCAGTAAATAATGCTGCGAGCTCGCATAAGATGCTGCGAGCTGGCAGCCCACAGACGGCGCAGGAGAGAAGAACAACCGATATTCGACATCAACAAGGGGTCGCCTTATGAAATGATATATACATACATGATGGTGCTGAACTTTATGAACAGCGGACGGGACTGCTGGGTGGGCCTAAGTTTCCCAACGTCATCCTCGCCCATAGTCGTGTGGGTGCATCATGGACTTTGAAACAATGATAGGCATAACTGCGAGAACAGCATGCAGGATACTTGGTCTGTTATGGTAAATTGCATAAGAAATCCAGATCACGGTGTCATGTTTGTGTCGTGCAAGCTAGAAACACGATTTAGTTGTCATAAAGTGAAATCTTCAAGGAAAGCTCCAGTGGCGGGATTTTAGTGCATGTACAGGGCGGGCGGTGGGCAGGCATGCCTTAGATTTTTTGCAAACTGATTCACTGTTTGGTCACGGTCTAGGTTACTGATATCTAGAACTACAAGAGGCAGTCGTCAGGAATTACCACTGTGCTTCCCATTCCATAATCCAAGACGTCAAACTTGACATCCGATAATGCTGGAAGAAGACGGTTATCATTGCCAGAAGAAGCACAAGCGCACATATCATGCATGGTATTGACTTGTCCAATCAGATAGAGCATCACAGTCAGACGCAGCCATGCCACTCACCAATTTGTGGGCTACCTGCAGGTTTCGTAATGTGCCGGCCTCTCTTAGCTCCTTGGTCTCAAAAAGGTGTATTGATGTCCTTGGGCCAGTTTCAGCAGTACCTGTGGCGATTCTACAAGTGTGCGTTGTAAGATCATAATGTGCCTGAAAAGGGTGCATCAGTTGAGCCCAAAATAGTGTGTAACTCTGGCTCACTGCTAAGGCGCGTACAATGCAATTGCCTAGTGAAAGAAAGCTTTGGGTTAGAACTGAAACAGCTTGCGTGCAACTTACCATGCAACAGAAATGGAAGCCGTGAGTCATTTTTCACATTCCATACACAGACTGTTCCACTGTCGCTGCCCGCCATCAGTCTAAGACCTTCATCGATCCAGTAAACAGGTAGGATGACATTGTCTCGAATTGTGAAGTGATATGATGTCAACCATATAGCGCCAGGGATCTTGTATACATCAATACCATTATGCTGGTTGAAGATGGTGATCCAGGTTTCATCAGGAGACAGGTCAGCATGTCCTCTAGATATTTAAATGAGCTCTTTCCTCATAATTTGATAGTAAACGTACATTAGCGACCGAAGGGGAATGGCCCAGCGTGTTTCACCGGATTCAGGTTCACGACAGCTGGCAAATATTTAGCGAATGTTAAGAATGACAATTTATTAACCCACATGATTCCCTGGTATAAGTAGGTCGCCAGCAAACAACCTGCATCATCACCGGAATGAAGCCAATGCAGCGAAGTCACAAAAGTCGGCTCCTGTGCAGTCAAACTCACAGCTCCTGGAGGGGATAAATCATTAATATGCTGAAGATGATCTTTGAAATAAATAAGTGTCAGAAAATTAACAGGAAAATATAGGGCGCACCTTGAGCTATATATTTCCATACTTTCAACTCTTGTTGTGCGCCAGTGGCAAGCTTCAGACCCGAACGGTCGACACCTGTAGGCAGCACATGGAACAGGTGATGCAGAGTCTGTAGCTAAGCTCAAAGAGCAACTACAACTTGTGGAATTGGGCTGCTCAAGGCTGACTGAGCTATATCAGAAGTATAGACTTCATTGGTTAGAGGAATATTATCAGGCAAAGGTGCTAGAAGAATATGCACCTCATGAAATTGATACTTGCTCTCCTCACCAGATTGCATGGGATGCTCCTTCTCTGATTCAGGGTATGTCTGATGCGCACTCCTTGTAACAAACTGACTGCCCTACTTCAGGCGATGACAGCGATGATGATGAAGTTGAGTAGGTGTACTGTGGCACGAAGAACTTCGATGTGAGGATATTGATTCACAGGTGAATCATGCAGATCTCAAATTGTGGGGGATGCTAGTGTTTAGATAAAGGTTGATGTGAGGCTCACATAATTGTCACATCTACGACCTCACCTCCAAAAGGGTGTTGAGCTAGGGCAAAGGTCATGAATCAAGGACACTGCTGTGGTAAATAACTGTTGTGTGCGAATGGGTGTAAAATTATCAGTTATACTCATATCTATGCTATCAGAACACTACTCAGGAAAGGCAATTCGAGCTCGAACAGTAGACTGACAGCGAGATATGCAAATAGCAGACAAACAGTAAGCCAAAGGTCGATCAATGGTCTGCAGCGACATGATCGAGTGATGGTTGGTGGGCGGGCTTGATTGCCACAAGCATCAACCACCCAGAGCCAGCCCTGCCGCCTTTCTTCGATAGCTTACCACTCACACTGCTAATCCCCTGGTAACCATTGGTGAACAAGATAATTTTTGATAGTTTGGGCCTCGTGTAGGTGATGTTGCAATGGCAGGTCTTGCAAGTGAACTGGGCTTCATCGGTCAAAGAGTGGGCGATGGACTTCCAAGGACGAGTGCAGTAGCAACACAAACATTGATAAGGTAGTAAGTTTCCCCAAGGACGCTGGTTCTGATGAAAGAACGTGTATGTTGATAGGATCATGGAGGTCTTATCGTCGACGTGCATTGCTCCCTTGTTAAATTAAATGACATAAGGAACACGGCGACGAACGGTGTTTGTGAGGTGTACATTCTGAGCAGACAGGATACTGTGAGGAGCTCTTCCATGGTGTCCTGAACCTCGAAGCCTTGAGTGAGGATACGTTCCACATATGCCATGGTGAAAGTCGGAGAACAGGTCTTCGTGAAAGCAAAATATTTCTGCTCGACCCGACCATCAAAAAAGCTCTCAGAAAAGAACCTCGGTCCATTCGACATCATCGCTCGTCCTGGTACCCATTCCTTCACCATCCATCTTCCGGACGCTATGTGATCCATACACCCCGTATTCCATGTCTCTCAGTTAGAACCTGCAACTCCAAACACTATTCCCAATCACATCCAACCTCCTCCACCTCCGGTATTAGTCAATGGAGAACCGGAATATGAAATCTCCGAAATTCTGGACTCAAAGATCGACCGCCGGAGACGTCACTGCCATTTATGATGTATATGCGCGCGCTTTCCCGCGCTTGAGCGCCCTATAGCGCCAGCCATCCAGACACATCCATCCACTGTCCACCAAGTTCACTAGTGCGTATATTTCCATTTCTCTTATTGGCATATCGTTCCACCTTTATTTTTATCATGGACCCTTACTTACATATATCTTTACATACCTACTTGGTAGCGATTCGGCTCCGCATGACAGCGCTTAGGCGCCATACTTAAGCGCCAGCATTACATACTATTACTTTTGACCTTTCCTGACTTCCCACTTCACTTTTTACCACTTACTTTACCCAACTGCCCAGGTGCAAGTCTTGCGCCTAGCGACGCACATCTCACAAGCAACCTCCAGATCTGCCGGACCGGAGGATTGACGCTTCGTAAAACTCCGGAGATCATAAAAAACACTCATCCGACTCACCTCCGACACATTATCCGCCCTGGCCTTGGCCAGACGCTCCTGCTCGCGCTCAGCCAACCTTTTCCGAATCTCCTCAATATCTTTCTGCTTCTGTTCCTCCATGCGTTTCTGCTCCTCTTCCGCCTCCTTGCGCTTGCGCTCCTCTTCCTCCGCCTCTCTCCGAGCATCCGCCTCGAGTCGCGCGATTTCGGCTACCATTTCCGCCTGCCTCTCTTCGAGGAGTTGCCGGGCAGACTTCTTGTTGCCGGAAGTGGAGTTAGACATAATAAGCAGTAATAGGAGTTAGGGAGAAAGTTTTAATCATCTCATGGGCGCCCCGGCCTACTTATATGCTCAGTGCTATTTTTACGAGCTCCGCCCATCATCTCGCTTTCATACAACTCTGGACCGGACTTCTGAATCAGAAGCCTCGTGGGCTCGGCCCTAAGGGGGGGATACTGTGATATCCCGCATTCCCGACCCGGACTTATCACACACATCATTTCCGAATGTCCGGATCCAACCTGCGTCTAACTTCCGTGCCTTGTCCCTTTGTACGTTCCTACTCCAGTTAGACTATATCATTTTCCATACCTCATTTCATTTCCGCCTTTATTTTCCTCTGTTCCCATCTCCGGGTTCATTTACTATTTTCCAATAGACTAGCATTTGACTTTTCTATACGCTCCGTCCACAGCCTCGCATAGCTTCGGACTGCGCTAGCTTATTCTCTGTTAAGTCCTCCGTAGTATATAAACCCTGTAGATTCTATGTAGTTCTTGAGTTCAAATATTATCTTAGACTGTGCTCATTCTCTCCTCCGTCCGACTTGAGTAATCCTCTCGTCGACCTCCGCTAGTCTTAGGGTTGACCCCGATAGACTTATCACCTCCGCCTCTACCTTTGGTAGTCCTCCGCTGTTTCCTTTCTAGTTCAGACTTCATCCGGATTAGTCTTATCACCTGTTCCCAAACGTCTGCCAGAATTCCCGTGCATTGGACATTGGACTCCGGACTCCGGACATCGTCCGACACTTCCGGACATCGCCCGACGCCATTCAGACATCGTCCATTAGCCTTCGGAAGTTAGGGGCACGTACTCGGGTAAGGGGCACAGCGCACGAGCTGAAGCCAAGCCCTTTGGATTTGACCCTTGAGCATGATCTTAACACAAACAAACAAATATGTTGATCCATTGGTGCAAGATCTGCAATTACACTAGCCATTGAATGTCTACATCATCACATAAGCATATTATCATCTTGTTAGAATATTAAGGTCTTTATCTGTCATAGCAAATGTCTTGTATGGCAATATATATGAATCAGCTATGATGCTACCCATTCAAGGCTACTCGTTGAATCATCTGAATTGGACTCTATTGGTTATCTAAGACTGTATACAAATTTATACAGAGTCTGACCCAACCAATTCTGACAAGTAGCCTTGAATGGGTAGCAGCACAGCTGATACATGTCCTGCTTCAGTTGAATCACTGGCATATGGAGTAGGATCAGCTTCCTGGAATATGAATTCTGAGACAATATGAAGACCACATGGTCCGCTTAAACCAAATGAACTACCAGCGGGACATTGGCAATCAATTGCCTGTAATTTGATCGTAGATTTGCTAAAAAGCGAAGGGTTTGATTCTATTTTTGTTGTTGTTGATCGATACACAAAACAAACACATATCATGCCTATGAAAAAAGACATTGATGCTCGAGTAATCACAAAACTCTTTCTAGATAATGTATGGAAACACTTCAAGTTTATGGGACAGCTATCAAAATGTCTAGGCATAAAATGGAACATGTCAATGGTGTATCATCCTCAGACAGATAGACAAACAGAAAGTGTTACCCAAAGAACTGCCCAAAATGCTGGCTGGTGTACTACCCAAGCTGCTGGCCAATGCACTGCACTGGTTGAGGGTCTCTCCGAGTTATCATCATGTCTGCTAGTGCCATTATTTGCACCACATCATTTTGTGCCAGTGAAATCATCACCCTCGGTACAAGGTTTGACATTTCAGTCATACAATGGGATAAATATCGGCACATATTGAAATGGAACTTTTCCAGAGGTCATTCTACCGGACCCAGGACAACCCTTGATCTCTCATTTGAGAGTAGAATCCTGCTCATCACTCTAGCTCCTCGCTAGTAGACTTGTCCATTTGGACATTGATGACTTAACCTATCCCAGTTGTAAAACATGCTGGGATCATATATTGACCTATCTATTCCATCATATTGTATATAGTCTTAGATAACTAATTGAAATGAATTCAGAAGATTCAATCAATAGCCTTAAATGGGTAGCATCAATTACAAATATCACAGGAACATATTTTACCTTTAGTAAAAATAAATTCTCCAAGCTGTTATTAATCAAATGGTCAAGTTGCAAATAAAAACCTCATGGCAATATCTACAGCCAAGGTTACTTATCAAGGCTACTCATAGAATCATCTGAGTTCAATTCAATTTGCTATCTAAGACTGTATACAAATCTATACAGAGTCTGACCCAACCAATTCTGACAAGTAGCCTTGAATGGGTAGCAGTAGGACCCATGAGAATCCCTATGGGACCCAGGTCAGGATCCAGACAGAAATTGACCTAAAAAACTGTTTCACCTAGGTCAGGATCCAGACACAAAACATCCAATTTGGATGTCCATCTGGAAGAACATCCAGACATCTGTGAAGGAGGTGGAGGTATGCCAGGTTGACATCCGGACATGTGTTCTAACTTCCACCAGCAGCTACTAGTACGTAGTAATATGCTTGTCAAATCTTAGCATCTAGGAGTTATGGTGAGCTATTCAAGCCATCTGGTTAGACATAGCATCTGTGTTGATGAAGGTGATCAGATAGTTTGGGCCTAGTTCTTCTGAGACAGTATACACAACTTGCTAGAACTCCTCACCTGGATTATGAGATATAATCCCTTCAATCTTGATTCATGTAGGTTAGCTAAGTACAACCAAGCAGATTTTGCAATATGTGACACAATGTAGCCTTATCTCTGACCTTTCCTTCGCTCACTTTCTTGATACTAGTGCAAACCCTTATACAATTGTCACTCTTCATATGCAGACACACTTACCTGAAAATCTACTGCTTTGTCTCATCAAATCAGATACTCTATCTGTACCTATCATCACATTCATTTATCAAAATACATAAATTACATTCATTCGATATTTTTCTCATGCTACATGGTTTATGAATATTTATAGATATTCAAAGGTGACTTTCTTCTGAAAATCATTCTACTGAACCTGGTTGGATAAATTTATATTATTCAAACTATTCTACACACTTCATTTCAGCCACAACAGGGGGCAGTAGATGAATCTTAGTAGATACAGAAAGGCTACTTTGTTTGAGGTCATTCTATGAAACCTTGTACATTCCTTTATTGTCCATTATTAAATCATCTAAACTGAATTTAATTAATTATCTAAGACTATATATAAGGGATGTGGGCCCATACTAAGAACACAGAATAGTAGAGTGAGCCCACTATATGTAGGATGCACAATTCAGAATAAATCAGAAGGAAAAGACCTATGGTCTAGTCATAGGTGCATGTGTGTATGCATACATTGGTGCAAGATCTACAATTACACCAGCCATTGAATGTCTACATCATTGCATAAGCATATTATTATTTGTTTATAATACTGGTGTGCATTAAGAATATTGGAGCCTTTATCTGTGATAGAAAATGTCTTGTATGGCACTATATATGCATCAGCTATGATACTACCCACTCAAGGCTATTCACTGAATCATCTGAATTGGATTTAATTGGTTATCTAAGACTGTATACAAATTTATACAGAGTCTGCCTCAACCAATTTTAACAAATAGCCTTAAATGGATAGTAGCATAGCTGATACATATTGATGATTTTATTTATGACTCTCTTATAAAGTCTGATTCTCCTAGCATGAGACCTAATCTTATTCTATAGCTGAACAGCAATAAAAAATTTGCTAAATGACTGATAATGTACACGTACATAGAGATATGAACTGTCATATCCCGCATTCCGGACCAACATCTGACGACGTTCCCACGCCTCATCCGGACCTCCGGACCTCCTGTCCATGTCTCCAGACCCAATCCTCTATCCGTCCGGATCCCTGTACTCCTGCATCTGATATCCGGACGCCAGATCTGATATCCACATCTCCGGATCTCCGGATCCGACCTATCTGTCATGTCCGAACCCAAACCTTAAATCAGCGCCCATCCCCTTATGGTAATCACCTGTCTCCGGACTTCCGAACATCCGGATCCGACCCACGTCTATCTTCCTTGCGTTCCGGACCCGGACCTATCACGCATTCATCTCTGGACATCCGGATCCGACTCGCATCTATCTTCCGTGCCTTATCCCTTTGTATGTTCCTTCTTGAGTTAGACTTCCTCATTTTCCGTACCTCATTTCATCTCCGAGTTCATTTCCTATGATCCGTCTTATTTTCTAATACATTTCCACATGCTCGTACATAGCCTTACCCCTCTGCTTACTGATCTGCACAGACTTGCCTCTAGTATATAAACCCCAGTAGATACTCCTGTATTTCCTCAGTCTGAATATCATACACATATTAGTCCTCGCACTAGCCTTCACCCTAAGTCCTCGTAACAGTTCTAGTCCTCCGACTTAGTCATTATCCATCTCAGGCCTAGGGAGGAATTCCCTAGGCCGGAGCTCCGCTCCTCTGCTCCTCTGCTCCTCTGCTCCTCTGCTCCTCTGCTCCTCTGCTCCTCTGCTCCTCTGCTCCTCTGCTCCTCTGCTCCTCTGCTCCTCTGCTCCTCTGCTCCTCCGCTCCTCCGCTCCTCCGATCCTCTGCTCATCCACTCATCCACTCATCCGATCCTCCATTCCTCCGAGTTTCCGGAAGTTCCTCCGGAACTTTCCCGCGGTCCTCCGGACCTATTCTGCTTTGGACTTTGTCCTTGCAGCCTTTCCTCTGTTTGCTTCTACTCAGGACTTGTCCTGAGTAGCCATTACACATATCCCCGTCAGGACGAAACTCCATCATAATTTCCGGAAGTTCCTCCGGAACTTTCCCGCACTCATCCGGAAGTTTCTCGCACTCGTCCGGAAAGTCCTTCCGAAGTTTCCCACGCTCCTCCGGAAGTCCTTCGGACTTCACTGGACTTTCTCCGGACTTCATTCTGAAGTTAAGGGCACATACTCGGGTAAGGGGCGCAGCGCACGAGCTGAAGCCAAGCCCCTTGGAATCAGTCCTACCCTTTGTGCATGGTCTTAACATGAACTGAGGGATATGGGCCCACACTAAGAATACAAAATAGCAGAGTGAGCCCACTGTGTGTGAGATGCACAAGTCACAATGAGTCAGAATAAATCAGAGTCTCACCAGTATGCAAGGGCTTTTGCATTTCATACATCAGGAGATGACTCACTGGCTGCTGATATATCTTTAGAATTTTTTGCTCCCAAAAGCAATAAAAAGTGTGCTCTGTGGGTGAATATTATAAGGATTTTGGGGGAAAGTATCAGTGTGCAATAAGAAATCAGATTAAATAGGGAGCTGCATAGAGATCCAGTGATTGGACATATATAACTGACAGGAGTGTTCTGTAATAATTCATTAGTAGGGTGTTTCCTCTCCTTAACTCTCACCTGATCTATATCATCAGGCAACATGTCCAGTCTATCTTTATTACCATGGCTCTTTCTACCATTGGAGTTGCCACTGATTTGTATTGTATTTGTTTTTTTGGCAACCTACTCTGAAGGACCTACCAAGGTTGTCCACAGTTTACCTGCCAGACAGGATGCTGGGCCAACCCTGCAAAATTTTTCCAATGGCATCAGTGGCACCTAGAAAGCTGAAGGTTCTACTATACTGGTGTTTAACAGCTGAATGTGTCCATCTGCTATAAGCAATGAAAGATTAAGCAAGCCTTGCTTGACATTGTTGACTTTAGGGGTTTCCTAATCCTGCAACATTAGGGCCAATGTGCCCAAATACTGTTAAGAACGTGCTCAAAGGGTCAGATCTAAACGGCTTGGCTTCAGCTTGTATGCTGCACCCCTTACCCAAGTATGTGCTCTTAACTTTCGAGGGCTATAGGACAAAGTACAGTGTAGGTGAGGAATGTAAAGTGATAGTAAATGGGTGGTATGAGATATACTCAGATGGTCCTCTGTGCACAAGCTAATGTTGGCCCAAGGGGATTGCTACTAAGAAGGTTCTTGCAAGATGTTCAATGGGGCAGTTGTGAGCACGAAAACACAGTGTTTGGATCTTTGCCTATGATCAATAACGACACGGGCTGGCGTCACATGAAAAAGCTTGGAGGGCATTTGACTGGCGTGAGGATCAACAAAGAAGCAGGTTTCAGTGCAGAGTACGCATGAAAGACAGTACGACGAAGGGAGATGGGAGGGAGCAATGATAAGGGGCACAACGAGGGTTGGCGAGTCTGAGAGGACGAGGGCCCGGCGAAATAACGGAGACATACGGGAAGTAAATGGAACAATCCGTGTGCAGAGAACGGTAGTGAGAGGGTGATTTTTGTGTTTGACTAAGCCCTCCTCCACTAACGTGGGAGTCGGGGACTTATTTGCAAAAAGGTAGTATCCGCTTCGTGATGATAATCATGAGAACATAAATAAATACATTGCCAAATTTAGCAATTTGAGCTTGAGCAAGCGCATTGACAGCGCCGCAGTCACGATTTTCTTCAACTGCTTATGAGATGCCTGCGCGGGCAAGCTCGCAATGTGTGGTTGAGAAGTGGACGGAGACCAGTCAGTTATTTTCAAACAAATTGAGTAGTGAACATTTTCAAAGTGTAAAGTACGTGGGTGACCACGAATTCTGTACTAGGCGCGCTGCACACCGTTCTCCCTCCATGGTCTGAGAATCTGCCAGAAAGTTCTCTTGGAGAATCCAACACATTCAAGAATCTGCTCTAGGGATAGGATTCCATTGTCATAGAGATTGACAGTTGCTAGTTTTCTTCCGAAAGGGCACGTTGGAGGTTTGCGGCAACGCAGTATGCATAGTACTTTCCAAATATGGTGAACAATCATTTATTTTCTCATGATATAGAGCGCTGCCAACCTTTTTGCAAAATAGCTGTAACATCGTCTTTGTTCCCTCTGCTGTACTGCATCACGAAATAAAACTCGTTATCTTTGTGCTGCTTTGTTTAGGGTCGCCAGTGCATCCTCCCATGCTGCCACTCCAATGTAAGCAGGGTTATTCTCATCACTACTTATCTTCCTCACAGTTGCCTCCCCCCAAATCCTAAACGCCAAGATACTGCCGTACTTTCACATCATCTTCGCCTTGTTGAAGTTCCATCTCACGGTGTCTCCAAACAACATCCAGCCTGCGTGTATTCTGGCAGCGCCAGACATGCTGATGGGGCTCGCGCTGGTTACCGAGGAAAAATTCGATGTCACTTTAAGGCATCCCGTCCTACGCCGGCGGGAGGTCTGTTTAGGGACAAAATCATCGATTTGACCCTCACGTCGTGCTCATCTTGGCAGTATGGGAGCGGACATTAGGCGGGAAAAGGGAGCGAGTGGTACAATCACTGATGCTGGTGCTGGCTAACCTACAGAACGCAAGAGACTGCACAACTCGATCATCCCATCTCGTACGATTTCATGCCGTGCAAAGTAGGGTGTCATAAGGTTAGTGAAGTCGGTGTCGGACACAGAATTCCTCTGCTGGATGATGTCTAACGGTGAAAGCGAATGCACTCCGGGACGGACCCACAATAAGTACTGGGGGGCAAGAGGTTGGTTGGCATGGGTGGAAACAGAATGGTCGACATCCAAGACATTCCCGTAAGTCTTGATCTCAGCTAAGCGATTGATAAACGAAGGTGTAATGTTCTTGTGCGCAGTAAAACGCTCGATTTCTCCATCCCAGTCGCAACGCATGTTAAAGGGACCTGCGCAATTGCAGGTAATGAGGTAGGCTAACCAAAAATAAGATTCGAGATCGTGATAGAACTTGACTTTTGTGTTTAACATCGAGGCATTGGACTCGAAGGGAAGTGTCCCCTTTGCATCATATCAGTATTGGATATCGGATCGAAAATAAGGAAGTGACTTACGGTACGTGGCAAGGACACCTCCCCCCCAGGTTCCAAACAGTCTGTGGCAGACCCCCAATCGGATGCCACCCCGCTTCTCATAGGAGTCCACTCTTTTGCTGCCCCATCAGGACGCGGAGGGACAGCAGATTCGGCGGATATCGTTTCTACGAGGAATATCGTATTACCATCGCTAACATCGCGATGCAAAACCTTGCGACATTTATAAGTGTTACGATGACCTCAAATAAATGTCAGGTATAGAAGTATATGGGCAGACATTCAATCTCACCGACTACGGCGCCTATGATGCCGTGGAACATTTCACGTGCAGTTCTCAACCACAAGATGTTGACACCACAGGTGGTAAAAGACGTGCGGGATCGATATCTTTCCTCAAGTTTAACTTTTCCTTGGAATTCGCCGAGAACCGTGGCCAGGACCTGTGATGATATCATAGAAGCACATATGGAAGCAATTGACTGGGGAACTGGAAAATCGGAGAACAGGCCGAGGGAAGGATACATATGGTCTTTCATGATGGTTATTCCTGAAAGGAACTTAGTATCGTCCCAACAGCGACTGCCAACGTAACAATACATTCCATCCAGCCTCCGAGCGCACTCTATATCTGAACAATCACCAGGATCTTCCTCGCCGGTGAAAACCCACTCGCCATTGGGTGAGAGAACAAGAAGAGAGTCCCGTGCAGGATCTTGAAGTTTCCTGTGTATTACGTGGTCGCTCACCGTCTTGGATGGATCCCAACAGTCTTTTATTACAAGATGTTTTTTATCCTGTGCGCCCTCGACGGCAAAAACACGCGTGCCTTTTCCATGCAGACCTAATTTCTCGTCAAGAGAGTACAACATTCGGGATGCAAATAAGACATGCCTATTGATCGGTGAAGGTAGCCAACTAGCTGGAACTCCGAGTCATCGCACGCCGCTCCGTTCTCGTCTTCGTCCTGCCAATACCTCTGATCATCCCAAACCTGGATCGTGGCGGGAAGGACGCGGAATATATGGACATCGTATCCCAGCCACGAAAGGTCCGTTTCCGTAAAGTAGTTCATCACCTTCGAAAACAATTTGGGGTTTGAACTTATGTCGAATGCTTCGGAATAAAGGCTTCCGCCGCGCGTGAACACAGATAGGCGAAGGGCCGTTCCGCATAGACTGAGACAAGGGAACCATTGGCGATGAGGCTGGTGGTGGAAGACAAAAGTAGCCTTATCAGCGAGCTGAGCAATGGCACTCATCAAGAGCTTGGGACTGTCTTCCCACTTCACCTCGATGACGGAAATGACCTGGGCCCACTTGGTTTCCTCCGAATTACAGGAAACCAAGATTATATCGGGACTGCGAGTGTCTTCCAGCTGAGTCCTGTTGAACGCCTTCCATACACGCAATCCAATATCCTCAGGAATGGTGGCACCCCTCTTGGAATAGTTTTTGTGCCTGCGGCTTTGAATTGTGATCTAAGAATCAACATCAAGATTCTGATAAGTAGAAGCATCAGTATCGCATACATACCTCATTGAAGAAGTTGGTAAGAAGACTCTCAAAAGTCTGATCGAGTGGGATGCCGGCCTCCTGCAACCAATTTTTACGTTGTAATGGTAGGGGAGCTTTCGAAGCCGCTGTCCATTCATAGGATCCTTTGGTCGCCGCGAGTATGCCGTTCGGTCTGGTCCAGCGTTCAATCATCGTATTGCGTTGTGTAGGGGAAAGAAACTCGTCAGCGCTATTAATAAGACAATTGTCAGACCAGGGAAGGTCGCAGACCAAGAGAGAGCCGATCTCTGCCTTCATGGCAGTATCAATATTTCTGTGCTTGAAGTGGTGTTTCATATCCACTCCCCAGCTTGAATCTATCTGCAATTGACAAAAATTTAGTGTAGAAGTGAATTCGTCCGCGGTAGGACTGGAACTTACTCTCTGGCGAAAGTTATGGTGAAGGATGAGGGGCAGGAAGGAAGAGGAAGCCGAAGATGGGGGTGAGGAAAGGAGGGAACAAACACTTGGTTGTCCTTGTGCAATGTCATCACACCCGCTACTAGGTGTGGCTGTGACATCCTGCACTTGATGAGTAAGTCTTTTATTGATCCTAAGACCTTGGGAACTCACTGATGCCATTTCCGAGGCTTAACCAGAGACAAGGAGAAGGCGAAGGAGAGAGTGGGAACGTAAGCGATTTTGCCCACGCCAAATGTAGATTTGATCGATAACAGGAATAGAAAGGTCCTAATTGTATGGCCAAGTGACGCGCACGTTTTCAAGCAGTGCTTGCCATAGGGTCCAGTGATTGCCCGATGCAGCGGACATCATTCTTTGCTCCACGGAGTCGAAGCTCGATCATCAATGATCCATGATCCATGAATAGTGCCGGGGGAAGAATTGTTTGCGAGCAATTGTGCCGGCATAACCGGCAGAAGCGGAACAGAGCATATGGGAGCTCATCGGGTCAAACAAGCTCCCTGGTGTTGCGAATGACTCTGTACGTCGTAGGGAATGGAGAGAGGCGAGACGATGGGAAGAGGCGAGACCAGCGGATGAGGCGGCCGCAGGGAAGAAAGCTCAGTAAAGACGCTACATATATACATGTAGCTAGCCTGAGATTCCCCACAAAGCTTTCGAGATCATATTAGACTTTTTCAAGTTTTCATGTTGAATGTCGATTTAAGCTTCGCCTGAAAGACATCCCAATTGGTATACGGATAGATTATACTTTGGAGTGACGTTGCAAGTACTCCTGTTCAGGTCAACTCACTTGCAAAACAGTTATAACCGCCCTTGTAACTTTTATTCGAACCCGTGCGGAGGCGTCGAGATGCTCAATTTTGAAGATGTCGAAGAGCGAGATGGTTTGTTTCATTGATATCTTGCTTAAATCGATCGATTAGCTTGTGTTTGATTTCAGGCGTCCGTCTCTCGTGGAATGTATGGCCCTATTCTCGGATAGAGGCGACGCAGACTGTGGTTTCGATATCAGCGCTCTATACTCCATTGAAGCAGCGAGAGAATCTTCCCCCAGTATTATACGAACCCATGACGTGTAAACCGCCTTGTCGTGCTATTCTCAATCCATATTGGTATGTCTCTTCTCTTCCTTCCTGAAATTCTATTAATGATGCGCCATACAGTCAAATCAATATTGGCAGAGGCAAACTGTAGATTTGTCCGTTTTTCTTGACCCGCAATCCTTTCCCGCCACATTATAAAGATATCTCTAACACCAATCTACCCGCTGAACTACTTCCCAAGTACACGACGATTGAGTACACGCTATCTTGTCCCGCTCAGGCCCCACCTGTCTTCCTGTTTGTCGTCAATACCTGTCTAGATGCCGATAACCTCAAAGCACTTCGTGACGCTCTTGTCGTCAGTCTCAGCTTGATCCCACCATATGCATTAGTTGGTCTCATTATGTTCGGCACAATGGTATGTATATACACTTGTTCTTTCATCATTCAAGCTCATTGCTTCAACCATTAGACACAAGTTCATGGGTTGGGCTATGCAGAGTGCAGCAAGTCATACGTCTTCCGTGGCGGCAAGGAGTACACACAGAAACAGATTCAGGACATGCTCGGACTCAGTACGACAACTCGCACCGCACCCCACGCCGGCCAACCCATGCCCCAACAAGCTTTTGGCGCTGCGCGTTTCTTGCTTCCTGTCCAGCAATGCGAATTTCAACTCACTGGCATTCTGGAGGCACTCGCTCGTGACCCTTGGCCAGTTGCTAATGACAAGTGTGCTTGACGTTGCACTGGTGTGGCCGTCAGTGTAGCCGTTTGGACTCCTGGAGGTGAGTTTATCAATTGTGGTGAGGAGAGCGTATGGGTGACAACATAACTCAGACGACTTTCCCTAACACAGGCGCGCGTATAATGGTTTGCGCGGGTGGATCGGCAACGGAGGGTCCAGGCATGGTTGTCAGCAACGAACTCAAGGAGCCTATTCGCTCTCATCACGACATCGAACGGGACAGCGTCAAGCACTACAAATGTGCGGTAAAGGTTTGTCCTGAATCAGTGACACAATGTACCATGGCATCATAGTTTTCTTCATTTTAGTTCTATAAAGGTCTGGCGAAGAGGGTATCCAACAATGGCCACGCTGTCGATTTGTTTGCTGGTTGCTTGGATCAAGTGGGCTTACTAGAGATGAAATCATTGCCCAACTCAACAAACGGTGTCATTGTCCTATCTGATTCGTTTGCTACATTGATCTTCAAGCAAAGATTCCTGTGTATGTTCAATAAGGACGATCAGGACTTCTTGAAAATGGGTTTTAACGCGACGTTCGACGTACAGGCAAGTCATCTCGCATACTCTCTACATGACCTTTTGATTTCAATATATTTAGACAACCAAAGAACTGAAAGTTTCTGGCCTCATCGGACATGCAATCTCCGCCGGAAAGAAATCTGTGTGCGTTGGCGAGACAGAAATTGGTATTGGTCAGACGTCAGCCTGGCGAATCAACTCCATTACGCCTAGGACATCTGCTGCTATTTACTTTGAGGTCGTTACTCCTGCGGGCCAGGCATTGTCTCCCGGATCAAGGGGTCTCATTCAATTCATCACTCATTATTGGCAGTCAAGCTCGATTCTTGCTATCAAAGCTCAATCTGTCGAGAACGCATATGTCGACATCGATGTATGGCACTCCACAAACCGCGGGCGCTGGCCAGGCACTCTTCACCGACGATGTCAGTTTGCAGGTCTTCATGGAGCACCTGAAACGTCTGGTAAGGGTTTCCCCGTTACTGTTGTGTGCACTGGTCGCTGTTTATTTTTTGCGTTCGAGTTAGCCTTTCAGTTATAGTATTGTTGGTAGTCTATCGTAAAATGACCATTTTTCTGATTTTGTTTCAATCTTCAATTGTATTCAATGCGGAACTATATCTGAGGTCTGTTATCTTGTCCAGCCAAACTTTCAGACTGATCAGACTGCATCTTGCGTACAAAATGATCTACGTACTTTCAGCTGTGTATCCCTTGTTTAGTGCCGTGGGTTTGGAGTATAAAAATAGCGTGCTCAGACGCGTCAAGCACGTGCCACAGGACTCTAATCTCTTCTTTAACCTCGCGATGCCCGGACATACCCCGCATAGAACACCTCTTAAACGTGTCTCCCAAGGGTCTTTCTTCGCTCTCTCGCGATCAGGTAACAACCCTGATGCGCCTCATGGCCTTGGCTTCATCGAGCCTGTAATGGCAGAGCTAGTCGACGAAGTCGAGGTGCTGCAAACGAATGTAGAGGGCCTAAGGAACCTCAGCAACTTTTTGAAGACATTTAATGAAAGCTTCGCAAGCTTGCTATATGTCATGGACATGAACGCGCTTACGGTGGACTGGCCGCAGGTGAGCCTGCTAATTTCACGATGATCGAGTATGTCGACTAATCTCTTGTTGTTAATCTGCTAGGCTCCAACGGACGCATCGTTCCGGCTGGCTAAGCGACGAGCAGGTGCGTTGTGTAATAAATTTATTATGCGTTCGAGATGATGCGGCATATTCATTAGAGGAAAACACTCGTTTGGCTGAAGAAGATGCTCTGAAAGCAGCATCAGCCATTCCGCCGCCGCCAGACTCAGAGGCAGACAAGACGACGTTCACCGAAAACCAAGAGTTTGAAACGACGTACATGACAAATGCTACGACAAGGAATGCTTCTACCAGCATTATGAAGACCGCATCGACAGGTATTCCCAAGAGGAAGGTTAAACCAAAGCTCACTGCGAAGGAGAAAAAAGATTGATCAGTGAGCGCTGATACATGAGGCATTCTTTGCTTCATTTTTGATTATTTCTACAGCTTTCACTCAAGAAGATAGTAATGTCTCTTCCTCTTGAGTTTCGGGGTAGTGATCCGGCACGTATACTTGATGATGATACGAGACTGTTTATTAAAGGATGAGCGCTCCAGGGTCTCCGACGTAACATGGAATCTGTGATAGAATTCATGATGGACAGCGATGGGCGGGGTATCAGACGTGAGCAATCCTTCTTTGCTGCAGTATACATTGGCTCACAAGTCCTGACATGCAGTCATCGAACTCGTCAAACCTCCCGATCTCAATCAGGCATGTGTCAACAAATGTTTAATTGCTTTAGTGAACCGGAAGATTGTCCGAAAGGAAAACAGTACTGTAGGTCACAACCATTCGAACAACACGCATTCTCCTAATTTTCGAGCAGGGCACAGTGCTCTATCATTGGACCGGATTATCATGAGATCTGGTGCAGTGATGCATGAACATCCTTGGTTCTCGCGCCCTATCGGATTTCCATATTTTTTTTTTGCAGTCACTGTGTACGACTTGTTCGACTCCATCATTGTGAGGTGATGCAGGCAGCATTTCGGACACCAACGATGATACAGCTAAGAGACGCTCCTTATTGCGACTGCGGTAGTGCAACCACATCCGGAAAGCGTCAATACCTTGACCAGATCGGATCGTGAGGGTTACATTCATTAAACAAGGTTTGAACGAAATACTTAGACAAGTTGGTCCCGAGAACGCCTGCGCGTGTCAACATGTCGGCAACATGGACATGGTATGGATTATAGACTCTCCATCACTTATTCCCAAAGTATGCTTCACGGACGTATCTCTAGATGCGAACCCCTCGGGGTCTTGTCTCATCATCTCAGCCCTGATGTAATCCCTACGTTATCTTCATGAGAACAGCATTAAAGGAGTAATTTGGTGTTTATGTAACTCGTCAGATGGATACTGGCGTCACGGGCAATCAGCTGTTTGATCATCCGAGGGCCGAGCTTCTTTTCCGGATCTTTCAACATCTGAGTGAGCACGAGCTGTCGTTTGACTGTCTCTGGCAGCTGTCGGGTGGTCACACCACTTGCATAGAGACCCAAAGTTCTTCGTCTGCGAGCTACAGAGCTTTCACTGAAGTACGTCATTACTTGTAAAGGTACAGACGAGCACATAACACGCGTACCTCAGCTTAATCCCATGCTCGTCATACAAGAAGCTCCGTAACCTGATTGTCATCCTCCGGGGCTGCAGACGGTGAAAAAATATAAGGAGCGGACAGGGCGGACAAGTACGACAGTCCTTGTATTGATTCCTCCCAGTTGGGTTTCGATTATGTGGCTTTGTCGAAGTCGCTGTGGAAGGACCTGATGTGAGTCACGAGCAGGGACATTAAAGGAGTCAATGAGGAACTGCGCTGGAAAGAAAGCGACACCTTCTACATGTGCGATGACTATGCAACGAGTTAGCTAGGGCTCAACGTTTGACCCAAATTTGGGTTCAGGTGGGTGTTTGGCAACAGCCTCTGATCCAAACAACTACTAAGTAGGCAGCTGGTGCATGCGTTCTTGTGACATCCATCTAATAACAATTCAATGGACGAACTTCAGGATACTGGCACATGTAAACCATGAAGCCATGAACAAAACGAGTATTCATTGCATTACAGCTGGCGCCGTCGTTCAGCTTCTTAAGCTTGGTGAGGAACAGCAATGAAATTCGAGAATTGGCTAGTGTAGGTGAGTCCGGTATCCTTAGATTATGTTCAATTTTGAAGCTTCTGAAATACATACCTGATGGTAGCATATTTCCATTCTGTAGGTGTCCTAAGCCTATCTCTGTTTTTCTGTACAAACTTCCCATTACTGATGACCTCAATGGTCTCGTAGCCCATTGGCATATGAAGATGCCCATCTCCACAACTGCAAGTCTTTGATCAGTAAGAGCCAACACTTGATACATCGATGTAGTCCAACTCATTGTGACAATGAGCGCTCCTGTACCCACGTTCATTTTATACCACGATGCTATAGTATAACGTCTGCTGTCAAAGGTCTCACAAGTCTATGCTTTCATGACGGACGAGGAGGAGTCGGTGCTAGTGATGCAAGAAACAACAACTCTCCATCGCTCAAGCCGTGTCAAGGGAGAGACCACCACAGGCCCCATACGCAGCCATCCGAATGCGCTGTCGGCCGCTTCGATCAATCTTTCTACCTGGATTATGATGGTATTGACGTGATGGGGCGGGTGCTTGCCACACAATGGAAACCACAACTGAACTGCCATCACTGTGTTATGCATCCCGTGGTTATCGGCTACTATTCGTGCATTGGCTGCCTCAGAACATGGTATCGAGGTAATTAGCCAGTTCACAAGTGCCGAGTGTGCAAACTTAGCACACTTAAACTCCCTGAGTCATGCTGGCAAAAATCAGTCAGCAAATCAAAATAATAATAAAACGTGAACAGAACAATGCCCGTCGTCCGAGGATGAAGACCAACAGCCTCTCTCAGTGAAAATTGTAGATCACACATGATATTCACGGGGGAAATCCCTGCAATAAATATCGTGTTTTGCACCATGGATTCTCCAATTTTAAGGATATCTGGTTCTAAGTGTGCGTAAAGGGTCTGCAAGGAAGTGTCAAATGAGCTGTCAGCTCATCGAAAAAGGGTGTAATTGAACGCGCCTATTAACCTGAAGCAAGTCAAACTGGCTTCTAATGATGCGCCTCCTCTGCAATCTGAGCACCATATGGGTTTTTAGGATCCTTGGTGTACATCTCCGTTGTAACACCCATTCATGCGAGGTCGAAGTGGAAAAAGCACATGATGTACAACGAACACCCATCTCCTGCATCTTCGGGACAAGATAAAAGGTTACTGCGCTCGCTGCTAAGAAGGGCGCCATGGGTGTTAACACGACTGGTCATCGGAAAATCACTTGTGGCACGAGAAATGGAATGTACAGGAGTGGACCACTTGCGAAGACCGAGAAATGCCATGAGTGTGATCTAGTACAGAGTTATTTGAAGTAGAACATGAATTAGTTGAAACTCACTGGTTATAAGGCTGGAGTGAACTGGAAGAGCGGAGCGAATGATGTGCTGAATAGGACGAAACCGGGAACAGACATGAAACACCTATTAGGAAGGTGCTTCTCACGCCTTTATACAACGTCTATTATCAATACACGTCCAAAGTGACGCTCGAGCTCACTGTCAGTCGCGTTGTCTAGGTCATAATGGCAGCAGAGGCACCATGCTACACAGTCGTATTTGAGGATACCACAGAGAGTCCATCTACGCAGGAGCTTAGGGCATCTCTCGAGAAAGGCACTGATGAAGACAGACTGGACACATTGCGCAGGTTGTTGTGTCGACGATTAATGGGAACCCTCAGGTATGTTCCAATCTTTCCTGTAGACCGCATGAAGCTGATGCAACGGTGGCGGCCCAGCCCACGCTCTTGATGCCCATCATACAATATATTATGCCCTCCAAAAACAAGCAGCTCAACAAGCTACTTCACTTCTACTGGGAGGTGTTTCCCAAGTATGATGAGAACGGGAAGCCTAAGCAGGAGATGATTCTAGTCGTGTACATGTATCTATTATCCTCCTACCGTACATATACTCACCTTGCCCAGCAATGCCATCTGAAACGACTTGGTAAGACTGATTCCTGCACTCCGGATGTTCCGTTTTTCATATCCCTACAGCAACACCCCAACGAATATATCTGTGGCGCTACCTTACGTTTTCTCCAAAGATGCTGAACTCCTCGAACCCCTAATTTCTACCTGCCGCAGCTGTCTCAAGCACCGTCATTCCTATGTCTGCAAGAACGCCGTATTCGCCGTGTACACTATCTACCGCGAATATGAACACCTCATCCCAGATGCTCCCAAGCTCATGCAGACTTTCATTGCTGCAGAGTCTGACGCGACGTGCAAGCGTAACACATTCGTGTTCCTTGCGCATTGCGCAATGCCCAAAGCTGTGGAGTGGTTAATTAGCGTCTATGATCAGCTGACAAGTCTAGATGAACTCTTGCAAATGAGCATCATAGAAGTCATCAGGTTGGATTGTAAGAACGACACGATGCATTGAGTAAGTCCTTTTCATTTAGGCTATTTGTTTATCCTCATTTTTGTCAGTTTGCAGCCCCAATATATCACATGCATGTTTGAATTGTTGAATTCATCGTCACACGCAGTAAAGTACGAAGCTGCTACGACGCTCACTACACTCACGCAGAACCCCGCTGCTGTGAAAGGTATGTTTACGATCAGGTCCTGTACACATATATGCTCACTTTCATAATTAGCGGCTGCCTCGTGCTTTGTTAATTTGGTCATTAAAGAATCCGACAACAACGTTAAGCTAATCGTCCTGGATCGCCTGGATACCCTATGCTCCAAACATGGTCATATACTGGATGGACTGACGATGGATATCTTGCAGGTCTTGTCGAGGTACAAACATTGATCAATCACTAGCTGAAAATGATACTGAATCCTATTGTATCAGAGCCGACATGGAGGTTCGAAGGAAAGCCATGAGCATCGTACTCAGCATGACCTTGAATCGGAACGTCGAGGAAGTTGTTCTCTTCCTCAAGAAGCAGCTGCAGCAGACACAGGAGCTCGAGTTCGAAAAAGTCAGTCTTGCAGTCCTGCACGTTACCGTGAACTGATTTTGGGATAGGCCCCGGAGTACAGGCAACTTCTAATCCAATCGATCCATGTTTTAGCAGTCAAATTTTCTGAGATAGCTGCAAGCGTTGTTCATGCGCTCATGGAATTCCTCGGAGACTCAAATAACCCCTCTGCGCTGGACGTCGTGGCCTTCGTCCGGTTTGTTTTTCCTCCTATTCTCTACATCTTATTTCACTAACACTCCCGCAGTGAAGTAGTCGAGAAGTTCCCACACCTCCGGCTGTCTATATGCGACAAACTTTGACAGAGATCAGATCCGGTAAAACCTTCCGCAGCGTCCTCTGGATTCTGGGCGAGTATGTCGAAGGCCCATCAGACATTCAGGCCACATTCCAGGACATTCGCAAAGTGATTGGCGAGATCCATATTCTTGCAAGTGAGCAGCGCTTACTGGACGAGGCTGACGGAGAGGAGGACAAGAAGGAGGACAAGAAGGCCGAGGGAAGCGGGCGGCCAAAGGTACTTGCTGACGGGACATATGCGACGGAGACGGCGTACACCAGCACCAACTCAGCGAGATTAGAGGCTGTCAAGGCTGCGTCAAAGCCTCCATTGAGAGGTGCGTGGTGTGCCCATTTATTTCATTCGGAACTTTTAAGGATGTGATGTCAGCCCTCATATTGGGAGGCGACTTTTTCGCGGGTTCGGTACTCGCCTCGGCGCTGACAAAGCTTGTGCTGTGATTCAATGATCTTACAGATGACCGGCCAAAGGCCAACGCTCTCCGTGCTGAGGTACGTACTACTGTTAATGTTTCTATAGCATTCACTGACACCCACCCAGTCCATGTTGATCATGACGTCTATTATCCGCGTCGGCCAGTCGAAGTTTGTCACAGTACCAATCGACGAGGATTCCAACGAGCGCATTCTTGACTGCATACAAACTTTAAGCGAGCTCCAGGAAAAGTCCATCGTCCACGACATCTTCTTGAAGGACACGAAAGCTGCATACTCCAAGATGCTCGTCGCTCAGGAGGTGCGTGCCTAGTCTACTTCAAGTTGTGTTGCTGATAAGCGGACAGAGAAAGGCAGCGGAGAAGAAAGAGGCGGAAAATACGAAGGAGCATGTTGTGCAAGTCGATGACTTGCTTACTTTCAGGCAGTTTTCGAAAAAATCGGCGGATGATCCCATTGATGTAGGCCTTTGTCATCGACTGATTATACACCATTCATTTTTTTGCCAGTACGTGGAGGACTTAGGCAAGGCAACGGGAGCCGCTGAAGTCTGGGAAGACTTCATATCCAACCTCAGTCGCATATCCCAGCTCACAAGTATATCTTGTAGTGCTGCAGTCATTTCAAGTTTCAGTGTTCATCACTTCTAGGTTTTTCGGACCCTATGTATGCGGAAGCATACATCAAGATGCACGGATTTGATATTATGCTTGGTGCATATACTTGCCTTGATGAGCTATTTTTTGGCGATACTCATTAACGGTACTCAGATGTCCTTCTGGTCAACCAGACGTCTAATACGCTGCAGAATCTCTGTCTTGACGTCGCAATGCTTGGTGACCTCAAACTGGCCGAATGACTGGCTGTATATACCATAGCACCTCACGGTTTCCAGAGTATCAAGGCTACAATCAAGGTAACAACCAAAGATACTCTGTCACTCAACCATGTTAATTGTGCATCGTAGGTTTCGTCAACAGAGACTGGCGTCATATTTGGCAGTATCCTATGGGATGGGCCTGCCCTCGCTGAATGCTGTGTTATTTTGAATGACATCCACATCAACATTATGGACTATATCAAGCCTGCGTACTGTAGCGAGACGCAGGTATGTCTTTAATATCTATAGTGGCTGTCTAAATCCTCACTACCCTCAAGTTCCGAAGCATGTGGACAGAGTTTGAGTGGGAGAACAGGGTTAACGTGTCGACGAACTGACATATTCCTCTCGGGATTCTCTTATCTAGTCCCTAGCTAACACACCCGCATAGTGGCCCTCGCGACTACCTGAAGCACGTCATGAAGTCTACGAACATGTCTTGTCTGACGCCAGAAGGAGCCATGTCAGGCGATTGTGATTTCCTATCTGCCAACATGTATGCTCGAAGTTTGTTCGGTGCGGTTCTTTCCACAAGTTTTGTGTCAGCATCGGTCTTATTTCGTGATGACCCAGGCAAGGATGCTTTAGCCAATTTGAGCATTGAGAAGACAGAAGCTGGGATTGTAGGCCATGTTCGTATTCGGAGCAAAACGCAGGGCATCGCTTTATCGCTGGGCGACCGTATTACGATGTGTGAGTGTATGTGTTTGAAGGATATATCATGACGGTTGATGATTGTATATCTGTAGCCCAAAAGGATAGCAAGTCGTCGATATAAAGTGTATAGACATGGACCAGGTTACTGAACTGTACACATAGGCATCATGTACTAGAGAAGGAGACATGAATGTTTGATGCAACGCTAACACATGGTGATCGATCTTTACATCAGTAGGTACCCAAGCGGTCCCCTACATAGCCAAACCTCTCAGCAACCTGGACAACGTGAAATCACTTGAAGCACTTAGATACCCTTCTTTACCTCCATCTCGATTCTCCATCCACATGTACCTTGGCATTTATCTTGAAAGTCCTGGTCTCCGCTCACTGGAAAAGTGCGAACAGGATTGGAATCCAGAAGCGCATACACCACCCGACATTACCATCCCCATCCTTGATAGAACACCATGGAACCTCCCCAATACGAATTCCTCAAGACAAATCGGGTGTGGGCTTATCATTTACGTAGTGTATCGTAGCGCCATCATAAAATGTCTTCAACGAGATTTGGCTATGGGACTTGTAGGCACCATTCTTCGCCACTGTACTGCAGTTGAGATGAACGAGAGTGACGGCCGGAACAAGTAGTGGGTCAAAATCGTGCGTGGAAGTACATGCAATCAGGAGTTGCGCCGGGAAGATGAGGAACGCGCTACACATGTAGAAGTTACTGAGCACGGGTATAACTAGCATGTGGAATGAACTCACTGGTCAGGCTCATCCCATGTCGTGGCATGGCGCTTGTCGCAGCTGACTTTCATGGAAATATTTTCCAATGGTAAGGGATACTTTCTGGGTGCATCTCTAGGTTTCCAAGATTGTCGGAATCGCAATTGGATAATGCGAAAAGAAATGCTTGAAATATGGCTGTTTCCGCAGCGCTATCCAATGTAGAAGACAGTGAACGTTGCAGTCTACGGACAGATGATTTCCTTGAAGATGTCTTGGTTGGAGATGCTGTGGGGTTGTTGGCTGCATGCTGAGAAGGAACGGTCTTGCCAGAAACAGGACACACTGTCTCGGACGTGTCTAAAAGTCGACGAACAGATCGGAGAGCATAGAGTGTGTCATCAATCGATGAAGATGACGATTTCCTGTTGCGAGTAGACCGTGGCAGGACCTCTGAATTTTCGACGCCTAATGCAAAAAGGCTTGCTAGATCCGAACTTGTTGGAATGACAACAGTCAATTCGTGATGGCTGCTTCAACCACTTATAAGATGCGTTGGAAGGGTCCAGTATTTTGACGAGGAAGTCTAGGATGGATATACGACCATCCCGCAGTGTTTGGAGTGTGCTGTTGATCTGATCGTGAGTAGACATCCAGGTTCGTCTGGTACTCGGTGTAGGGATTGATGCTGGAGATCCCATGGTAATGTTGACAAATCCAGAGTCCACGGAGCGATTGAGATCGGTTTCTGCCAACATTGAGAGGTCTCCATCATGTTCAGGCCATCCTTGAGACATTCTGAAATCCTCCCAAGTCAAGGAGAGCTTGACAGTTACAACCACTAACAAAGTACAAAAGATTAATAGGCAGAATTCATAAATAGAGCACGTCTCGCAACGCTAGGCTGCCCTGCAGCAGTTGGAACAAAAGCTGATCACTGCCAGAGATGACGAGCGACGTTACATAGAACACATGTATGATCGAATAACTTAGCAGACTTATCTAAGCAGTGTCTGAGTCCTAAATGGGGTTTTCCGTCATGTGACGACTCCAAAGAGCGCGCACTATCCAAATTCAAACCCAGATTTACCAGTCCGTCTATCAATGGCTTGCCTCATAGACGGACTGGTCACGAGTCTAAGTGGAAATATGTTTGCCAATGCTTGAATTTTTGTACTTCGTCCAAAACACAGCCAAAATTTAAAGTTATGTCTCCATTTTTATGTCAATTTAAATTTTAAATATTTCCTTGACATTTGGTACAACATAAAAACATCACCTAAATATTGATAACCCCGATGTGCCTACAATTTAGCGGGAAAAATTGTTTCCCAGCCTCACCTTAAGCATTATCTGTTGGTCACGCGCATCCATATCTCAGCACAATTGCCTGTAAATAATTCGGCCTTAGCACTAATCTTATCTTAACACGTTGTGCAAAATATCTGTCTTCTGAGCCTCATGCACTTATCCAAACTCTACTCAACCCTACTCAACCCTTTTCAACTTGCGATGGTTTCAAAGTACGATTCCACTTTTTGTAGATTCCTTGCTACGATTTTCTCTCGTCCCATGGAACTTCCTACTGAACTCCCTGGGTTATTTACATTGGGTGAGACTCGGTTTAAAGTTGCGACATGGCGAAGAATGCTCTTGGCTAGCAACTTTTCCTCGCAGTGTGTCCTGGAACAAGCCTGGTTTTGCAAAGCTTCCGAACGCAAACAGCATGAATTTCTTGTACTGTTTTTTGCTCACTGGGATGCTTCGGTGCCTGCGATTGCCTGTGTGGTCGTAGACCGTACTCCAAAGTCATCCTCGAACGACAGTGGCTCCTCCACTCCTATCACGCTTTCGTCGGGCATCGCTTCTCCTTCAGCCTTGCAGACTGCTGCCCTTGACTCTGTTTCCACTACACCATGTACAGGTATTAATACGTGCAAGTACCTAACATCAATGTACGGCCCATACAACCATCTTTGTACCCTCACATTCCCTCCCACATCCACACGTCCCTCTGCAACCCAGATATCGGTTCTCTTATCTGTAACCAGCACACATGCTCCCAACTACAACCTGTATCATTTCCAATGTTACTGGTATGCCAGTACTATCTGGGAGGCCATAAAACAGCTCTTCCCTGGCTACATCGAGGGAACCTGGCAAGGACCCCGCTGTCACTACTATGGTTTTAAAGTGGAAAAGGCTGATAGTGTGGAAGTCGTGTGTGAGCAGTACGTCAATGAGTGGACCCGCCTCGAAAATGAAGCAGAGCTGCAGAGACGAGCAGAGCTGCAGAGGCAAGCAGAGCTCGATAGAATACAACAGGTCAGCCCTTTATCGACTAGAGGCATGGTGCTAACATTACGATCCTTACAGACATGGAAGGATGGTGTGGCTCATGGTCTAGCCCAGAGCCAGGCACTAATTGACCGCTTGCTAGCGGAAATTTTCCAATTACAAAGCGGTCTAAGGTAGTTTTCCATGTAGCACTAACCCTAAACTAAGCCTAACTAACCCTAAACGCAGAACTCCAGAGGCAAGCAGAGCTCACCGGAACACAACAACAGGTCAGCCCTCTATGGACTAGAGGCATGGTGCTGACCCTACGATCCTTACAGACATGGATGGATGGTCTAGCTCATGGTCTAGCCCAGAGCCAGTCACAGATACATCTGCGTCAGGTGCTCAAAATTGACCATTAACCGCTTGCTAGCGCAAAACCTCCAATTACGAAGTAGTCTAAGCAGCAGACTCCATATTCTTGTCATGCTCATTCGCAAGAGACGTGCAGTCCAGCCATGACTCTACGTGATTCATTCCTTTTATTCTCCTTGGCCCATTGGATGGAGGAAATCGCATCTGAGCACTAATGAGTTATCAGCCATCTGGCTTCATGATTCGCAGTATCTATATGTCCAGACAGTGGAACACCGACATGCAGAATCAGCTGTCAAGGCACTTTCACTGATTCTCGTTGTATCTTAACATTGGCCATCAAGGACCAGGTTGCTTGCTAGACGTTCCGGATAATTTCCCTTGCCACTTGGTTCAAGCGCCAGTGCTTTGTTCCAGTAGTGATACAACGAGAAATAACTTTGCCTAGACCTTTCAAATATACTTCGAAACATCATATGTTACATAAATATCACGACAGATCCTCCACCAAATTTCTCCTCCCTAGAGACCACTCCGCAAGCATGTCCCTACACAGTACTGCTAGTTGATACATGTACACGCTCCTAGAAAACAATCGAATTCGTGAATGTCCGAGAAGGAAGAAGACCGAGCGACCATTCGCTTCATCTTCAGCTTTGCCTAGAAAGTCTACCAACTCTCCTTCGGGATCCGGCAAAGAGTGAGTTTTTCTTCTGGTTTAGGTTGATAATCAAACGTGTCGTTCAGTCAAGGAACGATCTCTTGTTGATCCCTATTCCATTATGGGCGCAGGAGGAGGCGAAGATACAGGAAGCATTGAAGACTCTCGGGCCCGAAATCCTGGCAAAGAGCCTAGAACGGATGTGATCAAACTTTGACGTAGACAGCTCGAAATTATTGATTAGTTTACGTTGCCAAAACTGGCATGGGCGCCATCTAAGGATGACGAGACTACGGCGGCAGGCCACAGTGTTTGTACTCATCGGCAAAAAGTCTCCAATATGCTAACGTTCTTGATTAGCGCAGCCATGAAAATGATATTTCTGCGAGCGGCTCCGTGCATCTTCCCTGTCGATAGGGATGGGTCAGACGCCTTGACGTAGCAAGGGCACTGCGGACGCGTACTGGTAGGGTAGCCAGTCCATAACGTACTTACGCAATGTTACATTGTGACTAACCACGTACGTACGTTATCAACTGAGCCTCATCGGCCTTCGACGTCCTCTGCTTTGCTCATACTCCAGCCCTTACTGAACTCCATGGTGCTGACTAGATCCAAAACTAAGGGCGCGGACCAGGAGAAAACAACTGCTGCCCCACGAATTAAGAGGGTGCTACTCAAGCTCCCAGTTCGAGAGCTCGAGCCCACTGCAGTCACCAACGCCAACTTGGTGTCCCAAGCTGCTTCTCAACTTCAGCGTGAACATAAGCGCCAATTGGGCCAAGACACTAAGGCTCCATGCCCGGACGTCAGGCTGCTTAAGCGCCCTGTCCCAAAGTGCTTACTCTGCTCGAACCAGTGGGGTGTGCGTGTGAAAAGGCACTGCGCCTACCACGTTCGTCATTGGCAGAGTAACGCTCCAGTGTACCGGTTGAAAGGGATACACCTGGGTGACCTCAAAGCTCGCCCCAAGAACGATGCGAAGGAAATAGCTCAAGCGACCATGGAAGCTATGGAAAGTTGGGAGAGCGACGGCGCCTCGGGAATTTTCCAGGATGAACTGGGCAACCCCCTGCTGGCGTATTTTGCTCAAAGGCACAAAGGCTCGGGCCCTGTAGGTCGCCGAGGTTGCATTAAGTATCTCAGCTAACTTTAGTATGCTAATAGCCGCCTGGAGGGACGGTTTACTACGAACCTGGTCCCAAGACTCCTTCAGCCCTGGGCAGGTCACCTACCGACTTTGCCCAAGCCAAGAACGAAGGCAAGAAGGTTCATTTTGATGGGATCCAGGTAGGTTCTTATGACCTTTTCGACAACATAATCTTACTATCGACGTAGCCGACCTTACTCAATAAAACGTTGGTAAACACACAGTTACTCGTCCATCACATCGGCGTTCACCAGAGCGACCGCGACGGACGTCACAATAAGACTGACGCTCTACTGCGATATGCGAAGGACGGTGACCCCCCGGGTGGCTTAGCTACTCTATCCCAGGACAGCAAGTCATTCACACTCCACGATATTGAATATGTATATCACGACAGTACCTTTACGTCTGAGGCGACCGGTGTAATCCATTTGGTCCATGCATGGCCTGACCAGGGGCGCTCCGCTAAAAAAGTATGATTGCTATCCAAGCCCTATAACCCCTCTACGTAGTACTAACATCCTTCGCCCTAGCACGGGATTCATCCATCGGCAGATATGGCCTCAGGCGCCCATGGGTCCCCTTTCGTTCACAAGTACTTCGAGGGCACGCAGGAGTTGGCATTGTTATTAGGAAATATGTTCCGGGCATCCTTCCCAAAGTTCTACCTTAAGTATGAGGCAGCATTTAAAGCTGGGAAGTGGACTGTTGCAGACCCGGGGCCCTTCCTGGGCCGAGCAGTGGTTTGGAAGCTCGACGTGATGCCTCACCAAGATGGTTTGGATGAGGGCCCCACTGCAATATTCCCCATGGGCCGCTTCACTGGAGGTGAATGTTACCTCACAGACTTAAAGCTGAAGCTCAGGTGAGTGTCGTGTCAGGCATTATCTAACTTAAACTCATCTTTGGGTAGCTACCACTGTGGAGAGGTCATTATATTGATGGCCGGTGCATTATATCATGCAATAGGAAAATGGGCTCCCCTGCAAGGGTTCTCTGAACACGGCGTTACGCCAGGCCGAGTAGGAAATGTTTTTTCTTCCCTCACTCATCGTTTGAGGTCCTTCAGGACAAACCTGCAGGCTGGGCTCTTGACACAGCTGGCGGTGCACTTGTTGACCCAAATACATAAGACTTAGGATAGTTTTCACTATTCATGAATTCTAACTGGCGGCAGTTATATTCGCCTACGGTCCCGATGTTTGGTGAGATCAGCTCCTTGGAAACGCAAGTGGATCTGTCGGCCTGGACGGCAAAAATCGAGGAGCATTGGTCGCGGTCTGATAAAGTATTGATAGGTCTAGTCGCTTGACTCAATGCAACCAAAAACAGACTCAGAAAAAAGGGCTCGCTTTTCGGGGCTTTTCGGCAGCAAACGAAGATGAAGCGCTACTTGACGCTCGCAGGACAAACATTGTTGCCCATCCCATGTTGCGCAGGGTGAAGCGCGCCATACAAGGCACTCAGGAGGACGATGCTGGTTTCTCACCCTCTGACGAAATTGGATATATGCGTAGAGTCAAACGGGTCAAGATCGACGAGTTTCCCTGCGAATTGGAAGATAGCCGTCCTGACGACACTAGCTACTCTGGCATCGACCATACCCGACTACAGCCTGATCTTGATGACAATACGGCTCATCAATCTTCGCCTCTCACGGGCCAACCTGGCGCAGGTGCCGCGGAGGAAATCTCTCTTGATGGCATGTTTGCAAACATGGAAATGTTCCTGGATGTGGAGATTTTCATGGCCCTCGTTCAGAAGTGGTCTACCTGTTCAAGGGAAGAGTGGCTTCAAGGTTCTGAAGGTACGCGGTTGTTTCCCTTTCTCTTTGCATTGTTTTGCTTCTGCCCCTTTCTGCCTATCAAATTTCCGTCGAATTCTCGTTCTCACAACATCTGATTTGTTGTTCAAATGGGTGCTAACTGCAGTCGTGTAGAAATTGTCGACCAGTTTAAAGATATCATTGACTCCGTCAAGGAGAACCTCACGTGCGTGCCTTTGAAAATACATTATGTCCCTGTCTTGGGGTGGAGTCACTGATCATGATCACACCTCCTGTTCATTATATAGAGCCAACGTCACTCTTTACTCACGTCTGGACGACCAAGTGGTGCGATCGCCGTGAGGAACAGGATCAGCTCACCGAACATTTAAGGCGAGGAATGGTATCGGCCAGGACAGATCTGATCGCTATTTGCCAGGGGAAATAAATCGAGGCTGTGTGGTCAATGCTGCGGTGAGATAGGCTTATACGACGTACCTTTTCACCTCCTACGCTGAAAACAACTTGGACTTCATATGAGATCATGCATGTGCTCCGTAAAACTCAGCGATTTTAGTTTTCAATTGTCAAATGTCAAATTGCAAAATCACAATCCTATCTCCTCCCTTAGATCTTGGTGAAGTGAACGGTAAAGATGTCGGAATCGGATGTTGATTTTTTTTTCAAGTCCGGAATATCTCCATCACACGCTAATAGTCATTGATACAGCTAGCATTGTGGCATATGCTCAACTGTCTCACCTTTGCTTCTAGTGATTCTGCACTTATATTTCTTTCGTTATGCCTTTCAGCACATGATCAATCTACTTTCCTCATCGTGATTCGTTATATGTGCGAGATATTTGATATTCGATGCAAACAAGTGTCCTTCTGCACCGAAGGTCCCAAGGTCCCACCACAGGAAGATTGTGACTTAGGCAAAGACCACACCCACTGAACGCACGCTGTCAGCACTTTGAACATATTGCATCGTTAGTATGCTCCATACCAAGAGCAGTCCCTTATCTGCCACCCGTGATATTAGGCGTTCATCCAAGCTACAGCACCATAATCTGTTTATACAAATTAAACCGAGCCAGCACAACAGGAAGGATGATTAATGGGCAATAACAGTATTTGCATAAGAACAAATATTGGCCACTGCTGAACGTTTTTAGAAGCTTCATGGGGATGCTGATCAAGCAACACACTTTTTTGAAGTCGGCAGACCTGTCTGAGACAGGTTGTTAGCCATGCGAGTCAGAAGAGAATTTGATGCACACACACATAACACGGACTCGCGGAGTATGTGTATCTGAGTAGTTCTAGTACTGTCTTCCTTCTGCCTTATCGCCAATAGTATCCTCCTGTTCAATTCCTCGGAACTCCGTAGTTTTATAATTCCCAAGAATGTTCTGAACAAGTTTGCTCACAATTGTTTTATTTCATGGTTCCACTTCATTGACTGAGGTTGTTGTGATCCTCGACTCCTGGGCCTTTCCACTTGATAATGTTTGTGAATGTGAGTGGTTTATCCATTTGAGTATGCTGAGCGAATGGAACCGTTGTAGATGATGCAGATGCATTCAAATGATTGACTCGGTAGTTTGCCAGGCTGTGCGAAATTCCCACCGTGTGGAATTTGGCACGTTTCCTGCAAAAACCCAACCTGGGAATTGCAACGTTGGGAACCCAGCTCATTTCTTAATGCGCACATCCCACCACAAGAAACACGGGCCATAGCCCATGGATGATGATGACCAAATTCGTTCACCATGGTGATCGGCCCACTAATGATGGACCAGTATCATCGGGCCGATTAGTATGATCATCCAAATTCATAAATATCGCCACCTGTCTATGATCGCCTGCCTGCAAACTGCCCCGCCCACCCACGGAACTATACCGGTTAGTTGGTGCTTTCCAAGTGGTTGTGTCAAATATGACTCGCTCACTGGGAAGCTCCAACTCATCGGGCCTGTGTGACGTCTCCTCACAATGTTTGCCTCCATTGACTCTCCTCTTTCATGCATGGAAGTTCTGACCTATCGGGTCTGTGCAACTTCTCCTTACAACGTGTTCGTTGACTCTTCTATGCGTGAGTTTGCATCTCAACGCCACACTTCTGTTGTACTATTCTAATTGCTATTTTGCAGTATGGAGAACCCGTGCTCATCTAGGTATTATGTGTCTCCAAGCCTCATTTGAATTGGGTCCCATGGTCTATCATGGAGAAATCCTCCGCACATTCAAGATCTCCGTCAGAGAATTACCGGATCACAGCGAAAGGTCTCATCGTCAGTGTTGTCTATTGCAAATAACAACTGACGGATACTAACGAGTATCGCAGCCATAGTGTTTCAACCAAAGCAGGAGGACGTCGTATCCGCTTGTACTTCACTGTTCATGACGGTGAAGCAGCGACTTTCTGACCAGAACGATGGCGGTGTTCTTTGTTCCCTTACTACCGTGAGTGATCGATACAGTTTTGCATTCTGATTCTGATCGCCGTAATGTGTAGCTTACATCTTGCGATATGGATGGATTAGCAGTAAGGACGGATGCCGGACATCGTCTTCTCGCACGATACCGCAGGACATAAAACAGTACAGATCTGGACCAATCCATAAGCCACTTTGAATGAGTCTTGGATCTCTGCCCTGTGAATCATCCCTACCGCCCTGCAGCATTGTTCAATCTAGCCACAGCAAAGTTTACCAGTTGCAAAGCTAACGGAAGATACCTCGACCTCGATGTACCTATCTCTCTTTTTCAAGACGCACTTGATTTGCGTCCCACTGGTCATCCAGACCGACCCACGACCCAACTCCATCTCGCCATTTATCTTCTCTCTCGCTTTGCGAAGCGGGGATTTCAAACAGATGCCAGCATGGGTGAAGAGTTACTGAGCGATGTGCTTGATGTCTACCACGCCGATAGCCAATTTTACAGAGCAGCTTTGATTGCACTCAACACATCCGCTGCGCATGGATGCATGGATGCAAATGATCTTCAGCAGGAGCGGTCTGCCACATCCATACTTCCGTTGTCGCCGAATCAACTTGCTCGTCGAGCAGAGTGGTGTTTGCAGAGAGATGAACCACGTGACTTAAGATGAAGTGATCTCCCTTCATTATGATGCACTGGGATACTACAAGACCGGACATGCTTACCGAGGGCAATTGCTAGGCAATCTGGCTGTAATGCTGCACACTCGCTTCGAGCGTCGAGGCAATGACAAAGACTTGGATCAAGCCATCGCACTTCAAACGGAAAGGCTGGCCTTGTGCCCGGTCGGTGACTCAGATCGGTTCATGTCATTAAGTACCTTGCGACTCAACTCTCCTCCCGCTTTCACTACCGAGGCAACGACGAAGACTTGGATGAGGTTATCACACGTCACAGGGAAATGCTGACCTTGCGCCCGGTCGGTCACACAGATCGGTCCTCGTCATTATATAACCTCGCGAATCTCCTCTCCTTGCGCTTTGATCGCCGAGGCAACGACGAAGACTTGGATCAGGCTAGCGCACTTCACAGGGAAGCGCTGGCCTTGCTCCCGCTCAGTCACACAGATCGGTCCAAGTAATTAAATAACCTCGCGAATGTACTATCCTCCCGCTTTGACCACCGAGACAACGAGGAAGACTTGGATGAGGCTATCGCACTTCACAGGGAAGCGCTGGCCTTGGTCCCTGTTGGTCACACAGGTTGGTCCTTGTCATTAAATAACCTTGCGATTGGACTCTCCTCCCGCTTTCAGCACTGAGGCAACGACGAAGACTTGGATGAGGCTATCGCACTTCACAGGGAAGCGCTGGCCTTGTGCCCTGTCGGTCACACATATCGGCCCTCGTCATTAAATAACCTTGCGAATCTCCTCTCCTTGCGCTTTGACCGCCGAGGCAATGACGAAGACTTGGATGAGGCTATCGCACTTGACAGGGAAGCGCTGGCTTTGCGCCCTGTCGGTCACACAGATCAGTCCGGATCATTAAATGACCTCGCGAATATACTCTACTCCCGCTTTGACCACCGAGGCAACCGAGAAGACCCTGACGAGTCACTAGAGAACCTACGCTGTGCATTAACTCTATTGACGCAACATGATCCTCGTCAATTACTTGTCCATAAGGCGCTAGCTAGGGTCTACCTATCATTCCATCTTTCAGGGCCTGACGGCACCGGCGCAGGCGAAGATACGGAGTGTCTGAATGTTGCCATGCATCATTTCAAGGAAGCAGCAAATGTTGTCTCTGGAGGCTTGCTATCCCGCCTGCAAACAAGTCTACTTTGGGTTCACCTGGTGAGTGAATGAGATAACATGAACATAATGCGTACTGACCCTTGAAGCATGGCCACGATGATACACGATTGGATGTAGCCTCATTACGCAGCCCAGCAGTGGTTCTATTGCATCCAACTGGACAATTTGCTTCACAGGTCGGGCTATCAGCCGTCCTGCTCTGTGACACGACCAGTATCCTAGAGTCAGGATCCATCCCCATCCAAATCCGATGTCATACCCAATATTAAAATGTGGTTCAATCACGAGGTCTCAGAAATGCAGCATCCATGCCCATCTGTGCGATTCTAGCTACATCATCTCTGCTCAAGCCAAGGCCTAACGGAGGCTGTGCCAGAAGCAAAAAATACTCCCTGAGACAAGACATTCTGAAAAGGAGTGCGTCATCGGTCTGTTGATCATGCAAAGCGTCAGACGAAAGAACATATCACGCGTAAGATGGTGTGCTTACACAGATGGCGATGGGATGGTCATTCTTCAGATAATAGCGAATATGATGCGCGTCGAGGGATGCGACAGTTTTGCATCTGGAAGGATTAGATTTGATAGTTCGTAGAGTCAATGCATGATCCTACAGAAGATTGGAGCTCAGGCATATCTCGATGCATGACTTGTACTGTCCGTTCACGCGCGCGTTATTGGGCGACTCCGCTTGTTTGATCATCTCTTCAATATCCTTAATCGCGGCTCGCTCGGAAAATTTCTCTGCATCAGCCCGGAAAGACATCTGCACTTTCGCTTCCTCAGACTCAGTGCTATCTGAAACGAAGCGTAGAAAATAACCCTCTTTGAGATCTTGGAATTTGGAGTGGAGAGGGTGAAGGGGATCTCTGAGTCCGACTGGTGTGAGGGCTTGTCGTTCCCGTTGCACATTCAGACAACGGACCGCATTCTGTCCCAGGCTGCGGGATATCTTCGAAGAACAAAGTCTTGAGTTCATCTGAAAGGGATGTCGCGTGTCCAAGTCGATCCGGACGACAACTAAGGAATGCCAGAGAATCCTCGGTTGTATTATTTGTGCTCTACACATCCGGGCATCAGTATTGAGTCGCATGCACCATAGTGAACATCACAAACCTCCGCGATGTGCACGGTCAACCCAAGGCTGGCACCCTTGGCTCTTGATAGGTGCTGAGTGAAGGATTGCATGTCGCCACCACGTGGATCCCCACATACATCAATGGCTCCAACTCTTCTGCCTCTGTTCTTCATCTCTAAGGCAAGACTAATGTATTCTTCAAGGTCCGAGTCACTTGTGCAACGATCGACGGACACGATCAGGGTGGCCCGAGTAGCAGGATACATCTCTACTTCATCAAGAACAACCGTGAGGTACCTCTCTCGCGTCATGTGTGTTGTCGTGCGAGGTGTAGTCCGTAGCTCAAGGTACGTGCATTGAGGACTTTCCGTGGCATCACTGGTGGGGTTCAGGAACAACTGGAGGACTGCGCAAGTAGTTGTCACGACTGCTTCCAGGGTTGACGTCAGAGTATAGATAGCGGGCATCAGAGAGAAAAAGTCAAATAAGTCATTCAAGACGACTCCGGACTTGAGTTTTTCGATAATGTCTGCGACCTCAGTTGTCTGTGAACTAGAAGGCGAGTATTTCTGCGCAAGTTCCAGTATTGTTTTGATAGGTATATATCCATTGAGATGAGCATGAAGTTCTGCCTTGGGGAGTGACTGAAGGAAAATTACGTCATCAGGGCATAGCGATGCCAGAGCTGCTGCTGCAGGGCCCACGATTTCTGACATTTGCAAGAGACGACTGAGGCCTGAGGGATGGTAGCTATTGCCCAATAGCGAGAAACTCGGAAAAACATCCAGATTCCAAAGAATGGAAAGACAGGCAGACTCGATGGGGTAATCCTGTCCCAGCCGTTCGACAGGAGAATTTGAAAGGTACTTTGAAATTGTAAGAGAGAATTTACAATATTATACCGCAACAAATGGAAACTGTTATGTAAGACGCGGTGCTGTATATGAGTTGTGTGGGGAATAGTGTATGAGAGAGTACTTGGTACCGGTACGTACTACAAATAGCCAATAAACTCTGTTTTGAAGTGTTCTAGCTAATTTATGGACCTCTTTGATGTCTTCCTCCCAAAAGTTAACGGTGATTGACTGCTCCTCCTGCCAATCCACAGGCATGCTCACCACCTCCACCGTCATATACCCACTGATCATACGAATATCTAAGCATCAATTGTAACTGTAGCCCAACTTAGGCGCAAGTAGGTCCAAGTCCTCTCCACCTCCACCCTGGTGCCTTCATCATCATCAATGCCCGACAACCAACCGTAGGCCGTTCCATCGATATCCGCTATTATCAAAGGACACGTTATGGTTTCTCGTGGCTGGGAGCACAAATATGTTTGGCTTGCTTCTCCAAAGGAGGGCTGTCACGGTACCCGCTGATCCAGCTGTCGTGCACGCAGTTTGAGCATGATACATGGATGGGCCAACAGGCGAATGTATCTAGTACCGAGAGCATCATGACTTGCACTTTTTGATCTTTTGTAGCAAGGTGCGGGTACCTCCACATCCAGCTTGTGCAGTCTCAATCAACCTCCCCTTCTGAGACTTCCAGTCCGCGGATAATTCTTTTGTCAGCATGGCACTAGCGCGACGGTAAAACAACAGAATAGCTTGATAATAACTTGGATTAGTATGGTTCGCACCCATCAACTTGAAGGTTCGACAGAATCACTTCCTACAGGTTCATTAACGTCTTTAAATTGCAATGTACGTCAGGTGTCGATCCGCATGCCAGAATGAGTATGTCAGTACTCCCAGTTCTATAGCGCTAGGTCAATCTTTCTGAATATCAGGCCCGGTTGAAGTATTTGATTTAGATTATACAGATGAGTCGAAAATACTTGCATAAAGTACAACATGATGAAGTTCCATATATCGAGAAAATGAGTACAGCTGGATGAGCCCAGAGACATGTCTTGCTTATTCCCAGCGCAACTTCCTCATTCTAAACATGGAATTAATATCTGACAGTAATAATTCTGAACAGAATGAGAGCGTACCCTAACTCAGGGCCAGCGCGGCTTCTGTGATGCAGTGGCCAGGCGCCGAGGACGATTTGTCTCTAAGCATATTGAGATACTTGTTGACAAAGTTGTGCCATAATCGTTGGACGCCGCCATTTGAACACACTTGGTCGACGGCAGGAAGCATGGAATAAATGATGCGAGCAACAACTTCAACATTCACAGTTTCGAGCTCACACGAGTCTACAGTCAGATTTCTCAGGGAGATATGTTGGAATGACTCGACTTCAGGCTCGATAACGATATTCCGAGTGTCGATCGATACTTGCAGGTCTTGCAACTGCGGACATAGACGAAGCACCGCGAACAACCCGCGAAATGTAAGGGTAGCTGGACAAGAATGCCAGCCCAATGATAGGGTGTGAATATGCGGCCAAGTCGTCATGGCATCAAAAAGAAGGTCATCTTCGAGGTAGATGGCGCGATGAACAGATAGCCTCAGCGTTCGCAGTTCCTTGAAGCAAAGAATCTGTCTGACTGCCGTCAACGAGTCGCTTGTGTGCTCCTGAATTGTATTGTGGGAAAAAAATGTTGATGTGTTCAAGGGTCTGGGATGCATTGCACAGTGACAGTGCATGGAAAAGCTGCTCAGCCTCTGCCCAAGGTAAAACACAGACATACATCCCGAACTCCTTTAGCGAAGGGAATTTGAAATGTTGTATGATTGTGACAGCGGATGCCGCTTCTATTGCACCTGAGAGCGAAAGAGTCGTGAGGTGAAGGAAAGTTGCAAAATCGAGATTGTCCAAAGGGTAATGAATCGTGTGCGGTGTGTAAATCTTCACCTCGAGAAGGGTGGGGATGGTAGAAAGGTGCATCCATGCTGCCGAGTCGAACGGCGGACATTGCAGACGTCTGAGCCTCTTGCATGAATGAAGGGTTTCAGAGAGTTGCGCCCTGTTGCTATCCTCATGAACAGTAAACTCCTCCATATCAGGACAGCGTGCCCCAATATATTTCATATCTAATTGGACTTCCGATACAGAACAACGGCGCAACATTGGGGGCAGGAAAAAGCGCAAGTCTCCTATTTCCGCGCATTGAACCAACCAGGACAACGATAGCAGATTCAGAAATACACATGTCTCGATGGGAAGGGCCGTAAGGAGGTGAAAATAATTGCTGGCTGAAATGGTTACATTGCGCACACGAGCAGAATGGCGCAAAAATTGATGGAATTCATGCTCAGTTAATGGGTCAGCGTACTGGGACCAGGAATACTGTATTCAGATGCTCAATCAGCGAGCGAGCAAACGAACGAACGAACGAATGCAGAACGATGAGGTTGCTTTCAATACTTGGCACTGACCTTGTACTTGGGATCATATATGACTGAATGTAGTCTGGTCACACAGCCAGGTATGTTAGACCAAAGCAAATCCATCGCAAGCTCATGAAAGGTTGTGCATGTCAAGGCGAGCGATGCAAAGGATTTGCGTGTCGATGATTGAGGCCAGCCAAATATTTCTGAACCTGGGGGTTGACTCAAATTGATGAATATCTGCAGGAGTATTACTGAGACTAGCAAAGCACGATGCATCATGGATGGAGGGGTGGGAGGTGTATAGCAGTTGTACGTATACCTTGGATTTATTTGATGTGTCGTAAGACTAGTGGAGATTTGAATATTTGAATCTCAACTTCAAGTTGGGCCATGACACGTGATTGGCCACGGATGGCAACACCAATTTAGCCTATCCTTTGTATTGTCGCTCGATCAAGAATTCCATGATGGGGAGAGTCAAGTGAACAAAGTAGAGAATCTACTGCAGAGAGGTAATAGCGAGAGTACTAGAAACGAGGTAAGGGCTTTCAGACGAGGTTTCGTCAGGGTGTGTGTGGGAAGGTCTGGTTTTTGCTGGGCCAGTGCAGGAGAGATCTAGTATGAAGCGGCTCAATCAAGGAGAAGAGACAGACCGTTTTGCCGAGATGCGCTCGAGCGCTGGACATTGAAGCACGGATCTTAGCTTACAATGGCCGTATTTCACGCGTCCATGTCAACGTTCGCATCCACTCTGAAATGGTCATCAACTCACCAATGCCCATCAATCGCATGTTCATAACCGCAGCTTTGTTAGAGTCTATTCTCTATGGTATGCATCCCTTTTCTGGGCACCGTACAGATTTAGTGCTGATAATGCACGTGCCTGACAGGAGTCAAGTTAGTTCGCAGTGGACAGGCTCCCACTATGCTTATTTTCATCAACAGCTGCGTGCTTTTTGGCGTATGTATGTATGCCCTGTTTAGTGCGCCAAAACAGCTGCATTGGTTCATATGATAACTTGTTAAATCATTCGCCATCATTCACCATTGGTTCAGGATCTTGAATACTCTTTCATGCGTTTTCCACATCTCAATCGCGACAGCACACAACATCCTCTCCCTTCTTCTCTTTCTGGAGGCCTTCACAAACCCTGCTATAGTATCCATTCCAGACGGAACTATCATATATTTGTTCAGGAGTACACCCTTGACACAGACGATGGGGGGATTGTTTCTTCTCAACGTGCATATCATATTTTTGTCGTAAATCGCATCTCATCGTTACTTTTTCAGGGCCTTGCTCTAAATTTACTGCTAGTGAGTAACTACTGGCGTGTGGAGGTGTCCAACCTAACACACGCAACGACAGATCTGGAGGCTTTATGTGGTTTGGAATTGCAAGTGTATCGTTGCTTTTGTCATGGTAAGAGATCTGATTTCATCTTACTCGTTCTTCTTTTGATGAGCGGCAGTACTATCTATCTGAGTGGTTAGCTATGGCCCCCTATCAATTAGACCTTCGCGCGAAAGTCACTTCCACACACCTAACCTGTTGATAGTATCCTGAACTCAATCCAGCACTCGAGAATGATCGCCGCCGAGAGTTAGTCACCCAATTTCAAGTCCCCAATTATGTATGAGGCGAGCAAGCGCCGTCCCGAGCGGGCAGGTCAGAGTTCACTGTTTGACGGTACGTCATTGGACTCTAGTGCAGATAACCTTCTCTGACATGACTCCGACGATGGTGCTATTAAAGATCTGTCATTTCAGATCATTCATGCGATCTACTTGCTAGAACGCATACTACAGAACTTTCGGACTCGATCAGTGAACTTCGGTATCGTTTTCTTCAATGGTGAAGCCGCTTGTCCATCTCACCATCTGAGTCTATCTTATTGATGATGTCTTAGTCAACCGACACCTAGTACTGCGAGCGGGCGAGTCAGAGTTTACTATTGCATCTCGAGCCCTGGCCAGGAGACTCTTATACAAGCATCTCCAGTCGCTGGATTTGGTGAATATCCTCACCTTCGCAAGTCTGTCCAACGAAAATTGGATCAATTATCGTGTTCAAACCAAGGTAGAATTCACACAAGACATGATAATCTATTCTCATTCCCATATAGCCAATGTTTGCCATGGTCAATGACGGCGGTACACTGAAGGAAGGAGTTGGGGGACAATTCGCTGCCCATCAAATACTTGCTCAACGATTATTCATCTTCGATTTGCTGGCTAGTGGCTTAGCAATGGCGCCACTTCAGGGTGCTGATTTCAGAGACACCAAGGTCACGCCGTGTCTTTCTTCCTGTCTCTTTTCTGATTGTTGATCATCCTATAGATCGTTTTTGAATCAAAACCTCGCTTAGGCCATCAAGGGCATTTCCCCAAGGCTGTCCTATCTGCGGGTGTCGCTGCCAGGGACGTTCTTGCTAGTCAAGAAGGCCATATGATCATGTCCGCAGCTCTGTCCTTGACGAAGCATCAGCGTCCCTGTCTTTCTTCGACCTCCAAACATTGTCTCCTGGATCAAGGGGTCTCATTCAATTCGTATTCTCGTCTGGGCAGTTGTGTTGGCGTGTCACCACAATCGCTCGAAATTTTGCAGAAGCGAACTCTCCTAGTATCGCTTCGACCAAGAAGCCGCTGCCATACTTATGGCAAGGATAGCAGTATTCAAGGCCGAAATAGTGTGTAACTCAAGAATGCGTAAGAGATCTTTCTGGGTATAAAAAGCCGCTGGTAAGTAAGCAAGTCATCAGCTTTAACCTGCAGAAGTACCTAGAGCATCACTCATGAAAAGCACCTTTCAGATGAGTCCAGTGTACAATCACCAGCGATCAATGTGTCTGGTTGGAACTTGGGAGTTGTCCATTCATGCCATTCAAGGCGCCTCCAATTTGTTGTCCTCGTGTTCGCTGCACAGCGTCATTGCTGTGTATATGAAATACACAGGTATGTACTGTGCATCTTCCTGTACATAATGGCTACTCCTGCGCTCTCTCTACTATATGATGAATCAATCACTGATGCATATGTTATTTGATTCTTCTGGTCTTCGGTTTTCTTTTGTTTTCTTCAGCTGTTATTCTTATTATTGTTCTCGAGACGTGTAGCTATAATCAGGCACGAGTTTCCAAATATAGCGTCATTTGTCAATTCTGTTGTTTCTGCGTACAAACCACATCAATATACACATGTCTCCACCGTGACTCAGTACTCAGTCCCGTCCTCCCAGCTTCACGAGCTCACCCACTCGCTTATCCCATATCGCGAATCGTAACACCCTTCCATGCCCCCATTGTTGACCCCGCCACGCGCCAACGTATCAGCTCACGCGCCTACAGGACAGCAATCTACCCCAAACAGCCGTGGGGGGTCTGTTATCAGTAATCACATTGGCTTGCTCGGTGTCAAGTGAGAGCACCTTTTAAGTTACATCTGAGTGGCGCTAACATTCACTCAAGCATCAACAATCTCCGCCCATGGATAGAGCGCGACGTTGAGCAGGCTCAGACGTGCCCTGTAGATGACATGCTACAGTTATTCCTGCAGCATGTATCTCGCAGGCCCGAGGCTAAACAACCCAATCTCCTGCAGAAGTGTCTCAAGGAGGTTGCGCGTGTTCTCAACGAGATGCCAGCTGCAGATAGGTTTCATCCTTCTCGCATCAAGGAAGCCCTCGACAGCTTGTGAGTGCTCTTTTGCTGATTGAGGTGCTATCATGCTCATATAAATTGCCAGCGCGTCGGAGCGAATTAAAACTACATCCTACGGGCCTTTTGTTCAAGCTTCAAACATCGCATTTTCATGCCTTGCAGGACTCCAAGTCAAGGGAATGCTTGATACGCCCTCCAACCTTGACATCATTTTTCAAGTGAATGATCATCCTATCCACCAAGATCACCAGGACCGCACATCGAAACGGAAGCCCGACATTATCATTCTTCCTTACGCATGCGCGTTCGCTGGCTTGCCCGAGGAGAATCGCGATATGGGCGCCGATGATTACAAGCTCATCAGTGTTCATCCAGTATCGCTGCTGGAAGGTCCCGAGGTCTGGATTATTGTGGTCGATGAGCTGATCAAAGTAATAGACGGTGGTAATGGGTGGGAGTGCTGTGCCATTCGGCGAAGTGTTAGAACGAGCCGGCACTGGGATCTTTGGGAGAGAAGGCATGCCGCGAAGCATGGGCCACAAAACCGAAAAAGCAACTGCTTTGGAAAGATGTGCTAGCTTGTATCGAGTTCAAGAGACCGACGAAAAAGCTTTCACAGCGTCCCCTTTCTTATGAAGTGGCGCCTTATAGAGCCCCTTCAGTGACAAATTCCGTATTATACGGGCCACCCGACCTACATAATATCCCATATGAGACGGGCCAGTGGATTATGGGCCCATGTTGTGTATATTCTCGATGATGACGGATGGGCCGGGACACATATTATTTCCGATGGAGACGGGTGGGCCCATGTATGCCAATGATATATATATCCTTGATGTTGACGGATGGGCCGGGGGAATATGATCATTCATGGAGATGGGTGGGCCCATCAGGGTAATATGTAGAGTAGGATATTATAGACAGCTGGGCTGAAGAGAGATGTAAGGCAAATATTGTTATATAGACGGGTGGGCCGACGGGGGTGTATTACATATATGGGTGGGCCGAGGTAGGGGAATATTACATAGATGGGTGGGCTGACGCGGGGTGTATTACATATACAGGTGGGCCGACATAAAAAGTATTACATATACGGGTGGGCCGACGAAAGGGATATCAAATAGACGGGTGGGCCGAGGGTGTGATAAAATATTTATTACATAGACAGGTGGGCCAAGGTGGGGTATAATTATATAGACGGGTGGGCCGACGTAGTATGTATTATATAGACGGGTGGGCCAACATAGGATGTATTACATAGACGGGTGGGCCGAGGGTGTGATAAAATATTTATTACATAGACAGGTGGGCCGAGGTGGGGTATAATTATATAGACGGGTGGGCCGACGTAGTATGTATTATATAGACGGGTGGGCCAACATAGGATGTATTACATAGACGGGTGGGCCGACGTGGGGGATAATACATAGATGGGTGGGCTGACGTGGGGGAATTGTACATAGATGGGTACATATATGGGTGAGCCTGGATACGTATAAATGTCAACTTTTCAGTGCAAAACCCCAAACCGAGATTTACCAACCCCCGAAACCCGAAATTGTGGACTGCCGGGTGTCGGGTTTCGGGGTTCGGGGGTCCCGGAACTCGGAACTCGGTATGTGAGACAAAAATATATTTCATACACGGGTAAGTCAATGTGTCCGTCAATCAACTCGATTGTAAAGTATATTTTATTGATCTCCCCAAATTTCCCAAGTTCCGAGTTCCGAGTTCCGGGACCCCCGAACCCCGAAACCCGAAACCCAGCAGTCCACAATTTCGGGGTTCGGGAGTTGGGTCCCGGAACTAGGAACTCGGTATGTGAGACAAGCAAAATATATTTCAAACACGGGTAAGTCAATGTGTCCGTCAATCACCCGAACCCTGAAATTGTGGACTGCCGGGTTTCGGGGTTCGGGGGTCCCGGAACTCGGAACTCGGAACTTGGGAAATTTGGGGAGATCAATAAAATATAATTTACAATCGAGTTGATTGACGGACACATTGACTTACCCGTGTTTGAAATATATTTTGCTTGTCTCACATACCGAGTTCCTAGTTCCGGGACCCAACTCCCGAACCCCGAAATTGTGGACTGCCGGGTTTCGGGTTTCGGGGGTCCCGGAACTCGGAACTCAGTATGAGACAACAAAAATATATTTCGGGGGTTGGAGGTTAGTAAAATGTTTATAGATATACGGAGGTTGATAGAAACATGTTTGAAAAATGTCGTTCGTCTCAAATGTCAAATCCTGAGTTCCGGGCTTTGGGACTCGGCACCCGGCACCCGGCACTCGGTGTTCGGCACTGAAAATTTGACATTCGGGTGTTAGGGTGTAGGGTGATATCTACCTCAATCTACAGTTTCGAGTTCTGGATATCGGGACTGATTATTGAATCATTCAATTGTGGCATAGGTAACATGCATTGAAAAAGATTTATGTACATCTATCACTGAGCAATTATGTAGCCATTGCAACCTCCTCACCAGGAAGATCAACCTTCCCCTCAACATCCATATCCTCATCAGAGGAATCATATTCTGGCAGGAGGTTACCTTGTTCATTAGGGACCACAATATCGCCGGAGGATTCTGGCAAGAGGTTGCCTGGTTCATCCGGGAGCACAATTTCGCCGGAGGATTGTGGACCCTCAGGCTGAACTTGGGTGGGCTCAACATTGAGACCTACCATAGCAGATCCATCCTCAACCATCAAGGGTGTGGGTTCCATGACTGACATGTCCAAATCAATGAGGTTGGAAAGTGTGGAGGGGAGGGGTGAAATGGACGGGGGGGGACCAGATTGATCAAGCAAGATTGTTGCATCGGCCGGTGTGTCCGGAAGTGAAAATGAAGGGTGCGGGTCGACCATCGTGCGCCGGAGGCTCTCATGGAGGCGTTGGAGGGTATCAATCTTAGCATCCTGCTCCTGCACCCGAGCCTCAAGAATAGCGATGCGAGCTGCACCATCCCGAATCGCGATTGCCATGGAATGGAGATCCGACATGGGAACATCTAGTGCTGCACGAGGCACTGCGGAACTCGAAGACCAAACAGCTAAGTAAAAAATAAGGTCAGCCGGTCATCAAAAGTGTGGGTGACTTACGAGTTGGCGCAGGTGCAGGTGCAGGTGCAGGGGCAGGTGCAGGTGCAGGTGCAGGTGCAGGTGCAGGTGCAGGTGCAGGTGAGGGTGCAGGTGTCTTCTTGGTAGTGATGGTCTTGCTGCGACCACGTGACTGCACCTGGGGTGTACTTGCAGCAGGGATGGCCGGAGTTCGGGACGGGCCACGAGATTGACTACGAGTCCGGGCCCTTGACCTGGAGGGAGACGGAGCAGTGGATGGAGCAGGGGCAGGTGTCTTGGAACGCGTCCGTCCCATGGTAGACTTCCCTCGGGTCCGTTTGGGCGGGGATCCCAGAGATGCCGGGTTGCATTTGATCTTCTTGGTGGAGCAGCGGATGCAAGACAGGCAGGGGAGGCTGGACCTCTTGTCCAAACGAGTCGCACAGGGCCAATTCTCCTTGACGCAATAATGGCAGGGGTTGTTCTGTGGTATCCGTTAGTAGATGTACTAGGGGAATTAATTGAGCACTCACTGGGCCGGGAATGGTGATATCAAATGTGGTAGTGGCCGGAGGGTCACTGTCCAAAGCGCTGGAAGTATCACCAGTGGACTCCTCAACTTCCGGACGACTGCCGGAGGTTGCCTGATAAATTGTAAGTACACATGTGAGTTCCGGGCGAGCTTGTAAGACTTACCCGAGCCTCCGGACGACTGATGGGAGATTCCTAATGCGATGGGCATGAGTAAGAATAATACATGCGAGTTCCGGACCTGTCCGGAAAACTCACCATGACCTCCGGACGTTTGCCGGCAGTCAGCTATGGACACATGAGCATATATATGAGTTCCGGACGACTAAATCAGACTTACCGAAGCAGGCCCAAATGATTGCTTCTTGGGGGAACCAGGTGAACGAGGCGACTGGGGTTTCCTTACAACAATGGTGGAGAGCTGGGAAAGGACGACCTCTGGCACTCCACGCGAAATCGGCTACAACAAATTGAGAGCATGTCACAAATGAGCCAGAACACATACCTGAACAATTGGGTCTTCATCATCTTCCGACTCCACAAACGGCTTTGACTTGGGGAGTCCAGTTGACTTGACACGCTTGTGACCCTTCATCGCCGACTTCGGAGGTTGGGAGGAGTGTCCAGAAATCATGGGGGACTTCCTCTTGTTGCTCCCTCCGACTTCCGGCTCCAAGTCAACAGAAATGGCCTTACCTTTCCCTTTGTCCCGGAACTCGGAGGTCGTCTTGCCGGAAGGTCCGGCGACATTGCCGGCGATGACGGGAGGGGAGTGAATGACAGTGGCGGGGGAAGGGACAGGTGCGGGGGAAGGGACAGGTGGAGACGGAAGATTGACAGTCAGTGGGCCAGTGGAAGGATTAGAAACAACAGGGAGATCACAGGAATTGTCACCCAACGCCTCCCAGGCACGGACCTGCTTGCGCCAGGCGTGTCTAGCCACCCGGGGATCATCATGGCCAATGCTGTGCCAGTTGGGCAACACCTGGGGAGTCATGGAACGCACCCTCATCAGCTCCTTAGAACAGGAAGCCACAATGCCAGGGATGTAATCCCCTTTCTCATGCACCCGGATGATGTCAGCCTACCCGGATATTAGAAACATGAATGGTAAACTAATTTAATAAGTGCAACTTACCAACCGATTGGTGACCTGCCTTGCCAGAGCAATGTGGACGTGCACTGAGCCGGCCGGGACGTGCCGGGCGCCGGCAATGACGCCCACAAGTTGAGCAGCGGATGCCTTGAGGTCGGCCAATGAAGATTGAACTGGAGTAGACATTTGGATTGAGTTGACAGATGTGAGAATGTTGAAAGCAGGGTGAAATCTGTTATCACTAGAATGAAGTTTCAAAGAAACAATACAATTGAAGGACAATGTTGAAAATCATTGATTGTTTGTCTTTGTTTGGTCATGGTTCAACTTTCGGCAATCGCCGGCCATGTGTTGAACTTCGACGTTATCTGTTATCAATCAGTTCATCAGTTCATCAGCTCATCAGATATCATGAGCTCTCAACCTGGGGTCAGATTTCATGACCCTCCGGTCACTGAATACACCTCAATGGATGTGGATGAGACCTCCCAGTCCCGGATGTCCCTTGGTATGTTTTGTTTTTGCTGATTTCAGTGAATTGATCTTACATGGTTTAGATCCATTAGATGATATATACCTTGGGCCGGATGATGAGTTAGACTCTGATTCTGGGTCATCCGGTGGTCTGGATTCGTTAAATGCGATTCCCGGTATGTTTCTCAATTCAAATGTACATATTCTACATGTGCAAATCCATCACATACTTCCAGATCCATCATATCCGGCCCTGGCAGATGGACTGGCCCTGTACGATGACCCGGACTTATATCTTGGTCCGGAGGATACCTTTATTTCGTCTGATGATGCTCCGGCTGTACCCGATTTTCCTATGGCTGGTGAGGTTATTCTTTTCATCTCATGTTCATTTTTCATGGCATTTCCCCAGTGAATGAATCGACTCCCGAACCTCATCCGGCCACTCCGGCTGTACCAGAGGCACCCATACCTTGTACGTGTATTCATATCATGTCATGTGTTCTATTCATGTTATCTCCCAAGCGAATTCAGAAACTCCCGAACGTCAATTGCCCGAGCCAGAACTCAACAATGAAGAACTGCATGCCATGGTTCAGGAGTTCATGCCAATCGGATCTTATGATCAAGCTGAAAGTATGTATACAACAGTTGATTATTTATCTCTGCTAATGTTCTGCAAGTTCAAACAATTGTAGATCGCCTGGGTGATTACGAACAGAGTCATGGAAATCTTCCTGCCCCTACAGTAGCACAACTTCTTGAGGCTGACAGACCATTCAGGATGGCATGGGCGGAAACATGCGACAAACTGCGGAAAGCAGATGCTGACCTCCGGAGGATGCAACGGGTAAGGGAGTCAACCTCCGAAATGCTGAAGGTATTAGATACCCTCATTGAGTTCTTTGAGGACTCAAGTAACATGTAAATATCAATCAATGTCTGATAGTAGACATATTGCAGTATACTTTACCTACTCAGTACTTAGTCCTTCTCCTGCCGTCGGTGTTCTGTGCTCAATACTCCGTACTCGGTACTCGGTGCTCGGTGCCCGGTGATCGGGGTTCGGGGTTCGGTACTCGGGGTTCGGAACTCGGGGTTCGGTACTCGGGCCTTGGTACTGGAGATTTGGGATTTAAGATTAGGTCGTTAGTACTTTGACATATACACAATAGCACATATGACATTACACATGACGGCAGGAAGATATATCTACATTAAGTGCGTCCCCGTGCTCTGGTTACTCTAGGTGTACTGTCTACTGGCATTTGCAACTTACTCCGGGTCGTCCTCGTGGATGGTTCAACTGTGACTTTCTTGCCCCGCCCCCTTTTCTGTGCCGGCGGCGTGATACTCTCTTCCATTTCAACATCCTCTCTAACTTCTCTGGTCGCGTCTTCAGTTAACCCAGCAAGGAGGTCGCCCATTCTTGATGTCAGTAATGCACCTTTTTTGGCTGGCTTGGCCCGGCGAGGCTTTGGAATTGCACGTGGGACTGCCGTCCCTTTTGGTGTAGGACCTCCTGTCCTGGGTTTCATCAGCGGATGTCTCCCGTCAGCCAGGTCATCATCCACATCATCCTCCGTATGATTAGTGGCACTCTCCTTATCACTCTCGGCTTCTGTCGACGAATCCCGAGGCCCTCGGATGGTAACCCTCTGCTGCTTTCTCACTATACTAGTCTGAGGAGAGGGCGACTTGCCAGATATGACAGATGGTACCATGTCCCCATCTTTGTTCTTCCATGCTTTGAACAGAAATGTGGGACCTTCTCCTGTTTCCTGCCGAGCATGCCAGAAATGGAGCAAGGCAGTCGTGTCCCAATTTTGCAGCTTTGAAGGCTCCTTCAAGTCAACATCTGCCGGAAGATACGTCCGGGCCACAAAGTCATCCTGACTTTGTACAATGGCACTCCATGGTACAACCGCCTTGTCCTTCCCGGAACATATCCCTGTGTCCATGCATTGAACAATTTGTCAGATGATGCAACGAGAAACTCACGATAGTGCGATGTAAGAAAGGCCCTCACTATGGCCTTCTTCTCCTCAAGTTTCGTGTCAGTGATGTCGGGAAGGAGTGGCATACCCTCCCCGTCCATTTCGAGTTCGAAAGCTGGTTTTCGAATTCTTTTTCGACCTCCCTTGACCTGACGTCCTCCATCCCGTGCCCCGGCACCTATCATCGTGATGCTCAACATGTTCAATCTGGTATACATGGTTCAAACACTCACCGAACTGTTCCTGCGCATACTCCTGCCACACTGGCTCAATGTCCTCCCAGTCCTTCGTCTTCATGAAGCTGTCCCCGTCTCCTAAGGCCTCGTTATCATCATGCCTGCATGAATATTTTCAGATGAAAGATCCATGTCAATGGGTAAATGTACTCACATCCCGAACAGCACCTCTCCCTTTTCATTCTTCCAAGCCGACATCACAAAAACTCTCATCCCACATTGCCTCCACATCTCGTTCGAAAAGTGCTCCATATATGCCGGACCCTTCTTACGGGCGACTTGTGCTTGTATCTCCGGAGGCGGACAGTTGTTGGACCACTCTTCCGCTGTTTCTTTCGCCTTCTCCAACTCGTCGTCGTCCAATTCAGCCATGACTCTCTTCACCGCCGCCTGATAATGTTTGAACATACCAGGATCTCCGGGCTTTACCCCCGACTCGTCCTCAATCCTCTTCAGCACCTCTTCGCGTTTCTGCTGGTAGACCACCATCCTGGGCGTCCATTTCCTCCCATACTTGATGGTGTCCTTCCTTTCCTTCTTTTTCTTGTTGTTGAACAACCAAGTCTTGTACACCTAAGATTTGATGAAAAAATGTGATGTTGAAAATTTAGTTTTTCAACGCAACAAAGGAGCATCACCTGCTTCCTCTTTTTCCATTGTTTTTGGTCCACCTTAGGAGCAAACAACCTGGCCGCCCTTGCTATGGCAGTGAAAATCCCCCTCTTCTCATTCCTTTTGGCGGCAGTCCACTCAGGAAGGTAGTTCTTCAACTCCAAAATCTCCTTGTCTGTGAGCTTCTGAGACTGTGGTTGACGCGCCCTGTGTCTTCCGGAAGTCATGTTGGTGGAATGACCTGTTCTTGCCATAGTGAATCAGAATGCAGAACGGGCTGAGGATTTGCAAGGTAGAAGTATTAATGAATTGTGCGAAGTTGAACTTAGAGCAAAGCCTAATAATCTGTTAATCGGCCCATATTTGAAAAGAATCCATTAATGGAAATGAATTTGTAATGAGCCAACAGGACTGCACAGCATCATATTGCAATAACAATTCATTACACCTGAGCTGATGCCTTGCTTGCAACATTAGTAAACAAGATGAAGATAGGTAGATGCACCCCAGTGCAAAAATCTCACAGGGTGGAAGCAAGGGGCAGCAAAGGTAGGAAGACTTGGGTCAAGGTCCCACTTGCAAGCACGAGGCGACATGCCTACAGGTCCATGCCTAACTCTCCCCCAGAATCACCAACAATTCAGCCTGTTGAGGCACCACCTCCTTGGGAAGACTTTCCTGACAATACTTATGAGCAGGACCAAGGCTCCTTTGAGCCTTTGCAACTCCCAAAAACCATGGCAAGTTCATGTACAATGTTGGAGTGTCATTTAAACTATGGCTAAGCATTCAAAAATACAGAGTCAAAATGACTACCTCAGGCAATGGCTGCCAAGGCAGGAATCATATCTACATCACCTCCTTGATCGAGAAGCTCCACCAGAAGACAGGAGATGCATCATCTGCGAACAGGATGGGGTGTACAAATGTCAAGATTGTCTTGGCGAGCCACTCTATTGCACGGGCTGTTGCAGGAGTCAACATCGTAGCAATCCTTTCCACTGGATCAGTCAATGGAATGGGCGATTCTTGAGCGGAGTTGTCTCGCTCATGTGGGACTCATTATACACCTTGGCCATGATGGCAAACAATGTCCGGAGGTCACTGATCGGTGGAATTTGTTTTGAAGAAGATGAACCTGAAGACCTGCTCGAGCCTGAAGATCTGCCATTTGTGTCCGGACCCGAGTTTCCAGCCAAAGGAAAACACCATGGTCATTGTAGACAAGTCCGGAGTTCATCGCCTGGAGATTCGATGTTGTGAATGTCCGAATGCCATGAGTCCGGACATTCAAATGTTTCGACACGGATTTTTCCCTGCATCTTTCAACAGGCCAAAGACTGTGTTCACCTTCAGAGTGCTCAATGATTTTCTACTGGACAGCCTTGAATGCGGCACCTCGGCGATGAACTATTACAGCAAGCTCCGGCGAATGACCTCCAGCATGTTTCCACACCTTGTTCCGGTAATGCCTTACCCTCTTCATCTACTGGACATCATATTGACAAAGCACATTGCAAGGACCGATACAGAGAGCTCATGAGGGTCGCTCGACAGTGGAGGCAGTTGAAGACAATGAAATGGCATGGCTTTGGCCATCGTTCTGATAACCCGAGCACAGGAGAACTCGCATTATTTTGCCCGGCATGTCCTCAGCCATGGGATTAATGTGCTGTTGTCAGAGGATGAATCGCTTGATGAGTGAGTCCTATCTCAACCAATGTGGCCTCCATAATAATACTAGCGATCCAAGCTGGAAATACACCCGGTCATTTGTGATGGACAGAAATTTCAAAGCCGAACATCTGCATCCCATTAAGCCATTCGATGAAGTTTGGCTAGTCCAATGGGCTTGGATTTCATGTAGGAAAGGACAGGTATAAAATGCATCTGGCAGAGGCTGCTGACACAGTGGAAAAATCAAGCTGCAACAATCACCGGGCAGTAAATCAAGCTAATGCTGCTCGGCACAAGCTGGAGTCCACGGTATCGGGGGAGTTGCCTGTGCCAGACACGGTTGCTTTGTCCCTCACTCCATGGTGGATTTTCAGAAAGGCAAAAGGCAAGCCACATCCACCATTCCTCATTCACGAGTTAACCATGGGTCACTTGCAGACAAATGAACATGGACTACGCCCTTTGCGAGGCTTCCCGGCACAACATGGAAGGCATCACCAGGGCTGTCACCTTCTATGATATTAATTGTCAATACAACAAACACTTTCGGGTTCGGGTGGATCGAAGTCGATTTCTAGAAATGGCACCACAACTAACCATCATTCCCGGAATTGGGTTATGGCACATTCATGGCCATCAGGACAGCTGCTATGTCCGATATGCTTCTAACTTTATTGAAGGCATGGTCGTATCAATGGAGAGATCATGGAGACTCTATGGGCACGGCTCAATCTGATCTCCCCTGCTGCTCGGGGAATGTCATCTCCCCACTGAAAGGAATGCCTTGATTATCAGATGAATGACTCCAATTTCTGCAAGATGATTTGCATGAAAAGGACTCTATGCCGGAAATACAAAACTGGCTAGGAATGGTATCTTAGAAAGTGGAAAGCATTTGACAGACTCGATGAAGCAGCACCCTTACATTTGAAGACAGAATGGTTAGCCAGGGAGAGGATAGCTCAGTCAAGCAGATTGAATGATCCTTCAGCGATGGATGAATATGAGATCAATATCAAAAAGGGTACGTTGAGTTCCATTGTCTCCGTCGAGGTCTGAATTAATATTGCACTCAGCACCTAGCAAAAAGGAGATTGAGCTTAGATTGTTAGAGGAGGGTAACGCCCGCAATGCAGCACCCTCTCGAGATCTGTGGCGACGTGGATATCAACAGGGTTAGCAATTGAAGAGGCTCAATGCATTGCTCATTGAGGTCCGAGGATCGGAAGAAGATCCACCGAGACACAGAGATTAGACATCGCCCGTCAAGCGATCGGCTCCAAGGCCAGATAGATGGATTTGCTCGGTCTGCTCTAACACATCTCGGGGAGGGATTTGATGCAGATGATGAACCTGAGGACTTGAACGTAGACATTCTAGATGATCTCGATGATGACCCGGCGGATTTCACAGAGACATCTCATACATGGACAAACTCTCCCGAGCTCACTGTAATCCCGTTGCCATCAAACCTGGGTGTTGATAGATGCAGACGATGCATGGCAGAGGATCTGATTCCCCTGGAGATGTCTCTTCGTGAAGGGCAGGCCAATGATGCCCTTCACAATCTCCGCATTTACCTTTGCAACAAGGCCATCCTGTTCCGAACAACCGTTCGGCAGGCCAAATCCCAGGCCCTGAAAACTCGAGCTTGGTCCCAGGTGACGTCGGTGCAGCAGGCAGTCTCCCTCCATGCCAGCATATATACAAAGACCAGGAAGCAAATGATGAAACTTGAGCCGGGGCAAGACCAGCTTCAGAAATACAAACCCCTGCTTCGCGAGCAACTCAAAATCAGCACTGCAGTGGGCGACCCAAATGCCCGAGGTCAACGAAATGAATCTTTGGCTTGGTTTTGGTCTGTTGAAGTCGACCTCGGGGGTCCTGATCAATCGTGGAATGAGGAATGTGAGTTCCTGCTTGCATGTCATATCCCACGGTTACCTGACTGGACCCATGCCAAGTTTACCGAGTCCATTGGCTGCGGGCAAAGGCACTACGAGATCGATGGAGGGAAGAAATGATATTGGTCAAATTGGAGATGGATTGGACATGTAAGTTCTTTTTGTGGAAAGCAACCCAATGGGGCGACCACATGCAGGAATCATTGGAGAAACGCCTTCCGGGTCACGGATGCTATGCCGGAAGGCAATCGCGAATGTATTCATTGCTCGCACAGGATGCGCAGGCAGCTTTTCAAGACCTACAAAACGTGTTGATAGAGGCTGGAGATGAATGAACATTGTTTTCTCATGAAGTCCCTTTTTCCACATACATAATTGAGGCCCGGGAATTGTCCGGGTCAGCCCATGTCGGAGTTTGAATTTCGTATCCATCCATCAGTGATTCTTATCTTCACATCTTCACCATCTTTCACTTGCATTGCCAGCGCCATAGTCCTGTATTAGCCATGCCTGCAACTCCTGCATCCACTTCTGGCACTCTGAATGCCGGAAGCCATTACCGACCCCTGAAGCTGAGCCTTGGAACTATTTCCTGCACATTGGCAATGGCTGGATCGCGGGTCCGTGCATGCATCTCTCAATATCAGACGGAAGCTGCCAACAATGGTCTATCTTCTGACCGGATAAAGTATTTTAAAGCCGGGCTGCAATGGGAGATGAATGTATGTTACCACTGCCCTGATGACTTTGTTGGTCAATGCTAAAAATTTGAGCAGACTTTTGTCACACCACTCCTGCAGTACTCAGCTTCACAGAATATCGTGTCGGTTCTTCCGGTCCCTGTCGCTTATATCCTTAAGTTGTATCCCATGCTAACCTGGAACACGGTTCCGGACGACGTCTTTTCATTCCACCTCCTTTCATTTGATGATGAGGCAATTGCAGGACATCCGTCCCGGATTGTGTTTGCATATACATGTCCATGGTGGATGGGAAACACCACAATCCCGGATCAACCATGGCAGTGGGATGAAATAATGGCTTCCTGCGTCTCTCACTACCAGTATTGGGCGGTAAGATGTTAGCTGAATTGCCTTGATTGATGACTTATCTGTTCTAGCTTAATGTTGAGGATGATGCTTTGGTTCTTCCAGAGAAGTTGAGAAACACTTCGACTCCACCACTTATGGGACTGAGGTGGATTAAAGAACGCATGGAAGCATTGATGGAGGAGCAAGATGAGGGCATCAAAGCCAAGATGGCAGAGGTGAAGATGTACACTGACATGTTAGAGAAATTGAGGAAAGGCAAAGGAGTGTAGTCCCATTCAGTGTTCATTGTATACAAGATGTAAAATATTCTATGCATTCAAAAATCTTGCACCCGAGTCCCGGAAGCCCAGGTCCCGAGTCCCGAATTTCGGAGTTCGGGGTTCGGCGACCCGGAGCTCGGCAACTGTGTTGGGTGTCAGGGTATCCGGAGCATTGGAGATAGCATGTGTCAGTATTTTGCGTTTCATGGTTCATGTTTGGCTGACACATGCGATCTCCAATGCTCCGGATACCCTGACACCCAACACAGTTGCCGAGCTCCGGGTCACCGAACCCCGAACTCCGAAATTCGGGACTCGGGACTCGGGTTTCGGGACTCGGGACTCGGAGCTCGTGACCTGGGACTCGACAGTGTTCTGAATACCGAGTCCCTGACGCCCGATTCTATAATCACGAAAGATTCCATAATCACGAAAGATGAACCATGAAACGCAGAATACTGACACATGCTATCTCCAATGCTCCGGATACCCTGACACCCAACACAGTTGCCGAGCTCCGGGTCACCGAGTCCCGAAGCCCGAGTCCCGAGTCCCGAATTTCGGAGTTCGGGGTTCGGTGACCCGGAGCTCGGCAACTGTGTTGGGTGTCAGGGTATCCGGAGCATTGGAGATAGCATGTGTCAGACATGCATGCATCTGACACATGCGATCTCCAATGTTCCGGATACCCTGACACCCAACACAGTTCGAGTCCCAGGTCCCGAGTCCGAAACCCGAGTCCCGAGTCCCGAATTTCGGAGTTCGGGTTCGGTGACCCGGAGCTCGGCAACTGTGTTGGGTGTCAGGGTATCCGGAACATTGGAGATCGCATGTGTCAGCCAAACATGACCATGAAATG